GGCCCGCTATACCCATGCTCCGCTCCAGAGTTGAAGGCCCTCCGAGAGTACCTGGACAAAGAGTTGTCTTCAGGAAAGATCTCTAGATCGAATAGCCCTGCTGCGGCACCCATACTGTTCATTCCTAAGAAGGACGGGACTTTGCGGATTTGTGTGGATTATAGAGGTTTGAACAAGGTCACTGTCAAGGACAAGTACCCGCTGCCTATCATGAGTGAGCTCAGAGACAGGTTGTTCAAGGCCAAGATCTTCACAAAGATAGACCTGAAGAATGGCTTCAATTTGATCAGGATAGCCGAAGGTGATGAGTGGAAAACCGCTTTCAGAACCCGCTATGGACTGTATCAGTACAATGTGATGCCATTTGGCCTATGCAATGCTCCCTCCGCTTTCCAGGCAATGATCAATGATGTGCTAAAGGAACTACTGGATGAAGGAGTAGTTGTCTATATCGATGACATCCTCATCTACTCGGAGACTGAGAAAGAGCATGAGCTATTGGTCAAGAAGGTACTACAGAAGCTTAGGGAAGCTAAGCTCTGTGCCTCGATCAATAAGACATCCTTCCATGTCCGAGAAGTAGAATACCTAGGCTATCATATCTCGGAACAAGGAGTATCTATGTCAGAAGACAAGGTGGAGGCAGTTAAGGAATGGCCGGTCCCTGAGAATATCAAGGCAGTACAGGCATTCCTCGGATTTGCAAACTTCTATCGCCGCTTTATTGAAGGCTTCAGTAAGGTTTGCAAACCACTAACTGACCTCCTACAAAAAGACAAGAAATGGTATTGGACAGCAGCACATGAGCAGGCCTTTGAAGAACTCAAGAGGCTGTTTACAAGCGCTCCAATCCTCCTTCATTTTGACCCTAGTAGGAGAACGGTGGTCGAGACAGATGCCAGTGATTTTGCCAAGGGAGCGGTGCTCTCTCAGTATGGGGATGATGGGAAGCTACATCCGGTGGCATTCTATTCTAAGAAGTTCTCCCCTGCTGAGATCAACTATGACATTCATGATAAGGAAATGGGAGCTATTGTAGCCTCTTTCCGGGAATGGGAACACATGCTCAAATCTTGTGAGCAAGAGATCACGGTTTTTACAGACCACAAGAACTTGGAGTACTTTAATTCTACCAAGGTTCTCACTAGGCGGCAAGCTAGATGGTCTGAGGACCTCGCAGGCTACAATTTTAAAGTTGTCTACAGACCGGGAGAAAAGAATGGCAAGACTGATGTGCTATCTAGGCGCTGGGATCACCGCCTTGGAGAGGGAGGTGAAACTCTGCAGCCGGAGCCACAGATCTTTTTTAGGCCAGGTCAATTGGTTTTGGATCCTGCAAAGCTAGGGGCTGTCAGGGTGAATCAATTGCAGAATACATTCTTAGAGCGCCTATACACGGCTGCTAAAGAGGATAGTTTCTGGCAGGAATTGCACCGCTCCCTGGTTGAAAGGAAACCAAATTTGGACCAGAACTTGTCGGTCAAGAACGGTCTCATCTTCTACAAGAATAGATGGTACATACCCAAGGACAAGAAGCTTCAGATGGAAATACTGTCCGATACCCATGACTCTAAGGTGGCTGGTCATTTTGGCCAATTTAAGACACTAGAGCGGGTGAAAAATAACTTCTTTTGGCCCAACATGGATAAGGATGTTGAGGAATATGTCCGGAGCTGTGACAGCTGCCAGAGGAATAAGACCTCAAGACACAAGAAGTTTGGTATGCTCCAACCGTTGGAGATACCCTATCGGCCATGGACTTCCATCTCTATGGACTTCATTGTGGGACTACCGGAATCTAGTGGGTTTACAAAGATCTGGGTAATAGTGGACCGCTTTTCGAAGATGGCACACTACATCCCTCTTCCTACCCTCAATAAAACGGAAGATTTGGCTAAATTGTTCTTGAAGGAAGTTTGGAGACTCCATGGTTTGCCTGATGACATAGTCTCGGACAGAGATAGCAGGTTCATTTCTCACTTTTGGCAATCTCTCATGAGCCTCCTCAATGTGAAGCTGAAGATGTCCACATCTTTCCACCCCCAGACGGACGGTCAAACAGAAAGAGTTAATCAGACCCTGGAACATTACTTGCGGAGTTATTGTTCATATCAACAGGATGACTGGGCAGAACTCTTGCCTTTGGCAGAGTATGCTTATAACTCGGCGGTCTCTGAGTCTACCAAAGTATCGGCTTTTTATGCCAACTATGGATATGAACCCAGGACCAACTGGCCGGCCCCAAAGGAAGGAGTAGAATGGAACAATCCAGCAAGTGAGGTCATGATTTCTCAATGGGAATCTATCTGGCAGGCTATGAACGCCAGCTTGGGTAAAGCTAGATTAAGGATGGCCCGGTGGTATGATGCTCATGCCCTGGCACCACCTGAAATCAAGCCCGGAGATGAAGTTATGTTGGACCGGCGCAATGTGCAAACAAAGCGGCCTTTGGGAAAATTGGATCAGAAGAAGATGGGACCCTTTAAGGTCTTAGAAGCTATTGGTACCCGTGCCTACAAGCTCTCTCTTCCCCCCCAGATGGGAATCCACCCGGTCTTTCACGTCTCTCTCCTAGAACCCTACAGAGCACCGGTAGATCCTGAGAGAAGAGTTCCCCCACCGGAACCCGAAGAGGTTGAGGGAGAACAGAACTGGGTTGTCCGAGAGGTAGCTGATAGCCGGTTCAATAAGAAGAGAAGACGAGTGGAATATCTAGTGCTGTGGGAAGGTTATGAGAACGAGGATGCTACATGGGAACCTTGGGAGCATCTCAAGAAGAGTGCTGAAGAAGCCCTTCGGGATTTCCATATGAGGTATCCTAAGAAACCCAAGGACAAGCGGATTGTTGGGGTGTAGATTATTTCCTTTGGGTTTTCATTTCCTTGCATATCACGGAGTTTCTTGTCATATAGAATGGTAATAGAATGGTTATAGATCTCGGAGACCAAGATCCTGGAAGAGGGGAGTGGTGTAACGGAGCCATTTCAACTGTCTGGTGTATGAGTACACACAGGGCCCGGTTACATGCTGAGAGCTATTGTTAGAAGCCAGTTGCACGGTGATATGCAAGTACCGGCAGTGTGGTTAGCTACCAGCTGTTAGAGTAACTACATTCCGGGCGCTAGGAAGAGGATCTATTCATGGGAGCAATGACTGACGAGTCTATGCCTCGCCAGTGACTAGAAGACCGGCCAGAGTGAAGCTCTGATTGACCGGTGATCCTCTGTATCCTCGGTGCATTATAAGTCCGCCGAAGGGCAGGGACTATGCTAGGGAAGTCTACAATAAGCGAAAGCTCTACAGCAATGATTAAGCTTACACCTGAGCGGCAGCTCATTCATGCAGGTCCTCAGTTGTGTGGCAACCAAGGCTGCAGGTGTTACAAAGGCTTTGACTAAGGGTGGTTGCCTTGGGTATCGGAAACACCTGCTGACGCTTAGAGAAAAGCGGGGTAGCGGTGGTATTGTTTCCGGTACTGAGGGAAGGCCCACCGGAACTTAGTAAAGGAGTTAGGAGCAGAGAACAGAGGCCTTCGGAGTATAAGTACTCAGGTTCATTCCCGCCCTTCAGTCCTATTCTCTCCAGTCTTCATCAGAAAGAAAAACCAAGTTCTCATCGGTAGCAGAGCCCTTAAAGATTATTGAGTTCTAGCGATAGTATCTTTGAATAATCTGCAACCTGATTGTCTATCTTGCACGGCCGTCTTTATTCTATACAAATCTATTTCTCTTAGAAAGGACCCCCGTTACAGCAGCAGTTCCTGCATTGGGTGGTGGAGGATGCTCGCCACATGACATTGCAGCGTCTGGGGCGGGAGAAGAGGCGGATGGTGGTTCCAATGGTTGCTGCCTCTTCCGCCGTCACGGAGACGATGACAGAGGTGGTGGCCTTGGAGGAGCGGGAGGTTTCGTCCGTGTTTAGGAAACGGACGGCAGAGGGGGTGATGCCAACGGCTAGTTTGAGCGCAGAGGGCAGGATTTCCTCTAGGCATTCCTGGTTGGGGAGCTCGTAGAGGGGGACGCCATGGATGGCGAGATCGACGTTGGTGGGAGCAGGGCGGAAGGTGGTGTAGGGGTTTTCTGGGGAGGCTACCTCTACGTTTAGGATCGTGGTGAGGGCTTCGAAGAATGGTGTGTAGACCGTTGATGGGACGGTGGGGGGAGCGGTAACAGAGACTGTGCCTCTGTTGTTGATGGTGACGGTGAGGGAGGTGACGGGGGCGACTTGGTGGCTTCGGGCCAGGGCTTGGCCGAAGAGGCGTGGGAGGGTTGCCGACAGCCTTTCGGCATTGGCGATGGGACTGGGGGTTGTCCTGGTGGCGAAGAAGCGGCGGTGGGCAGACGGTAGTGGCTTCACCTTCGGGGTGGATCCTGGGGCCGGGGCTGCGGCTGCCTTGGCTGCCTTCTTGCTGGGGGGGTTGGGTGGGTTGGGAGTGGATCGAACCACTTGTGCATACATGGGGGTTGCCCTCGGTTGGGCAGGCTTGGCGGGCGGGGTAGGTCTGTGGGGGGCCTGGGGTGTGGGAGGGGGGAGGCTGGTTCTCCCGATGAGGGTGTCCAGTTTTTGGACGATGAGAGGGTCTGAGGGGGTGGGAGCAGCTTTGGGGGCTGCGATTGACTCCCTCAGGGAGTTGATTTCGTCTCCTAGCTTGGAGACTGCTTCGGCGAGCTGTTTGTTTTGCTGAATAGTTCCTAACAAGAGGAGGGTGTTCAGTTGCGAGGAGTCGCGGTGGTCTCTGCTTCCGATTGCGTTTGCAACCTCAGACGAGAAGGTGTGCTGGAGCTCTGGAAGGCCAAAGACCTTGTCGAGCGAGCTAAGGTCGACTGCCTCGAAGAGGGCCTTCCTTAGTGTAAGGTGGGCGGTCGACATGAAGCCGGAACGGTGGGGGTTTTTGGTGTGTGAGAACGGTTGTCACGTAAAAAGAGGAGGTTGGTTTCAAAAACCAAGGAAGAAGCGGGGAAGAAGGATGACCTGGTCTTTGCTTTCCCTCAACTTGACATATGCGATCTGGAATTAGAGCAGACAGGGCAGATAGACAGACACAGATATTCGGTTTACTCTACAGGTACCGCGCATAGGCATAGGATATGAGGCAGCCCCCACTTCACAACTGCCAGGCTCAAGAAAAGCTATGCCTGTGTCTACAGCGGTGAGGCGGCGGCGAGAATAGTAGGAAAGAGAAGGGAAAGGGAAGAGTCTATAGAAAGAGAGAGAGAGAGATACGTACCCGAGGTCATTATCCAGGTTTATCTCCTATCTCCAACATCTGTTCTACTGCTGCTGCTGCTGCTGTCAATTTTGAACAACGGGCGCTTGTTGTAAGTGGTATTTGGGTCCGAAAAACATAACGTCCCTTCCCTAACACATATCTCCGACTAAAAATTAGGTGGTGGCAGCGGGTTTGGGGAACAGACGAGTTAGACGAAACCAAAACCCGCGAAAACTCCGGGACGTTGATTTTAGAGGTAGGCTCGTGCCCCCTCATGGAGCCGCGATTGGATCTTGGTCCCGGCTGGATTCTAGAAAGACGCTTCTAAGAACCCACCCACAGCAATAATCTCCGTCGGTGACACAAACTACACCCTTTTGTGGACATTTAAGGGTCCTGCCACTTCTTGTTACGGAAACAAGAGCGCATGAGGGTTTTTGTGGGGTAAGCCTCTTTACCGTTTTGATGAGCTTCCCGGTGGTTCAACGGCTGTGGTTTTAAGGTTTGTTTTTTTGTGTGTTGTGCTACTCGCAGGAACAGCCAATCTCTCCAACCATCGTGAGTATTTTATTATTAGACCCTCGATTTGCCTATGCGCCCCGACATTTAAAGAGCTTTGGTAACTGGAGCAGGCAGCATAGCAGCAGCAGCAGCAGCAAGCAATCAAGCACTACATGTCATGGGTACCGCTGCTACAACCGGGATCAAATAGCACAACCTTTGCACGCAGGTACAGAAAACAATAACACAATCTGTTGTTTTAGCGATGAGGGAGAGTCACGGAATATCACCATCATCACAGACAGGCATATCGAACAGTTCAGTGCACGCTACCGCTTAGGCTCCAACTCCATTTTTCATCGTCTCGATGAGCAAGCCAGACAGACAACTTACATGGGAAAAAGAACGAATTAGCTGTGAGCTGAGTTGAGCTGAAAGCGCACACTGTTTGATCCCAAGAAGATGGCTCGCTTGTTTCAATGCCCAACATCTTTAGGTAACCGAGTCACATCCGATCAGGTGCGTTCATGTAATCACCAATTGCACCAACCAGCACCAAACATACGACGCAGTCGAGAAGCAGCTATCATCAAATTCCTCACCACCGGTCCCATCGTCTATGATCCCTGCAATCCGTCACCCGGATTTCCCCTTTACCAGGGCATCACTCTTTGTTAACCGTACGTTGCTGCCGCTGCAGCTTATTTTGCGACCGAGAATTTCCCTTCGATGGCACGATGCTGTTTGTGGCACAGTGCTTGCTTGATTTTGGTGCCTGCCAAAATCATATCGCAACCTCAAGCACACTTTTCGGGGTTCCTACAAGAGAATCCCGATATTATTCCCGGTACTACCCAAACGCTACTACTACTTATCGGCACGTTACGCTGATACAGAAAGCAACAACGAAACGCCCCTTGTACATATGGTTCTACCTAATCCTACCAACAACCTGTCTGCGCTTGGTCGCTCTTTTGGGATGTCCCTCTCTTTCACCCCAGATTGGTAGTGAATCCCGACGGGGGGGCTCCTTCAATAGCTTTTCGCCTATCGATTGAGGTTGGGGAAAACCGCCGTGTCAAAAAAGCCACCAAAAAAGCCACCACCGCCGGCAAAAACTGGTCCTTCAACTCCCTCACCGGAGAAAAAAAGTAACAGATCACATCGCGCCTTGGGAGTCCGTGCGCGCTAATATCCAGGCCTGGCTAGAGCAGCCTACGCCCAAAAAAAAGACTAGACACTTTTTTTTAATAATCTATGTAAGTATTCCCCGCAATTTACTTATCGCGTCTTCCCTGGCCAGATCTGGACACACGTTCGGTTCTTCCTCCTGATGGCAGCAGGGTGTCCTTGGATTGCATCAAGCCTTTTTGGCTGCACTTACCGCATCGATCTGGGCTAGGAATCGTGAGCGTGGTGGGCCTTGGCGAGGTGTTTTCCCAGGCCAGGATCGCGTGCAGTTGCTCATATCTGATCGATTCAGTACCTTGCTAGCTTGTACCGCATACAGCAGTAGAGTAGAAACATCAAACCTCGAAATTTCATTGAACCTTCACTTCACTTTACTTTACTTTACCTGAACAGACACAACACACATGCAATAACCCGCACCCCGTACTCTACTCTAACAAGGAACGTTTTTCTGATAGGTAACTAGAGAGGACCTAGAGCCCTTAGGCCTTGCGCAGAGGGCTCTAGAGTATAGTAATATCCGCTCAAATGGAACCCCTCCCCCTCCCCCTCTGGAGGAGCCCCATACCGCTGGCAGACAGAAGGATTAACATCCGCACGTTGTGCCCACGTTGCTGGCTTGTCATCGTCTAAGCACCAGCCCAGTATCTCTCTCCTAGGAGAAGTTAGAGCAAAAAAATGATTATTAGAGGGTCCCAGAGTTACGGTGATGCCAAGATATATGGGCTACCGGGTGTCACTTTTTTTTTTCCTCATGCTTCCTCGGAATGTTCCATTTTCTTTACGTTTGGGTTTGGGAGATCAGGATAGAGTACAAGGCTGGGCATATGCACGGCAATGGATTTCTAGAACCAATGGCTGTTGATTTTGAAACGTTGGGTGGACGGAATTCTCCTAATATATCGTTAGAGTACCCATGATGTCAACTCTGGAGTCTGGGCAGCTGCTGCTGCACACACTGGAGTTTTCCATTCGTTTGGTAGCTCTTGAAACATTGGTTCGCATAATGCCCGTCATCTATCATTTCCCGCCGTAAGATCTAGTCTATCATCTCACTACCTACTCCACGAAATCTCTCCCCACCCCCCAAAGGTTCACGGGAGGTGAGGGAGGGGGTGTGATGTGGGTAATTTAGGTTAAGCTACATACCTATGTAAATATTTTCAACGGTGACCATGGCCATCGGGGCGGACAATTTCATTTCGTTCGTTACACCCACACACCACCATGATCGACCATACCACCTACACACCACCACACACCAAACACACTTCATTAGGAGGGTGGAATATACCGTCCCTCCCTCTCCCTGGCCTTCATGTCCGATATACCATCGGTCAGTCGTGCATGGCATCGAGATTCAATAATTTCACTTTTATTTTTTTCTTCCCTTCTCATCAACCCCCCCTTTTTACCGTTCTATTATCCCTTATTATTGTTATTGCAGACGAAACGAAACAGGAAAAGCGGAGGGCGATCATTTCCCCTTTTCCTTTTCCTTTTCCTTTTCCTGTTTTTTTCTTTCTGTGCGGTCTGTCTGTCTGGCCACTTCTACTTTTCACTCTTCATGGGGACTCGAGATGGGTGTGTGTGTGTGTGCGTGTGTGTAGGGCGGCGGAGAATAGAGTGGCTGTAGGTAGAATAGATTAAGTACAGTGATGGCAGCATACATAGCCTCGATATCGAAAACAGGAGTTAAAGTTTTTCCGCCTACCCTACCTACCTTTCTCCCTCCCTCCCTCCTTTCCTTTCTTCAATCTGTGTGGGTGCACGTGGGTGTAGGTGTGTGTATCAATATCATTATCATAGGGTCCCTCCCACCCTCTCACTCGATAGAGTAGAGATATCCTCATCATCTCGCAGTACGTACTCTACTCTGCCTATGATATGCCCAATATCATCATACCCCCCGCGAATCACACACTCCCGATGTCCTGGTTTCCTCCACAAAGCCACAAATGGGCGATCATTCACCACTCTCTCTTCCTCTCGACCTCTAAGCTAGAGTGCCATATGTAGCCACGTTTTTGCCTCTGTCTCTGATGTCGGGCATGCTCCATCACTCGGTCTGCTAGTCCATACATATACACACTAGGCGGCTAGGGAAGGCTTGTTACACTCTCTTTCTGCCGGTAGCCGGCAGTCACTTGCCCTGTTCTGACTGGTTGGCTGGCTATGTATCTGGCTGGCTATGTATCTGGCTGGCTATGTATCTGGCTGGCATGGCGGAGTAGAGCAGATCTGGGGGTTGGGTTACCGGGTGCAATGCTATATTATTATTATTACCACACCTCTCTCCCCCTCGTGGTGTAGAAAGGAAAATAGGGAATTAGGGAACAAGGGAACGAAGGAGGAAAGGACCAGGGCGGTGGTGGCTCCGTTGTTTCGTGTTGAGTGGAGTGGTACACAGATAGAGTATCCAGCCATCCCATCTAGGTACTCTAAGTTAGGTTAGGTATCTAACTAGGGTGCTCTAAAGGCCCAGATGAGAAAGAGACGAGACAGGAAGAGACAGAAAGAGACTGGGTGAGCGGCCATGCGTACGTACTCTATGTACGCCCGCCGCCAGGCACTACCTACTCTAACCTCCATATGTTCCCTACATACACTCTAGAGGTAGGGAATATAGGGAGCGAAGCCTAAAGGAAAGGAAAGGGTAGGGAAGGGAAGGAAGGGTAGCTGCACCTCCAATTTCCCATGCTCACTCGCTCGTTCGCTGTGTATACCCGCGCAGCGTAGCGTAAGGAACCATTGGAGTACAAGTTCGTGACCATACCAGGTAGAGTACATGTAGTGTATGGTATGATGCCACACCCTCACCTCACCCATTCACGCTCACTCAGACTACACATGATATGATCTGAGGCTCTCTCTGTCTGCCTCGTTAAGCATAGTAAATCGTACTCCCAGTTACTAATCCACCTCCCCTTACCCAATCCGCCGTCGCCGCCATCCATCCATCCATCCATCCATCCATCCATCCACCAAAAGGACAAAACCCGCACCAAGCACTAAGTATAGCAACGCAACGGCCGCCGGTTAGATGTATGTACGTCTACGTAAAAGCTTACTCCATCCCCTCTACTCCGAATTTCCACGGCTCCGGTAGCCATATTACTCTTCCAGTAAAGTAAGCCTAGCTACATGTAGCTGCGTCATCGTTTTTTTTCTTTATTTTTTTACTCTGGATCCATACGCGTTACGTTTCTTGGCAGAGTGAGTTAATTGTGGATGTGGAATGTCTATCTGCCAGCTTGGCGAGATGTGTTGATGCGGGTTGATGCGGGTTGGGCGGGGATAAGCTTTTTGTTTTTGGGGTGATCGGCGGTGATTGGGTGTGTCATGGCCGATCACTCGGTCCGGGGTTTGGATTGGTGTGATGTGGGCAAGGGTGTGTGGATGGATGACGGAAAGGGTAAGGGCATCGTGAGATTGTGTGTGTGCTGGGCTAGGGTTGGGGCGTGGTTGTGCTATGTTGGGTTAGGCTGGGATGGCATGTCGAGTGATCGCTCGTGCAGCTGCAGGTGTGGTTGATATCGATAGCTATGATCAACATGTGTGATGTGTGCCCAACACCAGATTTGCGCAGAGAGGCATGGCGACGGCTTGGGGCCTGGGGATACCGGGGATTGTTTTGAGATCTGCTATTTACATAATTATAAGAACATCAAGGGTCCCACACCAAGCGTATGTATGTCACCCAAAAATGGGCGCCAATCCTCAAAGCTTCATTCATATAGGTATGTGCTCACGATGTCTTTGCATTATAATGTACTATTGCTTCATGATTTAACTCGATCCAGATCCTCTGTTCAACTGTCCGCCGTCAGTACTGACCCCAAGCCCGCCACACCTAACAGGAAAAGCACTACTACACAAGAATCTTGCACGACTCCTCCTGCGACGACAGGTGCCCACACGTCGCACACCCCAACAAATCCTGCCTCAGAATCCTCCAGTTCCCACACCCGCCACACCGCCGTGACAGCACGTCCTTCCACACCTTATCCCCACAGAACCGCAGATCATCGTCATACCACCTCAGCAGGCCCGCCCACCGGTTCTTATACCTGCCCGATGCTAGCACCCTCGTCACCGCCTCGTCCGACAACCTCATCACTTCCTGCACCACCTCCGGCGCTGGCTCGGTGGGCGGGCCCTCCAGCAGGGCAATTGCTTGCGTCACGAAGGCGACGTACTCAGCCTCGTGTGCGCCCCAGTCCCAGCCCATCAGCATCTCGCTGACGTTGCTGAACTCGTACGACCGGATCTTTTGCTAGTTCGTGTTTCCGGTACCAGCCAGGTACTGCCATAGTGGACCCAGAGGTCCCAGGGCGGGCGAGCGCATACACACGTAATTGAATACGTTCATGCGGTGCAGCCCTGGTATGCGGTTCTCGCAGTAAGCGTCGTACTTGCCTAGTACCTCCGCGCGGGATCCCGGGTCTACCAGGTAGTGCTGCGTAAGCTCTGCGGCGAATACACTGGTTCCTATGTTCGCATTGATTCCCAGCGAGAAAAGTGGGTTTGTGAATCCGACGGCATCGCCGATGGCCACCCAACCTTTCCCGGAAACCTTCGGGGATTGGTAGGTAAGTTGCTTACGGATGAACCATGTTGTGTTGGGTCCATAGAGATCCTGGATGAGGACGTGTTGGTTCATGAGGCCTTGCATTTTGGGGTAGCGAGAGACGATCCAGTTAAAGCGCTTTTCGCCCTCGTGGGTACCATAGGCAGACAGGTCGCTAGGGTAAACGACGTCGTTGCGCAGCGCAAAGCCGATACTAACGATCCAGCGGAATTTGAGGTTGAATTTCTGTGCAAGTTCGTGACAGGAGGGGAATTGGTCGCGGGGGTGTTGCGGGCGTTGAGGTCGAGGAGGTGGTTGATCATTGACATCAGATTTGGGATTGAGCTGCCTTCCCAGGAGGGTAGTCGGATAACCCAGGCCCATCTATTATGAGAAGCCTATTAGAGCTATTTCAAGTCTTCATGCGTATTGAAGATAATACACACCCTTCTGCGAGACATATATGGTTGGTATTGCACGATTCGTAATTACTCAATGGGATGTTGGACTCATCCCCAGGACATTCAAAATAAGCCCAGAAAGCATCAGTATTCCACCCCTCAAAACGTTTAATCCTCGACGCCTTCGACGCAAAGCGCCGGAACCTCCCCGTAGCATCCACAACCAGTTGGGCCCGAATCTCAGACTCCTTTTTTGTCTCAACATTCTTAACCCTAACCGTACTCTCATTCTCCTCAAACCTCGTTGCATCAATATCGACCGCATGCCCATGCAACACCTTCACCCCAAGCCGCTGCGCAAACAGCGTAAGCAGCAACTCACTAATCTTGCGCTCAATCTGCAGGGTCGGTACAAAATCACCCGGCGGACCATTCGCGCAGAACGACGTATATTTTTCTGGATCACCACTCTGGGGAAGGTAGTAGAAAGCCAAACCATCCTTTGGGCCGAAAAGGCACCATAGTAGTGGTGAATCAATACCGACTGTTTTTAACCACAGGCCGAAAACTGTTAATGTGCTCTCACCGATCTTATAACCGGGGCTATTTGACTTTTCTAGTACTGTGATCGAAGTTGACCCGCCATTAGGCTGGCTTAGATCGATTTTCATGGCATGGATGGCGTAGATCAGGGAGTGGATGCCGGAGCCTACGACGACCACATTTGAGTCTGTAGGAGCTGTCGAATCTGTGTTTTGGGAGTTGAGGAGGGCGGTGTCGGATTGCTGCCGTTGTAGCAGGAGTGTGCTGCAAAGAGCTCCTAGCATTGTGAGGATTAATTAAATTTTCACTTTTGACAAATAAAAACCCAGGGGATTTGGCTTTTTATATTGAACCCAGAAGCTAGGATAGCTATCAGCTGTTCTCGTCACTCATCTGTGCGATATGCCGAGATCCACTGCCCCGGGAGGACAATCTTCAGCACTAGTGCAGTTACCGGGGATTGAGGCTGGGGTCTGATATTTGAAATCTTGGTTGTGTAACGCTGATTTCTCATGTATCTGACAGAGTATGTCTCTAAATTGAGTCAAAGACCTTATAGCCAATCGATAAGACAACCATTTCGGGATTTGCCAGGGAGAGCTGTCTGTACTTACCGATCCCGTCAATTTGAAAACCCCTTTTCCCCGCAGTCTTCAGAAACCTCAGGCATAAGGAGGGAGATCCTTCCGATCTTTCCGGCATGAGTTTTGGCTGATGTGCGTACAGCCATATCTACACGTATACTAATCATTGACCTCCGATTTACATACCATTCAACTGGTTGGCCAGATCTTGGGGAACCACGGCACGGGCTGTGAGAAACTCGTGTAACAATTTCTCATAGCGTAGTGACTCTTTCCTTGCGGATATATGTAGTTGAACCACCTTCCCATAAAGTCAGGCAAGCGCGAATGAACAGACATTAACCCAACTGCTGTAACCAACTACAGTTAGCCCAATAGTAAAATTAACCGGTATTCTGGCATTGAGCTATGACTGTCCATAATTGCTCCCTTACTCATAACCACATGTGCGTTGCACATACGCGTACCTTCTCTCATTGGGCCTGAGCAGACATAAGTGGTTTGAAGAGATTATGAAACCAATAACATTAGAATTATGAACTCCCCGGGTGTGTTTTCAAGCGTTTTATGCACAAGTGCTCGCCATATATTGTAATTCTGGCGAGAGGAAATTCTTATAACGATAGTGATAGGTGCTGCATGTCTGTGGTAGTCAACACTCGGCTCCATATCCATAGCTTGTGGTACCCCGGAGCATGTAGCAATCACTAAATGGGAGAAAAACATAAGTACTAGCTGCAACAACCACGCATATGGGGGGAAGAAGTTTACGCATGGTGAAGAAATGGTTCCTCACTGGAGGGGAACAAGAGTAGGGTATATTACTTACCATTTAAACTTGGCTAGGGTGTAACAATCGTTAAACACTAACGATGTTGAAGCTAAATCTTGGGGAGAGCCTGGGGAATTCAGAGAAAACGTAAGAACCTGAGGTTGGCTCAAGACGGGATATATTAGTCACAAGGCATCACTCGACCACTCGGATGTTTCAGGTATTGGTGAGACGAGATCGAAAAGTAAGAGAAGCCTGATTATATTGAAGACTCGGAGGTTTAATTGTAGCCGGCGAACTTTATGGTCACGAATCGAATAGGATACTTTGTCGTATAATCAGGAAATCGTGTATAATCAGCACATGACGTGTCCACGGATCTGGCCTCGCTGTCGTTTCAATACATGTAGCCATATCGATAACAGAGCCTAACGTGACATCCGGGACGAAAACCCACCTAAATACACAGACAGCTGCGTTAAAGTACACCCCCAATGTTATTTTACCGTGGAGATGGTTACGTCCGTGATGATTGGAGACAGCTATATATTCGGACCTGGATAACGGGAGGAGGCGGGTGAACACAGATTTTTCCATGTTTACCATCCTTCGAAAGATCACTTTTCAGTAAATCTTAAAGCATGTAGCTACTCGGGGCTGGCTTTAACTGGAACGGGGATTTATAAATGCATAGAGGTGTCATAAGGTATTACCCGGTAGCAGTTCTCCCAAGGCATTCACCCGATTTGTCTAGAGGACTGAAGGCGTTTGCTTATCTATGTATCTGCAGAGAAGACTTCTGCATGCTAGAGCCCCGCAGCACGATTTGAAACATTAAGATGAAATTCATCAGGAAAAGCCTTGAGCACATATAAATTAAAGGGAACCAGCCAAAAACTCGTACGCCCAGAATCGCTAAAAAAAAAAAAAGGGCCCTTGCTAGCTAGCTGCCTTACACGCTACCTAGACGACGTTGACAGCTCGTTATTGAGGCACACTAGCCTAAAGCGCGCTTGTTATTTTTTTTTCTTTCCGCGCTGACTAAGCGCGCGTCCCGCTGGTCTTTTTCGGCCGCTACGTATCCAACCTTCTTTTTCCCCGTCCTCCGCGCCCATCTTTACACTGCCACTACCCAATACAACAGCACCTCATCATACCATCACGAACAACAAACCCCCAACTCCCAATCACCTACAATAATGGCTAGCGGTGTTGATGCGAAACTGCTCAAGAGCACAAAGTTTCCACCCGAGTACTCCAAGAAAGTCGACAGGGAGAAGGTCAACCTGGAGGTTATGAAGCAGTTTGTTTTCCCTTCCAGCCTTGTTTCTAACATGCTATGTTGTGAGCTGACTTTTACTGGTTTATTCACAAAGATGGATCTCCGGGCAGGTCATTGGGATATTAGGTAACGAGGACGATGTTGTTATCGACTTCATCTTTGGCATGCTGGAGGAGGAGCGATTTGTGAGTTTTACCTTTATACCCCCCTCCCCCCGCTATATGCAGCTCCTTCAAAGTGGAATTTTACTGATAGGTTCAGCCTGATCCGAAAAAAATACAAATCAATCTCACAGGGTTTCTAGAAAAGGATACGGCTGCGTTTTGCAAGCAGATGTGGAACTTGCTCCTGAGCGCCCAAGCAAACCCGCAAGGAGTTCCGACGGAGCTGCTAGAGCAGAAAAAAGAGGAATTGCGTCAGCAGCGGGTAACTCATCCTTATTCGCTATGTACAGACTGATCACACAATGCTTATACGACCCCATAGGCGGAAGCTGCCAAGATCACCGAAGCACAACAACGTAAGCGGGAAGAAGAGGAACAGAAGGACCGGAGCTTGAACGAGATACGGGATCGCGAGCGCGGCGAGCGCCGCCGCGGTGGACCACCACCCGAGAGGGGCGGTAGAGACATCTACCAGCCGCGGCCGCGTCACTCGGCATCACCGGTGAACCGGCGCCGCCGTTCCCCTGAAATCCTTGCATCTCGGCCGCCACCACGACGCGAAGCATCACCGCCACCCAGAGGAGGAGCGCGCAGAGAGAGGTTTAGGGAGCGCAGAGAGACAGACACGTACATTCCGTCACGTAGAGGATATGAACGACGTGATTTTGACAACCGTGAAGGCAGGAACACCAGATTTGGACGTTCCCGGTCAAGGTCACGCTCGCCGCCCCCACGTAGGAGAGATGACTATCGCAGGAGCAACACCAACAGGCGTTCGCCAGAGTACTCCAGATCGCCGGAGCCTCGCCGCAGCAACAACAGGAGAGACCGCTCGAGGTCCCGGTCCTCGGACCATGGCCGGAAACGACGGGCGCTGTCGCCGGAACGCAAGGGCCGGGATAGACACAGATCGACCACGCCGTCGTCTGCCCGATCTTCATCTTCCCATTCCCGAACTTCCAGGTCGTCATATGACTCGTCCTCGAGATCTCCATCTCGGTCTCCGCCTGCTCGTAAGAGAGACTCTAACAGTCGGCGGAGGGAGCGTTCAGTATCTGTAGAGCGTGGAGTGGATCGGAGAAGACGGTCACCTTCTTACACGAAGTCGCATGCTGATGAGAGGAAAGGAAGACGTGATGAACGAAGCCGAAGTCCCCGCGGCGACCAACGCCACCACCACAATGATCGCCGTCGCCACTCGCCAGAGGACAGGGTGAGGGATACTACTCCTACTAAGAGGAGACGGTCGGTCTCGGCCGAAGCTGGTGAGTCTCCAAAGCCAAGGGAGAGGGAGGTAGCTGAGAGCTCCAAGAAGGATGATGGCAGAAAGGAAGATCCAGAGGTTTGTTGATTTCACCATTTCATATTTTTTTTTGCTTTCTTTGCCTTTTGCTTTTTGTCTATTGTATTTTTAAAAGAAAAAGAGAGACTCCGGGCGCGATTTAACAATTGGACGGTTAGTTGACACTTCAGCAACGGGAATACCAGCTCCGAGAGAAACTTTTGCGAGAAAGGATCAAGCGGTCACGGAAGAACAGTGCGGTCAGCACTAACAGCAACGAGGAGAGTGTGAAGAATGAACCGAGCGATTAGGGCAGGCGTAAGGTTTAGATTTAATGGCTAGGATCTTTTTTTGCTCTTTTACGGACGGACTCCCCAAATATTTTCTTTCTCTCTCTCCCCTTTTCAAAGTTTACAATTTCGATTTCGATTTTTATTTTGCTCTTGCCTTAGCTTTTCTTTTTCTTTTTGTTTCTTTTTACCATTTTCAATGCTTAGGACTCTTAAATGGAGGGGAGGGGAGTTGGCCAGACGAGTTCATATACTAGTATTAGTTAGCACTACTGGTAGCAGTACCAGTACTTAGTAGTAGTTGTACTCTATAAAAGAAATAGTCATCAGTCCTCGTGCGTTATTATCATTGCTATATTACCATTTACCATCCCCACTCCCATCATTGACCCCCCAAACCAAAAACCCCACTACACCGCCTGATAATACGACCCCGCCCCACTCGTCAAGTCCACCTCACTCAACGAGTAGCTCGTCAGCGTGAGCGACGGCCTCCTCCTCCTCCCCTTCAGATCATCCATCACCCCATGCGCAATCAACTCGATCCCCGGGCCCTCCGCGCCCGCCGGCAGGATGATGTCGGAGACCGTCTTCGTCGGCAGGATCGTCTGCTCGTACGCGGGCTTGCAGTGGCGCACATACTGGTCCAGGATGACGTCGAGCGAGAGCTTGCTGGTCTCTTGGTCGCGCACGACTATTCCCCCCAAACTCAGGCAATCATAAGTCCCCCAATTCGCATGGGTCATAGATACATATATCACGAATATGGGAGAGGGGCGGACATACCTTTCCGCGCCAACCTCACGTCCGCATCACAGTCCACAAAGATCTTCACGCCCGCCAGCTCCACCAACCGCCGGTGCGTCAGCAAATAACACCCCTCCGCGATCACCACGTCCGGCGCCTCCACCACCGTTCTATTCTCACTGCGCCGGTGCTGCACGTCCACCACCGGCACCCCCACACTCCCCCCGCCGGCTAGCAGCGCCGATATAGTGTCGGCCATGAGGTCCAGGTCGTACACGCCTACCCCGCCCCCAGGTCAGCCCAGCCCAACATCAGCCCTCTTCCGGGGGAAGGGGGAAGGGGGCATACCCAGTTTCTCCAAATCCAACTTCCCCGCGGCAGCAGTGGTATGCTGGGCCTCCGTGAGCGGGCGCAGGAAGTCGCGCTGGTGCAGGGTCGTGATGGAGAGGGTATTGTTGCTGGCGGCGCGGAGGGCGCTTTCGAGGCCCGTGAGGACGGTCTTTTTGCCGGCGGAGGAGCCGCCGGAGATGGAGATGAGGATGGAGGGGTGGGGGGGCATAGCGCGGGTGGGAGTTGGGGGTTGGGGGGTGCAATTGGGGGGTTGGAGACTGGGGTATTGGGGGGAGGGATTGAAGTTGTTGGACGCACGTGAGGAGCTGGGTTGGGTGAAGATGTCAAATGCCCATGCCAGTGTCAATGTCAGTGCCAAGGAGTGTGGGGTTGGGTTTTTCCGCTGCAGGCGTCCTTCCCTTCCCTTCCCTGCTCTAGCCGTATCCAGCTTGGCGAACAGAAAGCTTGGTAAATAGTAGAGTAAGATGTGTTTTTGATCATTGGCAGTTCTAACCGGATCAGCTGAGCTAGACTCCTTCCTGGGGGTATGGTCAATCTCAAATATACGCTGGGGTGATATATAATACGCAGGGAGCTGATCGAATACCCTTTTGGTTTCCATTCAAAAGCTTGGAATTGACCACACCCCCGTGTTGACCATACCCCGGTGAAGGAGTCTATCATAACTTCTGCAGATCGCGAAAAGTTATGTGGTGGTTTGCACGATATCGATCTCGTGTCATGTCAGCGTCTAGAACCCATGGTGAATCCCGCGGATCCCACACTCACACTCACACTGCACGACTTGTACTGGGCGAGAGAGAAAAAAAAGACGCGGGCAAGGCAAAATTTTCTTGATTTTTTTTTTTCTTCCTGACGTTAACGTTCCTTCTTACCCTCTCTCCATCTGCACGCAAACGCGTCCGCACATCATATCTATTTATTCTTCTGCACTTTTCTTCCTGTCTCTCCCCAAATGTGCAACATTGCAACAACGTGGTAGGTACGCGGGGTCAATCAACCACCAGCTATCGTACTCTGCCATTCTAACAGGCGAGTGATGTCTCATGTTCCCAACCCCACAACCGACTGTGCTTAAAATAGGCACACGTGGCTGTGCAGCCAACCTGCCATTCCAGCAAGGTGCAAGGGACGCGCTTTCACTTTGTGCAGAATACGAGGCAAACCCACTCACCCCCAAAGCTAGAGTACATATGTAGGTCACAGATAGGGCATCTCTGTGAGCTTACGATCTGCCCTTTGTGCAAAAAAGTACTTACAATGTAGATTAGTACTAGTGGGTGGGCGGGCGGGTGGTTACGTGCAGTGCAGCGTTACAGATACGGGCCCGACGTGAACAGAAAAAGGAAAGAAAAGAAAAAGAAAAAGATTCCTTTTCAGACGAACACCCAGACGGACGGGACGGACTCGATGAGACGAGACGAGGCAAAACCGGATCGGAGAATTTGTTAAAAGAAGAAACTGGGCCGCCAAAGTACATACATGTACTCCAGCAGGCCCCCGGAGTTTTAAGTTTCGATCTCGCACTAACTAACTAGATGTAACTAACTCCTCGAACGAACGGAATAATGGAACAGGACCAAAGAATAACTTTCTGACCGCGAACGCACCCGACAAGCGAATGAGTACGTACAGGTAACTATAGGCGGGTAGAACTAAAACGGAGGAGGAGGATCCCTATGGCGCGGGCCGACAATCCACCAATGGTTCTCAGAAGAAGGAAAAAGAAAGGAAATAACGTTGTAAACGATTGCAGTGCTAGATTGCGTGCGGGTATCTTGCTTTCGCCGAAAGAAATAAATAATAGGGACAAAAAAAGACTAAAACTAAAAACTAGTTGTTTGGGTTTGTAACTAAGTAGTCAAAAAAAAGAGTCGTGATGGAGGGAGCACATAAGAGATTTGATATATGGAAATAGCGAAGGTAGTATGGTGGCGACGATGGTAGTAAAATAGGTAGGTATTAAAACTTTTCAATCGGTCTGAAGATGAAAAAGAGAGTGCTATTCCAAAGGGACCACTTTCCACTTATGAGAAGTTGTGAAGTGAAGTGACAAAAGAGATTGAACAAGAAGACGCGTTCAAGAACAGTCCTGAATTTCAAAAGAGATAAAAAGATATAGTTAATTGACTCCAAAAAAGAAAAAGAAAAAGAAAAAGAGATATATTTTGGACGGTCAATGATGTGCTAGAATTGGATTAATCCACTCACACCAGCCATTTAAGCCCTGCTGGGCTCCATGTTACCAGTCAGCTCAGCAACGCGAGCCTTGATTCTGGCAACTCTGGACTCAATGGTCTCCTCTCCACTGGTCTCGTCATCATCCTGGCTTCCTCTGGCATCAGAGAACTCCTCGGTCTGGGCGGGGACCTTCGACCGCTCGGCGGCGTTCTTCCTAATCTGTGCCCATCTGTCCTGCACAGGGACGGGCTCAACAGGAGAGACTGGGCTATGCTCCTCGGAAATCTTTTCGTTCACATAAACAGGCTCATGCACGGCTTCATGTGCAGGCTCGTGTACAGGCTCATGAACAGGTTCGTGAACTACTGGCACGTGCTCCTCGACGGGAGAGTGGTGCACAGAGCTGTCGGTAGAGTCATCTTGAACGAATGCAGGCTGGTCTGTAAGTGGGCCTTGATCAAAGGATGAAAATACTTGTGTCGCTGCACGCACTTCCTCGGAACCCGGGTTTGATGATTCTCTGTCGTGAAGCTTGGGGCGAGAATCATTGTTTGGGATCATAGTGGACGCAGAGACGGCAGCCTGGAACTTGATCGGGCCGTTCCTCTTAGATAGAGATGGCGTCCTGCTGGGAAGTGTGTTTTTAACAGTGAGACTGGCGGTGCTTGGGGTTTCGGCGAGCGGCGTGGCAGTAGTTTCAGTCTTCTTACTGCTGAAGAAAGATTTGAATCGGTTGACTTTCCTGATCTTTTCCGGGGTAGAGCTGGTAGATGTTCTGGACTTTGGCGAGGGAAGGGGAGGACTCTGTAGTGCTGGAGACGAATATCCGTTTGTAGTGGGCGACGGAAGACTCAAAGCAGGGTGGTTCAAAGGGCCGGAATTTGGAGATGGAAGAGCTGTGACCTTGCTGATAGGCGCAGGCTTGTTTGGAGACCTGTTGACAGGCTCAGTTTTGCTAATGGGCTCTGGCCTGTCCTTGGGCGGTGGTAGCATGCTCACAGGCCTTTGCCGACGTGGTGGTTCTTCCTCCCTCTCATCATCGTCATCTTCATCTGTAGGTAGAGCTGGTAGTGATCTTTCTGTAACAGGGCGCGAAGCTGTATTGGTATCAGGTAGAGGAAGACCGTTAAGGTATGCATCTCTAATAGCATCGCGATCGTACTTGCTTGCCCATTTCATCGCTGGCGTAGCCTCGGACATAATTACGGGCTGTAAAGTAAAGACACTGTTTGTCTTCTGGCCAGCGGACCTTTGACCGCCAGGAGTCGACCTTAGATGACTCTTCTCAGTCTGGGTCTGTTGCTGTTTGAGAGATTGTGCTGCCTGCTGGATTTTGGCTGTCTGGTCTGGCGCGATTCTTGTCCGTTGCATAGGAGGGGGGTTTGAGGGGTCAAATTTCATTGGAAGCTCGATAGGCATACTAGCATGGCCTACTGATTTTCTTCTACTCAACATACTTCTCATAGATTTCTTTTTATCTTTTGGTAGTAGTGCATCGTCGGGCTTTACTGCAGCACCTCTTACTTTTTCCTAAGAAACAGTCAGTTTGTGCTTCGGGTACGGGACAGATATAAAGAGCCTACTTCAACAATCAACCATCTTCCATCTTCGATGGCAGTTTCAATCAAGGCACACCTTCCAAACACAGCCTTACGCTGTGTTGGTTCCTCGCCTGCCAAACTTGACATCCAGACCCACCAAAATGCGTCATCCATATTCATGGGAGCCACTGTGGACAATTCACCAGGATCCATCGATTCATCGATTCTTCTGTGAGATGCCGAAGTCTTAACCCGGGAATCGGTGTCAATGGGAGGCAAAACCTTGTCAGGGGGCAATAACAGAGGTCTAGGACCGTTGTTTCCCTGATCACGTTCTCCAAACCCACTTTGCATGAAATCTGCCCATGACGGGGTTTGCGGGCGTGCAAGGTCTATCAGGTCCATATCACCACGCGGTGTAGCAGGCTGTGTTGAAGCTCTTCTTCTACGGTATGTATCTGACCCGCGCATTGACAATCCATCAACGTCACCTTCAGAATCGCTCCCCTGTTCTTCCAATAGCCCAGAGAATCCCATATCTTGGAATCTTGACCAGGACTGCTCCTGAAGACCAGTTGAGGTTTTGAAAGCCCCGGCAGATGATTGATTTGTAGAAGAAATACATTTCATGACACGCTTGCATTCATCAGTAAGGCCTTGTACGGGATCATCATGTTGCATGAATATCTGCAGAGCCTTTTCCCTGGGGTCATATTGAAAGTTTTTGGCACGTCGTAGAAGGGCAAATGGAGTAGGCGAGACGTTATCAACTGTCACGACAACCCGTACTGATGGTGACTGGAGCTGGGATGGCGTAGTAGGCGGGTAGTCCACGGAAGCAAGGAGGGCCTTCAACGAAATTGGTAAAACAGAGACACCCTTTGTACCTTCAGCAGGTGAAAGCGAGCGAAGATATGCAAAAAACATATGTGCCGTGGCATCTGCACCCCTAGTAAGAGCAATAACTGTGAGACAGCGTTACTAAGTTGACTTAACCGACTCACTTACCTTGACCACGATGCATATCCGCCCTCAAAACCCCAACCACCGTCGCTGTGCTCAAAAGCCCACCATCCGGCGAGCCTTGACAACTTCAAACCACCCAGCCCGTTATGTTTTCCATGAGCAGCAATGGCAGAGATTAGGTCGAAAAAGTCGAAAATGATCTTTGATCTAGCCTCTGACTCGGCACTGATAGGGATAAAGGTCGCAAACGAGTCACGGGCCATGCCAGACTCTGCAGGGTAGCTGTCAGCATGAATTCCATCCAATTTGGAAGTTTTCTAGAACAAACATACCGATTTCCCCTTGACGAAAAAGCTCGTAGACATCCCACGTTACCACACCGCCGGGAAGTCGACTCCAGCACCATTTCAACGTGCTACATAGTACCTGCAAAGCGTGTCAGGCACGAAGCTTACAAGGTATGGGGGGCTAACTCATTTCCATACCACAGGTTCGGTCAATCTGAGCTCTTGCTGCAGATGCTCTCCGCGCAACGGCCCGGTCGCCGGGTCAAAGAAGTTGCGGATGAAGGTTCGCGCGGCGCTAGGATCTGAATTTGGTCTAAACGGTAATAGTAGGAAAGGTGTGGACAGCCCTAATTATAAATGAAAAATAAATTCGAGCAAATCAGCAACTCTCAAGATATCCCCTTGAGGTTTCCCACGCGTAATAGAGCTCAATTGAACCGAATTGGTGGTTGGGTTGAGGTTGGTAGGTACATACCTCTATGCTTGATTTCGTTCGTACATCCCCTCAGAAGCTCTTGGACTTCTTCCGGGGTTACAGAGGTTCGGAACCACGCGTCCGCGTACTTGACTTCGTCAGGCTTTGCTGCAGCAGCAGCTTCTGCTTCAGCCTTTCTGATAGCGGCAGCGTTGTCCCTCTTGAAGACTTTGTTGAGAAAGGCCGGCATTGGGGAAGGGGTTGAATGATTATCAGATGTTGCAGCTGACTGACGTGACGGAAGACAGGAAAACGTGCAGCAGTTAAGTCCTTGCACTCCTTCTCGCCGAGCTTGCACAAGCGAAGGAGGAGCCGTGATGACGGGACTGGGGTGGGGTGGTGGGAATACTTTTTTTTTTAGGGAATGTTTTCAGGCTAGATAGGAAGTATATAATTCCTGATGGGCCAAAATAGGAGATGAGATGAGATGAAGCGATTGATGTGAGTTTGACGGGGACAAGAAATTACAAACAGGAATGGAATGGATCCCAAAAGGAATGGGGCAAGAGGGAAAAGACTTGTATTTGTCGACAGCCGGTGTCTGCGGGGAGAGTATCTGATCGAATAGGTGTATGGATGTACCCCAGAAAAGTTACAGGGTGGGCGTGCTGGCTGCAGAGCTCGCGGAAGCGTATTGATGAGTTGGACGTAGAGAGCGAAAGGGGATTGCCAACAAAGCAGTGTACAACAGCAGCGACGGCGACCCAGATAGAGAGAGAAACCCAGTAAGAACCTGGAGCAGCGCAGGAACAAGAAGAAGAAAAAACTTCACGTCAGGGAACAGCGGACAGACGAGCAAGTGAACAATGAGCCTTCCCTCCAGACTCCACTACAATTGCGACCATTCCCCCTTTCCATCCCTTCCACTTCATAGATTCTTCTTTGGGGTCTATCTCTTTAGGTACATTAGGTCTAGCTGAGACTCTCTTTCTGCAACACATCCAACCAGAGCTCCCTAGTAGAAACAATATGTTGCGGTTCGTGAATTCTTGGCAGAAACACACGGGTCAAGGTCCACTTGTGAATTTGTTTTTTTTCTTTCTGTCCGTTTCCCCTCTAGTTGGGTCGACTTGAGATGATGTTCAAGTGCATTCCCAAGAGGTCTCATGATTGGGCTAGGAGAGCTGATGAATGTTTTCACCCTCGATCTCAGTCTGCTTCATCCTTTGTTTCCAGCACACCAGGACATCCCAAGTTTATGGGGGGCATCGATTATGAGCTGAGATTGCTCGATAGATGAACCTCTCCCGTCTTGGAAATCAACTTTAATAGCGAGCTTAAAGGACTAGACTAGACAGGGTGCCCGAGCGACCCGATAACTCTTGTACCTTTTGGTTAAATTTTTAATTTTAATCCCAATTTTTCATGGTGCCTGGTAAGCTCCCATGTGAGCACCTTCAGGGATCGTTCCAGCCACATGTACAGGGTGTCAGGGACTGTTCCGGTCAACACCCCTGATAACGAAAGAGGCTTACAGTCATCCACCCATATCGTTCCCAGCCTAGCGCCGTATTTTATACGCCCGCCCAGTGACAGCTTATGTGTTTCTATTTTGGGCATCAACACGCGATAGCGAGTGAGAAGCTCAAAGCAGGCACCAAAGATCGGATCTGACGACCTGAAAATCGCGGGTGGTGATTTCGAACAGCCAACATCCGCTGCCAAGCAGCGTCATGTCTTGATATGTAGCCAGATCTCGTGATTTGCTGCATGCAATGTTATATGTTCAGGTTCGATTTGAGTGATTCTTCAAAGAACAATTGGATTGAACAAAACTTCTTTATGTGGGGAGCCGCAAAGGGCCACGATTTATACGTCAATTGTTTCTCGGCATTGATAACCGGCCTGATACACAATTGCAGAAGCGACATTCTCAAGAAAGCTGTCGCACTGGAGACACTGGAATATGAGATCCGGCGAACGGGAACATACATGTGCATAGAAAACACGGGTACATACATGCCTTGGACTTTTGATACGAGCATTGCGAACATACATCCTAGATCCCTACAAAGGTACCGATTGCTTGTAGCAAGCTGCCCGGGACGTCGAATGTGAAGGCGAGATCGCCGAGGTCGTTATCTCAGTCATCTGAGTCGGTATTGTAGACGAATAATGACGTCGATTTAAAACTGTGGAGAATAAAAACTGGTCAAAGCTTCGCTTGCCATTCATGTAGTAAGCGAAAATGTCACCAAGTCGCATGCTCCTCCCCTCTACCAGTCTGAAGCGTTTTCCTATCCGACCACAAAGTTCACGACTTCCAAATATTCATCATCCGACAACCCGAAATCACTCAAGTATGAAAGATAAGGCGACAGTCATTGAGTGAGTGTTGGATGACATAATTACTGTTTAGGAGTGAATTTCTGACGAAAGGACTCGTAGTGAGTTTAATGGGCTTGTCAACATGTCATCTGGCGAGTTATCGGAATGGTTGAAGGAAGATGCTTCCATCTCCTCTGGATGGACCAAAGATGGTACCGGGGAAACAGTTGGGCATCAGAGGTATGATACCGCGGCACGGGTTTCCACTGGTGTCCTCAAATAAGCGATCAGAAATCTAACGGGGATAATCTTACAGTGGCCGTCATATAGTTGATATCCTCGAAAACAATCCTGACATGGTCCCGGAGAAATACAGAGATGGGGACATAGACCACATGCGCAAAGTCGTATCGTATTGTAAGCGGCATCTAGCTCAAGAGGAACAGGCAAAGAAGAATACGAACAGTAAGAGTTATAAGTCGCTGAAGAATTGGGGACACGATGCATTGAAGGAATGAGGCAAACTTATAGTTGTGGATAAGATCTAATTTATTTTTCCTTGAGCTCCATCGTTTCGAATCGGCCCGATAGGTATCAAAGTCAGCGCTAATATCACATGGAGACTCGCTCAAAACCCCGGAGCCAGGACTCTCGGTCACCGAGTCTTCTTAGTGTGTATCCAAGATCCAGAAATCCCACATGCAGTCACTTCGCAGTTAACTTGACCAGCATCATAAAAACGTGGGACCTAGAAAGATATGAAACGCCCCTCTGTGCGTGGGGCAATGCAATGTTAATAAGGCAAGGGTGGTCATCAGCATAAACATATGTGGGGGATAGAAATAGCAGTGTTCCAGAAGGAATTTGCATGATAATTTTCCGCTCGTAATGGTGTTTACGCCTCAATTCTAGCAGCGCGCGCGTGCGATATGCATACAGGACCACCAGCCTGGCTAGGTATCCCACCCACCACGAGAGTTGTGTGGTGGAGTAGCTACATGCAATCCCAGGGACTAAAGCTTGTTGGAAGAACCTATCGGTTATTATACCGCCAAGAAGCAATATTGTCCTATCACGGAGATCCAGCAAATGAGGAGAAGCCAAGAATGCTGCAGAGTACAAAGAAGTCCATGACACTGGTAGGCGTATGTTTACAGAATCAACCATGTAGTTACATGTATTTCTACGGGGCACACGCCATAAAAACGTAGCTGGGCAAAGTACGCACACATCGTGTCATGGTCATGTACTAGCAATACCATAGATCTACAGAATAGTCCTACCAACATACATGTACGGTACCAACATATGGGTATTAAAAGAGAGCTGCTGATGATGGTGGAGGAGGCTCCAAATGACTTGCATGTTGGTGTGTGCGGGACGGATTTCGCCCTGTGCGATGCCAGTCTAATAGGTAGGAAAGACCCCTGGAGTGCGGCCGTTGAGTCGCCCCGTTGAGGTCAGCGAAGGAGCATGGATGTTAGGCGTGGTCCGACGTTCAACCGAGACATTAGCCTCGTTCGCACCGCATTGGGAAGAAGAGCGGAAGGAAAAACACACAAATTGACTTATTCGGTCTAATTTAGGGACATCCTGTGAGTTATTTTTGGGAGGCGAAGTTTCTATTTTAAAGAGGTTGCATGTCCCCACTGTCTGGCCTTCTCAAGGGACTCTCATACTCACCCTCTTACCGCACGTCCGTTCACACCTCTCACAGTAGAGCCGAACACCATAGGCAAAAAACAGTAGAGCACGCGAATCTGGTCCCCCCCCGACGTGTTTGACTCTTTCACACACCCCTCAGATATTCCTATATATCTCGGGGAACATCGTCCACACTTCTCTCTTCTATATTCAGAACAGACTCTACTTACCCTCACGCAACATTATCATCACCTCCCATCCCATCCCATCCTATTGTTTAAGTAGAAAAGGCAGAGGCTTCTCCACTTTTAACCTGTTTCTATTTAAATATATCTGCCCCCCATTCCCACTACCCAACCGTTATCGCTTCTATTGCATAGAACGTATCCTTCTAGCACCCATTTGTGTTCTTATTATAACCCGTGCCAATTCCGTCGCGTCGCCCAGTCCACACTGTTTCATTAATAGTACACATTCCCCCCCCACCTCACTTGAGTTCATAGCGACTGTACAATTATCGATCTTTGATAATCAGTTGGCGCGTTCTTCTATTTTTTGGCGTCCTGGCTAGTAATTAGCTTTCACCATGGGCCGAAGAAAGGTACATACTATACATGCGTGCACTTCCCTTCATTCTATCCTATTTTGCTCACGCGTTGTCCGAGATCCCCTTTCTTTGATCGCGCAAACGGCTAACACATCGTCGCATAGATTGAGATTAAACCGATCAAAGATGATCGTAACCGTCAAGTGTAAGCATCTTTTTTTGTACTATTTATCCGTTGTCGGACAATTTGTGTTGACATTCTCGATAGAACGTTTCTCAAACGTAAAGGTGGTTTGTTCAAGAAAGCGCATGAGTTATCCGTGCTCTGTAACGTTGACATTGCCGTTATAATATTCGGCGCCAACAAAAAGTTGTACCAGTTCTCATCAGCAGACGTTCAGGAGATCATTAGTCGGCATAGCTATGTATGTAATTCCTCCCCGGATGGTTCTTTCTGATCGCGAACCATGAGCTAACTCGCAGCAGTATGAAAACGCGCACGAACATAAAGGGCCAGCCGATTTTCAGGCCAAGGCGGACGCTGGTGATGATGACGATGACGACGATGTTGATGATGTCCCTCTAGAGAGAGAAGCTTCAGTGCTTCATCATCTACATGCACCATCCCAGATGCACAATAGGCAACACACTGCCTCTGCGTCCCCACCCATACCTCCAAAGAACCTTGTAGGAGGACAATATCAAACGATGCCTCAGATGGTAGCGCGTACGACGCCACAGCCTTCGCGCCCCAACTCGCGAAACCAAAGGCGGGATAGCTCAAATCTAGTACCCCAGAATCCTTACCCAACATCCCAGGCTCAGCAACAGAACGGATATCCAGCATATGGCATGCCAAACACTTCGGTTTATAACCCGCAAACGAATAGTTCAGTCATGGGGATGTCTGTGCAACAAGCACAGTCGTACCAAGCCTTCCAACAGCAGCAGCAACAACAGCAACAGCAGCAGCAGCAGCAGCAGCAGCAACCGCAAACACAGGCTCAATCTCAGGCCCAAGTATTCATAGGTGAGGCCAATAGGCGACAATCTATGCCGCCAGCTATGCCTATGCCAATGCCACCGGCTTTTCCGTCGGGGCCGGACAGGATGCCTTCTGAAGGGCCGCCGCGCATTGACACGCACCCTGCCAGTGTCATACAGAAGCGCGCTCCAGCAAAGTCTCGAAGTATGTTCACCCCCGTGGGCCCTAGTGATTCCCTACTTGCGCAACATTTCTATGGCGACCGGGTGCAAGGGTCACAACGATCGCACTCTGTAGATGTTGCTACCCTGTCAAGACCGGCCGCAAATACAACTGTTCCAGAAAGCACAAAGCCCGATAATATCTCAGAGTCCTCTCCAAAGCCTGCAAACACGATCCCTCCCATAACTCGCCAAGACTCGATTCCACCGCCACCCTCTCGTACCAATAGTATGGTTTCCAATTCCGGCAAACCGGGGGGATCTAGACCTAGGCTTAAGGTGCAAATTCCCAGTGAGCACTCAGACGCCGGTAGTGCTACCGGGGAATCATCTGCACATGAATCCTCGGGAACTACAGGAAACCATTCGGCAAAGGGCGTGAACGAGGGAGGTCATACTGTTCTTCCACCTCCTTCACCAAGTGTTGGAACTCTTTTGAGTGCAGGCGCCACTGGCCCGGTAAATCCATTTGCTCGTCCGCCCCCTACAACTGGACCAACTGAGCAAACCCCTATATCTGCTCTTCCTAGTCGTTTTGTGGATCATGGGTTGCTGCCGTCACCTTCGGTATTCTATGCGGATTGGCCTGGTTATAACCATCGAGCCACTGATAATATATTGCCCAGCCCCATCAACTACACTACACCAGTAGTAGGCACAGCAAGCAATATCTTCAAGGATCCTCCAGAGAGCAATGGGAAAAGGAAAAGCCCATCTTCATCGGACCATGAGGATGAGGGAGCCATATCGTCCTTTCAGAAACGTGTGAAAACATAGAAGGCTTACTATGGTAATCCTACTGGGAGGCATCGTTTGTTTGAGTTCATACAGTTTTTAATGTTCTTTCGTGGCGTCCCTTTTCGGTTTGAATAGGCACTCGCTTGATCTTTTCACATTTATTTCTTTTGTTTTTTATGATAGTAGGAAGGGGTGGACGAATTTCCTTTTTACGCTGGGAACGGAAATCGGCGTTATCCGTTCGTTGTGTTTTTATTTCCATTGTCACGATTCTTCGGGCTGTCTTGCCGGCTTTTTTTTCCTTCTTTTCGCCCACTTTCACTTTCTCGGTCCATATGGTTTGGGTTGGCTTTTATTGGTTTACTTTCTTATTTATTATGGACTTCTGGTCGATTTCTCATTCCACCGTTTTCCTTTTACAGCTTGCATTTGCATGGTTGGGTCTTCTTGTTATTTTTGTATCTTGCATTCTGACTGAGTTTGATTGCCATTGGGTGTTGGTTGGAACTCCTGGAAAGACTTGATGGGAAGGGATATGAAGTATGAAGTACGTAGCTATTGACTTGTACAAATTCAAAAATAAATTTGATGAGAAGGAGAGTTTAAAGGGTATCCGTGTATATTACTGCCTGTAACGAAAGAAAAAAGTAGAGGTGATTCAGATGAAAGTACAAGGGTGCCAGTTCGAATAAAACTAAGATGAACCCCCACACAATTAAATTTGGGGGGAGGCGGTTACAGCTTGTCCTTGTTGTCCCGAGAGTACTATGGGCCTATCATTGCTTCTGGGCAGAGGTGTTTTGAATTTGATCTGCCCCAACTTCCCGGCTCTGTTCGATCGCCAAGTCCCAGCGCTTGTGTAGCCCTATAGATTTGGTATTAACAAAAAATAACGCTTAAACACGTACGCGGCGTAGAACGCGTCAAAAGGCCTACACGCAAAGTCACACAAGACACAACATACCTGTCACGTCCTCACAATTTTTAGCAGCCGTCTCTATATCTTCATGGATCGCGCCCACAAGCTGTTTCATCGACTCTAGTGTTGCGCGCACGATCCTGAGGGTTGCAAGCTCCTAAGCAGAATGAACATTTGGTGGCTTGCAATTGAGAACTGGATCGATAGACTTAGCAAAGCCCGAGACTTACATCCTTGAGGGCAGCCTCCTCGTCGTTAGAGGGAATGCCGCTGCTAGTTGATGACATTTCTGCAAGTTGGTGGGTGCAGTGTAACGTTCAAAAGTGCCGTATATCCCCGATTGACTGGTCTGGTGTGGAGAACTCCGTGATATTGGGCAGAAAAAGCGAGGAAATGCTCTTCGGCGGGGAACGGCGGTTGTTGGACGTTTGATTGATTGCAAGTAGAAAAAGCAAATTGGACGTTGTTAAAGGTGCGACATACATGTGGATAGTTACCGACAGAGCCGGCCAAGCCCTGAATGCTTCCGGCATAAAAGTTGGTACTTGAATTGCTTTCTCTATGTACTTACGGCGAACTGCGATAGGCACTGAAGTTTTCAGCCATGTGCTGCCTGTAGAAGTCACCGGATAATTTACTTCATCGTCTTATTCTAGCTCTTCATTGGCTCTATTGTTTGCCTCTTTACCAACACTTACCCCAGCCTGGGGATCGACTAGGATATCGTTTCCTGCATACCGGACAAAGCCGAAAGGTAGCAGGCATCAAATCCCGTATTGGGCTTGATTACCCTCGCTCGCTTCTTTATGATGGCTGTTTTGGCGAGTTTAAGGCTTGTTAGGCCAGTGGGCCTGAGGGGGTGGTGATAATGCGTCTAGATTCTAGATTCGTGCAAGTAGAAGAGTTAAAGGCGGAATCGAGGCTAGTTTCTCCATGAATGATTATTTATGACCCAACGAGTTTCGTACAATAGTTCGAAAACCCCATTCAAATCTATTTTTTTTCTGTTCCTCTTCTTTCTCTTCTTAGTTCTTCTCTTCGGAACTTGCCAAACCTTTGTAGAGGTATCTGTTCACCCGAGACCGTCATCACGCTATAATAGTCTCCCCCCCCTTCACCCGAAACTCCTAAATTTCAGTTAAAGAAATATCATGGAGAATTCTTCGGGGACCGTTGCAGCAGCAGCATTCCACCCTCCCGTAACAGGGGGAGCTGCATCATCGTTAGATCATCGGTCTGAGAAGGATGTCTCGACTGAAACCGAAGCGTCAAGTTCGACATATGACGAATTGGGTGCTAACAATTCTGATGTCCCAACGGAGAAGCAACATGAAGCACCAGAAACAAATAGACCAGCGGAGGATGAGCATCCAGAAGAATTAAACTCTCGCAGGAAAGCCATCATTGTGCTTGCGCTTTGTGTAGGTTTACCTCTTTTTAAAGAATCTTCGAGGAGTTGGAGGATCCAGAAGGGTTGGTCTGGGGCTTGAGTATGCTGACTGATTCTTCTAGTTATGCGTGTTTTTGTCTGCTCTTGATCAAACAATTAGTAAGAACATATGAAATAGTGATCATATGCTTGTATGGCTTTTGAAGCTATAGCTGATATTAACGAATCATAGTAACAACCGCCATTCCTGTGATAGCTGGGCGATTCAAGTCGCCAGCAGCTTATACTTGGATCGGCAGCTCGTTAGTCTATCCGTCCCATGTACAGTTTTTTGAAGTTTTAGGCTAACCCCAGGGTTTGCTATTGCTTGTAGTTATCTATTGGCTTCAGCAGCGTTGGTGTCCCCCTTGCAGATCGCACCTTAAATTACAGTCTACTAACTCAAGGTTCGGATATGCAGCCTACTGCCATCATGGGGTAAATTCAGGTAAGGATCACTCCTAAGAGATATGGGCATGACGTTTACTGAATGGGCCAATTTTTAAAGTGATATATGGGGTCGGAAACCAGTCCTATTATCTGCCTGCATTATATTCTTGATTGGGAGGTATGTTTGTGTTACCGCTTTCATTAAGATTTTCAAAAGCTCATATGCGATTCATGCGATAGTATATTATGCGCCGCTGCACAAAATATCGGGATGCTGCTGGCAGGTCGAGTGATCCAGGGAATTGGGGCAGGTGGACAGCTAGGGCTCGTGAACGTTACCATATCGGATCTGATAGCCGTGAGGTACAGACTTCCCAGCGAATCCAGGTGGATATAGGGGCGCCTGCTTACAAGGTGTCTTAATAGGGAACGAGGCATATACCTATCCTACGTCGGGCTCACATGGGCATTCGCCTCTGCAATTGGTCCAGTGTTGGGGGGTGTCTTCACCGAAAAGGCAACATGGAGGCTCTGCTTCTGGATCAACATCCCAATTGGTGTAATTGCGATATTGGGATTGGTGATTTTTCTGCATCTTGAATCACCTCGAATTTCTTTCAGCGAGGGCCTACTAAGAGTGGATTGGCTAGGTATATGCTCCTCATGGAGCTCTGACGAGATGGTACCATTTACTAATTAAATTCAAGGGACCGCTCTTATCGTTTCTGGAACTGTGCTCTTTCTGCTCGGCTTGGAGTTTGGGGGCGTATCCCATCCATGGGATTCGCCAATGGTGCTTTGCTGCATCATCATCGGACTGCTTTTGGTGGCTACTTTTGTATTTGTGGAATGGAAGATAGCCAAAATACCCATCATGCCCCTGAGGTTATTTAATCATCGGACTAATGCGTGCTGCTATCTGATCGGTTTCCTACATGGCATGATATTCATTGCGGGATGCTACTTTATTCCACTGTAAGTTCCCCTCCATCCCTGACTATTGCAAGTTTAAAGCTTATCTCTTTCTCCACACCAATACAGATACTTTCAAGCTGCACGCGGAGATTCAGCCCTACTATCAGGGGTCTTCGTATTGCCATATGTCATCGTGCTTTCCTTAGTGTCTGCTGCATCCGGCTTCCTCATTGCAAGAACAGGTTGGTAAACCCTGTATTAAGCGTTGACCCGTAGCCGTTTACTAATCGCCTATAAAAGGCCAATATCAGCAGGTAATTTGGGGCGGAACAGCCATAATGGCACTTGGAATAGGCCTCCTTGTCAACCTCGACCGAACTAGCAGCTGGTCAAAACTCGCCATATACCAGATTCTGGCAGGAATTGGTAAGTGCAATCATTTCCCCCCTCATGATTACTAACCTACCTAACCAACCAATCAATTAACCGAGTGATAGGCTGTGGACCACTTTTCCAATCTCCCCTAATTGCAATCCACGCGACGATTGACCATAAAGACGTTGGCACCGCCACTACCACATTTTCCTTCGTTAGATCGCTCGGCACTGCGCTCGCGATCTGTATCGGCCTTGTTGTGTTCCAGAATATGATGGAGAACCAGTCGGCAGAGTTGGCGGCTTCATCCTTGTCGAGGGAGGCGGTGCATGCGATCTCTGGGAGCTCAGCGGCGGCGTCCGTTGGTTATGTCCAACAATTGCCAGAGGAGCAGAAGATTATCGCGCAGGATGCGTACGCGAAGGCGTTGAGTACCATGTGGTACTTCTTCATGGCTGTGGCGATATTGGCTGTATTTGCATCAATTGGAATCGGTATGAGCCCACCCCCTCCCCTCAGTTTATAGAATCTCTACTCTTAACTGCTTGGTATCTGATCTATGCTAACTGGCTTTATCTTACATGTAGGCCGGCACCACCTTAGCGACAAGGTTGAATCGGCGCAACCTGCAAAAGCGCGGAAGAGCAGAAAGAAGAGTGAAGAGGCCGTATAAGCTTGGTCATTACCGCTATGACTAGAAATTTGCATTTTAAAAAGCATTACGTTTCTTTATCGGGTCAATCATTGTATCATAGGGTTGTTTCATTTATCACGAGATTCCAAGGCGTTGGTCAAATTACACATGCAACCAATAGAATAAACATAAAAGGTTGCTCGATTTACCAAAGCAATAAAATTTAAATTTCTGAAATTGTAGTTACTGCCATTTCGATACTTCGGTGATGAGATAGGGTCATAAAATGTCACTCGGAACATGTTCAAGGTGTGAGGCAATTATGTAGCTGCTGGACAGCTAGACTGTTACAGTGCTATAGAACATAAGTCGGTATGCCATCGGATTTATATCAGACTGACTGTAGTAAGAGACCGGTGTAGTAGACCGAGGAGTGGCAAAACACCCCATCATGTTGAGTTAATTGGTAGTACTGAGAGTTTGCTGATGAGATCGGTCGATTGATAATTCATTGATTGCTAATGAGATTACTTGAGAAGGTTTTCAAATAGTCTTCTGGACCAGAGTCACAATGTGATAGAAAGATCTATAGCTGCAAAAATCCGGCTCCCCAATTTAAGAAGAGGGTATGTAAGTATCTATGTAGACCGTAATATACCACTCGAATTCGGTCCCAGCTATCAAGAAAATTAATATCTATAAAATATTGAGATAAAAATTATAGAAAAGGTCTAATTAGGATGATAGAGTTTTCGGTAGACGTGCTCTACAATAACACATGATGTAAGATATCAGTATAGTTCGCTATGGGGGGATGTGATTGAGCAAGTATTGAATATTATGGATGGCTGAGCATTATCGAAGGGTTAGGGGTCTTGCTTCATCTTGGCACACTGCCAAGCTCAAGTATCACTTCCAGCGCAGCGTCCACCATGGGCGAGTGGTCTAGTGGTTAACCGTTGGACTGCTCGTCGGGTTAGACACCGAGTGTTTACCCAGGATAAGGTCCTGGGTTCAAACCAGGGGTGGGGGTAGTAGCGCTCACTGATCAATAAGTCGCTGCAGTACCTTTTGTTCTTTTTTGTAGTGAAATAAATTAGGAGGCTATTTTGATTTTTGATTTCTCTAGAGGAGGAAGGGGTGAGTGATGGGCAGGGAATCGACCCTTATTACTGGCTTTGCCCGATCTTTGTGCTCTCGGCGTAAGGTCGAGTAAACTTTCTATTTTGGATCATAGCGAACTGTGTCATTTTGTATCATGTGTTATTGTAGAGCACGTATACCGAAAACTGTGTCATTTTGGACATTTTCCATACAATTAATATATAAAGCTAAATCGACGCAGCCATGGACTATCACTCGATGTTCCTCCAACAGAGTTTATTCTATACATCCCCCACCGGCATTGCAATCGGGTATAGCCGATCGGCATCAAAGAGAGATATTATTCAGTAATTACCCTAGTTTATAGAGCACCGATTCCATTTCGGACTGTGAGGGAAATTGAAAAAAGGAAGAGCCAAGGGTTCGTAGTAGATGAGGGTTTCGGCATCCCACCCTGGGGGCAAGAGATTAAGTTTTAATGACTTAATTCTGTTGAATAAAGATGAAGAGGAGGGACACATCTCCTGTATGAGATAAGGTAGAATCTCCCACAAAAAGCTAAAGATTTTGTTAAGGTTTCCTCTTCAAAGATCTAAAGCTAATACAGTCGAATCTCCCTATAAGGGTACCTTCTATAAAAATAATCGCTCTAGCTCTCGGTTCTTATTCGGCCTTTTGAGTACAAATTGTCCCTTGTTATAAGGGTGCCAATTTCCGGTCTCGAGCGTACCCTTATAGGGAGATTTGACTGTAGCGTGTTTCCCTACCGTAACCACCAAAGATTATCGGGACGAAATAATGATAGAGAAGACTGGAAGAAGAAAATGGAGGTAGGATCGATCTACCAGAAATCCAAGCATTATGTAGAGCAGCAGTGCCAAATCTACAAAGAACAGGTCAAGAAACAGGAGCCAAAGTTCGAAAGTATACGAGGAGCGAGCTCACCCTACATGCGAAATCATACCAAATCCATAGGCCAGCCAAACACACAAGCTAAAAGCCTACAGAACCACAGCCCGCTCTTTTAATTCCCCGGCCGTAGCCCAGAAATCAAGAGGACAAAAGATGTCAAATAGGAGACGGTGGCAGTACCAAAGCATGCTAGGCTACGTACTCGATCAGGTTGCCTGGCTACATGCCCCCAATCATGCAGGTCGAAGGTAGAAGCTAGCTTGATAAACAATAGCGGGGCGTCATTGTGTATACATGTATGTAAGAGATATAGGGGGGGGGGGGGGGGTTGTAGCGACTGGGTAACTGTATCTCCGCATCCCCCAACCTAGCAGCTTCAATGCTGCTTAAGAAAGCCCAGAAACTATACCAAAGCAAGGATTGAGATCGAGCCAAGGGTGAAATCACGAAAGATCACTCGACCGTACCCAATCCTGCATAGGAGTAGCCAAGCCCGGTCAACGTTCCCTCTACGTACATGTAGTAGCTACCGGATGTACCAAGTTTACCGTATCTTTATGTCTGATGGGGAAATATTTTATTTCAATCACCCACAACATCACCCAGATCCTCGTTTCTCTTCAACCACATGCATCGTTTGAATAAAAAAGGAACGTAAGGTCCCACGTACCCTGTAGGTAATTTTCTGATGTAGCAAGCTCACAAGTCTACTATCTGTAGTCACATACAGTTAGATATTGGCCAATTATCATCGACCAATATATCGTCGACGGCCGCAATTGGACTCAATTGAAAGGGAAGCAGCCCTATAGAGGGCATAGCCTCCATGGGATAGTAGTGGCTTATCAAGGCCTCAGAAAGTGTATCACAATACACGTCCGACGGAAGCTAGTGTTATAACTATGGAAGAATTGATTGCTATGACTGTCTATTGGTCAATCGGCCTCTCTGTGTATATGAGCTTCGCCCTGAGGTCGAACCACTTTATATACCCATATCATCTATCGCAAGAATATCGCAGTGCCAGTTACATATATATAAAACCTTACAGCCAGACTCTAAAAGGTGATAAGTACTCGCAAATTGGCCGGTTATACTTTAATGCTCAACTCTCCACCTCTTCCTGCTCATCCGTACTCCTCGGGTCAGAGAATCCTCTCCCATCCTTCACTATCAGCATGTTCACTGCATCCACTATGGTCAGCTAAAGCCTCCAACGTCTAGCAAGAGCGCTACAAACCAATTTCTGCAAGTTCTGCTATGTGGTTATCTCTCGACCCTGGATGCAGCTCTATGATAGCATTATGCAGATGTAGCAGGTACTCTCTATTCTCGCCCGAGGGTCCACGAGAATTGAAGATATGCCTAGCAAGATCTTCGGCAGATGGGATATCTTTGACGAATTGTGGGTTGTCGGGGGTGCCGATGTAGACGGTTGTGATGATTGGGGGGAGGGTGGGGTCTGCTTGATGCACTGGGACGGTGTGAATGGAGTAGCCGTTAATTTCGCGGATGTCAAGGTATCTGGTGTGAGGTGAGTACGTGAAAGAAGATCCCAGAGGGCACTGGTGGGTGGATAAAGCCCGGGTATGGCATTGATATCTATTATTATCGTGGCCGTAGAAGGCCATACCCTCGCTTTTCTTCCACCACCAGATATTTGTCACGGGGCGGACAGCAATTACTTTTTTACTTCTTCCACCTTGGATTTTTCGATCCTGTCTATATTAACTGTTACCTCAAAAGATTCCCGATGGATAGAGACAGACTTAGCGGCACGTACATGCTACTCCCCATACAATATCGTCGGCTTCGTGCTGAAATTTGAAATTAGTGAGCTTTAATATATGAGCTCGGGGTGCTCAACAGCAGGGAGACTACATGATCATTCAATTTCTCCCAGGCCGATCTGGAGATCAACGTTACGACTCGACCGGGACTTTATAACTCATAGAGCCTAGTTAGCCTATGCACTCAAAGGCAGCTTTCTCACGAACTAGCATTTAAAACGATATCTCTTTTGGGATACGTTTCACACTAGTATTCTCTTTCTCAGAAATAGTAACAGATCCCAAAAGAGATCCCAGAGTTAATTGCTAGTAACTTCGTGTAGTTCATGATCGCCGAGTATTTTTATTTGGAAAAGACGACGGTGCCACACGTACGCTTCTGGAGTACCCCTGTGATCTTCACTGGATAGAAGAAGCCGGTCAGCCTTGGCCTATTTACGTATCGATGAGGGGGTTGGTTATGGAGCGATGGGCTGTGTAGTTGTGTGCATATGTGTGCTATCCCAGGCGAACCAACCTCGCCTAAGTATTGCAGAACGAGATTGTCAGCAGTGGTGGTTGGCGTGGTAACACTTGGTTCCTGGGTATAGTGGCCCATACCTGCCAAAAGCGCCTCACGTAGCCTCTAATGTAGCCAGGAATCCTCCGGTCTGTGGGTTTGTTAGAGTTTATAGAACCACAGGCAATGTATGTAGGTATGTTTGCTTGTTTCTTGTTAGTGCTTGTAGAATATTTTCCTACCTACCGTAATGCGGAGGCGGTTTCCAAATGAGACTCCTGTGGTTCGAATAAGCACAAATCAGTCAAAAACTGCCCTTAGGTGGTTGCGTGCGCCTCGATAATGCGGAGGAGAGCTGAGATTTAGTTGTGGGCCAAGAGTACAGACCCATAGCCAAATAGCCAGTACTCTGGAGAGTGTTCAGTGGTCATTTCAATGGTGATGTTCAGGTGTTCAGGTGTTCAGATGTTTAGATGTTCAGTGGGGTATTGTAGGGATAATATGTCAACGTCACGGACGAGGGGGCATCCAGGGATGATAGATAGAATAGGTAAGAAGGATGGTAAGGATACGTTAGTTACATGTATGTAGGTACGTCTCCGGACCCTTCTACGCCTTGTGGAGGGGTTATCTCCAGCCACAGAAGCCCAAATCGAACCCCACCAAGACCTCTCGGCCTATTCAAAGAAGTTCTTATTGCCTTGGATCCCACCCCCTTGACTGTCCGCATCTCATCCTCATCATCTCAAACTTCCCCTCCCTATTCACCCCCTCTACCTTGACCTATCAGAAGTATTCTACAGTCCTTAACTCGGTAAGTAAATGGGCACTCTTTAAATACTGCTTCCTCTTCCTCTACTTCGTTGTTGCTTTATGTAATACACTACTGACCTAGAGCTCCTTCAGCCCCGAACCCCGCTAAACCACATATTTACATCTCTTTTACCCAGATATACTATGGCCTACAGAAATACCTCCAACCCCGATGAGCTACCAGCGTAAGAAAACCACCTCCCCATCTTTTTTTCAGAACCTCATGTCTTGGTGGATCACCAGACCGACCGTACCATCTGAACACGCGCGCTAACATACTTACGCAGTCATGCCGAGCCCGAACAGGTGCGATCATATGCGCACTCCTTCCAAGCATCTTAAAAACTAAAAATCCGTAGGCCGCGCAAATGATGGGAGGTTACGAGAACCGTCCGCCCCCAGCCCGACCCGCAGGAAGTTTCGGCTCCCAGGGCGGTCAGAAGCCCATGTCTCCTCCCGTACATGACCCCTACAGGCAGCAACAGCAACAGGGATACAATCGCCCGCACCAGGGGCAGTATGCTTCGCCGTCGCCAGGTCACTATAACAACCCCCCACCTGGCTCATTTGCACAGCAACGCCCGCCACCGGTGTCGAGACCACCACCAACCCCGGCGCCGCCACAAGGAGTCGATCCGACTTTGTTGCCACTTTTTAAGGCGGTAGATAAGGATGGTGGGTTTGGGATTTTAGTGAAAGTTTTTTTGTAGGTATAATTGACTGATTTTGGTGGTTTCTTAATAGGGAGTGGGCAGCTTAGTGAGAAAGAGTTGCGCGCAGCGCTGGTGAATGGAGATTGGACTTCGTTTGATCCGCATACGGTCAGGATGATGATCAGGTGAGCTTTCTCTTCATGGTTTTTGGGGGGCATCTGTAAATAACTGGGATATGTAGAATGTTTGACACCGATCGCTCAGGAACTATTGGCTTCAACGAGTTCTGGTTTGTTACCGTCATACCTCCCTCGAAATTCGGTTTTTAATTTAACAAACTCGGATAGTGGACTATGGGGATTCTTGGCAGCCTGGAGAGCCCTCTTTGACCGTTTTGATACTGACCAAAGTGGCAATATTTCCTACCAAGAGTTCACCAATGCCCTGGCTGGTGCGTATCGCTTGCTGTCCCACTCCCACTAAAGCAAAGGAAGAAGACGACTGACATATTCCATGAAGCATTCGGGTACCGCCTCTCGCCCCAGTTCGTGCAGCTGCTTTTCAGGTCTTATGACCGAAGAGGTCAGGATCCTCAACCGGCAGCTGTTGTCCCGCAAGGTGGGCTGCGGTGCCCTCCCTGCATCGCTAGGCTAACAATGGTGTAGGTCAAGACGCAATTAGCTTTGATCTGTTTGTGCAGAGTTGTATCTCACTGAAGCGGATGACTGAGGTCTTCAAGAAATACGATGATGACAGAGACGGGTAATTCTTCCTCCCCCCTTTCGTCATTGATCACTGTAAACTAACCGGCGTGGTATGATGTAGGTACATAACATTGAGTTTCGAAGAGTTCCTGACTGGTAAGTTCACATGTACTTGAAGTTAGGAGTTTTTCCACCCAAACCTCCGACTAATGAATTCCCCCCTTTGCTCCCCCCCCGGTTTAGAAATCCTCCGTCAGCGTTGAAAACTCACTGAAACAACAAAGTATTCTGTTTTGATCGAATGGAGAATTCCTAGTGGCACGATGCTGTCTCCTTTTATTCAGTATTTTCTTCCTTCCTTCCTATTTATTTTTATCTCGAAACAACATTTTCTTCGGCATGATAATTGGGAGCTTTTTTGATATTGATTCCCCGGTATCATACCCCCAGCCCCGGTACACTTTCGCTCCATTTACTCAAAATAGTGGAGGGATGGCATATTGGTTTTGGCTTTTTCCTGAGTAGTTTTTGTCTTGATGGCTGTTCGTGTTGTTGCTCGTGTTAGACTTTTTTGTTTGTTAGCTTGACTCAAGAATTGGGGGGAAAACAATTGATTGGCTTTTTTTCCTTGTGGGAGATTTTAGCGCGCGAGAAGAGAAGCAAGCGGAAATAAATGTGGCTTTAGACGTCCGAAGATCAACCCTGTCTGCCTAGCGAGTGATACGTGGTGACTGTACACGCTATTATCCTGTCCTGGTGAAGCTGCATCCTTGGGTTCCAGCAACCTTCAGTAAAGATCGTTGATGCCGATCTGTGTGAGCACCATTCTATTTTTCATCTTCAATTGACGCTGTAGGCGAGTCTATGTAGTCCCTGGGCCGTAATTGGACTCATCTGCCCACAACAGACATACATAGTTCAATAATACTAGTCTGGAGGACTCATCGATCTGCACCTGGGCTCCCGTGTTTACCCTGACGAAGGGTTGCTTGATGGCGGTTTCAAGAATACAAAGCCCGAGGCTGGTTTTGCCCCTAGACTTTGGTGCAGATATCAAGTGCAGATATCAATAAAAATACACTCTGGGTACGAGACCACCAGTAAACATGTAGCTATATGTAGCTGAAGTTAATAAAGGGGGATAGAAAAGTTGGGGGTAAGGGAATCATACTTAGCTATTCGCTCTACCTAATACTTGTGGTGAAAGCCTGGATGCTAGAGGATGGATCTATATACCACTGGGGTACATTCGCCCGTAGTTCTTCCTTCGATCATCATCGTCGTAGCAGAGGAGCTATTGATTAATCAGAGTTAATTATACTGCAGGCCCGGAGAAGATCATTCAGGGGGTGAGGGATGGAGGGTGGTGTGTTCGTGTTTGTGTTGCGGAAAGGAAGCAGGCCAGGAGAGATACATAACCATCAAACCTAAAGATCTCTTGGCGCTTGTACATACGAACGGACTACCAGCCCCTCCACACTTTTCTTCCCTTCTCATACATCTCTTTTACACACGACGACACCACACTATCAAGACATAAAATTAGAAAGCAGTCAGGGTTAATCAGACAATGTAACCTGGCATGCTTCTTCTCTTCTACCAATATCGCCTTTCCTTTCGAATGACGGATCAAGAGAGAAACCAGTCTCAGGTCGTGGGCTTCAGACAATTAAATCTATACTGCCGGTTTTCATACCCCGAGGTGTGAGGTTTTGGATTTTAAAAGAGATAACCCACACACCGGGATCATGATACGAGTGATGGGCTATGATTCACTCATCAGTAAAGGAAGCTCTGACAGTGACTCTAATATTTTGCCAAGCGATCAAAAGAGATAAACAGCAAGTTTCGCGAGAATATATACAGATCAAAAGAAAAGACGGCACAGAGGCTTAAGTGTTATCGAAGGGAATGTTCATTAACTTGACGAAATTCACGACGGCCCTAACAACGGAGTACACCCGACCCCGGAAGAACCAGGGAATAACTAGCTGTCCTGGAGATATCCTTAATGGTTCTATAGAAAGATGGACTATTTAAAACACATCTTGCGAGCTTCGTGATGGATCGCACCTGTTGATGCGGCAGTATTTATTAACGAGTGATACCTCATGAACACGCAAGGCCCTGCTGCTAACTTGGCATGCACCGCGGCAATTATCTCACAGCTTAAGGGGAAGAAAATTAGTACTCGGGAGTTGTGGAATTGGTATAAATCGATCAAACAAGATGGCCCATGGGTTTGTGGATACTTGAAGTGTTGGCCACGGTGCACGTGGATATCGTTGGAACGACACACATATTCCTAATATCAAAGCAGCAGCTGGATTGGCGGGAGTTATGAAGTACGTATCATAAAAGTGTCGGGAGATCTCTTTTCAGTGGTACAAATGGCACTGTAAAGGACACCGTAGAGCTACAAGTGAGTCGATAAATAGCTATAGGAGGGCTCAGAGAGCCATCACATCAACAGAATCATCCCCCAACCCTTCCTCTTCTCCATCGCGGTCCCATTTTCGTAGGCCCCGTCCGAGGCTCCGGGCCTTGAGTTATGGTGGAGGCGAAGTTCTCAATATAAGTATCCTCGGTATTCTTGGATGTGCTGATTAGTATTAGTTAGTATAGTACCGCTGAGAAAGTTAACAAAGCTACATACCTTCCACATAAGGATCCTATGATCGCCAATAGTGTCTCTATTGGCAATGGTTTTCTCAGGCTATTACGGTCGTGTCAGTGTGGGCTCTATGCTTAAATATAAGGTATTCAGTGCTCAATTTGCTGCGGATCCTGGTCCTGTGAGGGCCTGCACGCATCCCGAATCGGCATAACTGTCTCAAACCACCTTCAGGTTACTCCTACACAATAAAGACTTCATGGAATTGGCTGGATAATTAACTAACCTTAAATACCCCACGCGAGAACTCTCAGCCTCGGAAGCCTCCGAATCGTACGCATGCTTTTTTTTTTTTTCAGAAGCGCGAACGTTCCTGGGGAAAATAAGAAAGGAAAACTAGCTCAAAACCTTGGGGTGACAGGGATTACAAATACGGCGGGCTGTACTCGGGGCAGGTAAAAAGTACCGGACAATGCAGGTTTTTGGTTCACCAATGGGTGTGCGTGCTAGGCGTGAGCTACTGCAAAAAACCCCAGAGACAAAACTTGCATTGTCCGGTACTTTTTACCTGCCCCGAGTAGTACATAGCGGCCCCCCCGCCTTGAAAACCCGCTCATTCCTGCGCAACCTTACTATTTCCTTGGCAAAAGTAACAACAACAACACATACGATTTGTGCGAGAGGGGTCAACGTCCACAACGGACGAGAAAGAAGGTGGAGCGAGGCTGCCAATGCCTCTACCTATTTATTCGTTTATTGTCAATTCTGGGTTTACAAGCAATCGAGCAGACTCGATGTACTGTAAAAAAAAACCCAGTAAATACAGGAATTAATACAACTCAATAGACTCGAACTTCGATTTAAAGGTACGAGTGAATTTTAAGCTTCTTATTTTCAAGGTAACCATCACACACCAGGATCTATGCACGTTACACGATCCTGATGTGTGTACCAGGTAGGCGGGTTTCTTTCGGGTTCGATTCTCATATTTCGGTTCTCCTGCCAATTGGACCAGAAAAACGGGTCATTAGTGGCTCTACTCTTCTGGTTTTTATGGAGGTAAACGAGAAATAGGGATCTATGGGGCAGGGTTTGTATTGCTGGCTGGGCCAATGAAATTCCTGCAATAATTCTATCACTCGCTCCACCCTTCGTGCCAAGAAGAACAAGTTGAGTTCTGGCTGGTAAAGGAAAGTAAATTGAGCAAGTTTTACGCCTCGTCGGATAAATCTCTTGGATATACAGTATTGTGCAAGGCGGGCATGGACACAGGCACGTTTTCAATGTCTCGTGTAATAACCTTTCAATGGAACCTAGTACCAGGTTGCGAGATTAGTTGAATATATAAGAGAACGAAATCCCTCCATCTGTGAGAACTTTCTTACTGCACTGCACTTCACTGGTACTGTCTCGATATATCGGCTCCCTCAGACAATAACCAAGAACTCCAGCATAAACCGATCCAAAATGCAGATCCAGTCATTCCTCCTCGCCGCGCTCAGTGTCACCGCAGTCTCTGCCCATTTCTCAGTGACCTACCCCTACTGGCGTGGCAACAGCTTCAAGACTCAATGGACCTACCCATGTATGCGTTCATCCCGTCATTCCAATGTATTAACACAAATCCATACTAACCCACCTCTCTAGGCGGTGGCGTTGACCAATCCATCTCCGACACCAACCGCACCCTCTGGCCGCTCGACGGCGGCGCCCTCGTCTTCAAGCCCTCCCACACATCCGCCCAAACCTATGTCAACATCGGCTTCGGCAACAACGTGACTAGCCTGAACCAAACCCTTATTGGGCCCTTCAACCAGACCGGCAACGGTACCTTCTGCTTCCCACATATCACCCTGCCCGAGGGCCTCGATATCACTGAGGGCCTCAATGCCAGTATCCAAGTAGTCCAGCTCTCCCACAACGGTGGTGCGCTTTACAACGTATGTTCCTCCTTTCCCCCTCTCCACCCCCCAAGCCAAGGATGACGAGTGATAACACGTGACGCAATAATTTAGTGTGCGGATATCACTTTCTCGGCGGAGGCGGCGGAGACACTGGGTGAAGATGTGTGCTTCAACTCCACGGGCGTTGGGTCTGCACCGTTTGAGTATGGCGATGCCGCTGCGGCGGCGACGACTTGTAGTGAGGGGTCGACGAACGCTTCGTCTAGCGCGCAGGCTACCAGCAGTACTGGAGGAGCGGCGCCGGCGGGATCGAGGATGGGTACTGGGGTGGTTATGGGCGCTGTGGGAGTCGTGGTGGTGGTGCTTATGATGTAAACTGATGTAGTAAATATCATGCATGGGTTTAGCTTTATTTCTCTTTTTTTCTCTTCTTCTCGTTTTCTTTGTGTTCTCGCTGGGTTTGGGGGTTTACCTTGTATAGCATTGCTGTAGGTGCATCATGTAGTTAATTCCCCGGCAAACAGTTGTCTATGTCTATGTCCTATTCTAGGGAAGGAATGAATGGATGAATATGTAAATACATATTATGCAGTTACTGGATGCCAATGATGAAAATACATGATACTGAGATTTAAGACACCGCACCACAACTTTTTAGAATTTGAAATGATGATCGCAAAGCCACCCACAACTCCTTACTAGCTAATTTACAGATGAAGCGATTTTGAAAACGAAATAGTCTTCAAAACAAAAGAAAGAGGAATATAACTGTGACCCCACAATGAAGGGAACCAACCAACGAAAAAAGAAGAAAGGAAATGAGCACTCAATGCACCAAGGTATTAAAAGCATTGCATATAAAGATAACCGCGCTGCTAGTTCTATCTATACCCTTAGTCGGCACCCAGCAGCTGCAGCCCCAAGCGGAACTGCGCAATTGCAGTCTCCACATCCTCATAATCCAGCGCACTAATAGCCCACCTGGCATGCTTCTGTGCTTTCGTCATTTCCTCCGGCGTCACCTCCTTCTTAACCCTCTTTGGCGGCGCCGCTGGCGCCGGCGTTGGTGCCTGATGGTAGTGGTTCAACGGCGGCGGGGACTGCGAGTACGGGGATGGTGCATACGGAGGCTGCGCGTAGGGGGTCTGGGGAAGAGGCTGCGTGTAGGGGGCCCGTGGAGGAGGCTGTGAGTACGGAGTCTGCGAGTAGGGAGCCTGAGGAGGCTGCGGGGGGTTATATGGTGATATATCGGGGAACGAGGTATTCGCCGGTCCCATTGTTGTGGGGAAGAGGCTAGGCGCACTGGGTTCGTGCACGGTTGGTACCTCGGGGAGGTACTCGTGGGGTTTTTCTGGTGACCGTGGGGGGCTGGGGAGGACGGGTGTTTGCGGTGCGGGCGGGGGGGTGGAGTGTAATGAGGTACGGGCAAGGCGTGGCTCAAGATCGACGGACTCGTCGGGGACCTCCTCGATGCTGGGGGCGGGGGGTCGGTTTGCGTTGCCGTAGATATCGGGGGGTGGCTCGGTATGCTGGTTGCCGTAGATGTCTGGGGGTGGTTCGGTGTGGACGATAGGGGCGGGCTCCGAGGGGGCGGGCTCTGGAATGGCGGGTTTGGGAGGGTTGGGGTCCTGACCGGCTTGGATCGCTTTCAAGATACGACTAGACTGGTATTTACCATATATAATCTTTTTGTGGGTCTAGTAGGTGTTAGTTAAGGTATTTGAGGGAGTAGGAAGAGAGGGACGGTACGTCTGCGTCGAGATCGCCAAATACACGGCAAACTTCGAGGAGAGTTACGCCTGCTAGCAGGGTATCGGCGGTTTGACTGCGGTAAATTAGAGGTTTGGCATAGCTTGTAGTGGGGGTTTGTAGGGTGAGTAAGGTACCTGGTGGCTCTGTTGGTATCGATTATTTGGGCACCGTTGTTAAAGATCTTGAGGGCGAAATTCTCGACGTAGGCTTGGGCGGCCATGTCGTCGGTAATTAGTTCGTTGCCCTCCAGGGCTGCTTTCCGCTATCTCAACGTATTGGTATTAGTGAATGGTCTAGATAAGACGAAATGTAGTGTAAAGTACCCGCTCGAGCTCATCCATAAGGTCGGTAGTCCAAACAGTGCATTCCGGACTTTGTGAATGCAGGGAATTGGCAAGAATATGTTTGATTGCCCAAAAGTAGCCTATCCCAAGCCAAATCAGTCAGTACCACTCTTGACAAAAACTAAGATAAGCTGTTCACAGTAGAAAACTCACAATAGTACGTGATGACAGGATCAACATTGCGAAGCTGATTCCCGCGCCGAATGTACTGTTTCACCGAACTGAGCTCGCTCGGAGGCTCCCTGACTGCTGCCGACTTGCCAGACATTGTGTGTCTGTACGGCTGTCGTTATAAGAGGGTGATGGGATGAAAGTGGTACAAGTGAATCAGGAATTCTCTTCTTTGAGGACAGGAGCTCTAATTAGGCGTGTTTGTGATGATGATGCTAAAGTTTCTGTGTGGGGTGGACGAGATGGATGATGGCGGGGTCAGCCAGCCTGCTTGCGGAACGACGACCCACTCTCACTGTCGCACAAGGTGCAGTTGTCGCCAAGGCCCCCTTTCCTCCTGGGTGCTGCTACGCTTATCGATAACGATAACTAGCATGCTGTTTATGTTTATCTCTCTGGAGTAGGAAACAACATCCTGCAAGCACTCGCCCGGATGCGCACGAGTTCACAGAGTAGGAAGGAAGAAAGGAAGATTGCCTGCGCAGCGGCAAAGGCCGCCGGAATGGCGATATTTGGATGACTCCTACGTAATACTACTTTATCTAAATGATTTATTGTACGACGCTTGCAGAGCTCTATGTATTATTAAGGTGTTCAAAGGAGGTGGATATAAAGCTTCAATAAACCCCTCTCAACACTACAACAAAGCCATCTCATCTTCCATCGTCGTCACTACTAGTTACCAGTACTATTGAGAAGTTTAAAACACCCAATTCAGTTGCCTAATACCCTCTACCCATCTTATCCAACACTGCAATGGCTGTCGCTCCGAAATTCGCAGCTCATGTGTTGAATGCTCCGGCGGGTCCAGTACACACGTTGGAGCTCTGTAAGTAATATCATTACCTTGCTCTCATATTTAAAGAAATTCGAGGCTGAATAGCTTCGATATATACACTAGACCTCGACTACGTCTGCCCTGTGAGTTCACAGTCAATATTTGAATTATCGATTCTCAACTAGCAACTCATCCAGCTAACCCTCCATCCAGTTCTCCGCAAAGCTCTTCAACCGCATCTACAATGACGTCAAACCCCACGTCGAGCAGAAATACCCCGGCAAGGTCCAGGTAAGTAGCAAAGCCAACCAATCTACCCCCAAAACGATACTAACCCTGCCTTCCCAGTTCATATTCAGACACCAACTGCAACCCTGGCACCCCAGCTCCACACTTGGTAAGCCGCCCTCCTCCCCTCCTTCTCACTCACCAGTTCTCACTCGCCCATCCGTCCACCAGTACACGAAGCCGCCCTCGCCGTCGAACGTGCCGACCCCTCAAAATTTTGGCAGTTCTCCGCAGCCCTGTTCCGTGACCAGACCTCGTATTTCGACGTCAATGTCGTGAACGAGACACGCAACCAGACCTACGGCCGTCTCGCTGCGCTCGCCGGTTCCATAGGCGCCGACCAGAAGACCATCTATGACCTACTCAAGATCGGGGATACACCTGTGGACGGCGCTCTAAACACCGGTAACCAGGTATGTCGTGTTGGTGGTGATGAGTGAGTGGTAGGGAGGAGACTCGGGCTGATGATAGCGCCAGGTAACGAATGACTTGAAGCTGCATGTGAAGGCGGCGCGACTGACAGGAGTCCATGTGAGCCCCACCGTCATATTCAATGGTAACGTCGAGAATGCGATTTCGAGTGGGTGGGAGCTGGGCCAATGGGTCGAGTGGTTTGAGAAGAATGTTGGTTAGAGCTTATGGCCTCGCTTTTTCAGCTGGGTTTGTGCGGGGATGGGGGGAGGTGAGTGGTTGGGTTCTAACTGCGGTGTGCTGCAGTGGAAACCGGATTGAGATAAGGACCCTTTGATTCTGATTGTACGGATTGTACGGGATACCATCGTAGTAGTATGATTGTCTTTATTCGTGATTCTTAATCGAAATACAACCCCGCCAGGTATAGAAAACAAAACAAAAATCATAAGTAAATAGAGTGAACACCAGTGACAAAGAACGCAAGCAATAGATGCATCCCTATGATACAGAAAGAAGATAAAAATTTAAAGATAAAATGAAACGCGAAACGACAGAATTATCAATAACGTATACCGCTGCTTACTTTTCAGCATCCTACAAACGAAAGTGACCCCTATCCTATCTATTACCCAACACCTTAAACTGTCCGATCTCAAACTTATGACGAGAAAAATTGGCTCTTCTGAAAGCTCTCGATACTAATATCGCCTGGCTTTGTGTCTTTTACCATTTCTCCCGCCATCTCGCTTGTCATTGTTGCTGTTCTGCTTGCTGAGCCGTCTGTGATTTGCTTCGCACCACTTGCGGCAGCAAGCTCATTCTTCCGGGTGATAACTTCCAAGTAGGGACTTGGAAGATACCCCACTCTGCTATCTCTGGCACGGCACTTCCACCACTGCGATGGATTGCCCATGGGATCGCATTTGCTCAAGACAGCAACGAGATCCCCCTTCTTCACGTCCAATTCAACTCCACCCTGAACCTCAGGTGTAAAGTCGAACATTGCGCGGCAAAACTCGAGCTTGGTGGGGTCCATGCTGGCTGCACCGCCTGCAGCAAACATTTCGGGGCCACCAGCGGCCTCAATCCTTCTTCGCTCCTCGGCTTCCTGTCGGCTGGCGAGGGCACGGATAAGTTTACCCATGAGGTAGGGCAATCCGAATACAGCGACAATGAAAAAGAAAAATGGCTTCTTCGATGGCTTAGGAACACCTGCTCGGCCGCTCTTTCCGTTAACACCGTCGAAGGCGGCAAAGTTGGAGGCCGTCAACTCGCTTGCTGATGCAGGTAGAGGTCGGCCAGTGAGTTTGGCAAGGGCAATGCGGGCCCACCGCATCATTGTGAAAATTCCGAGAATGGAGCCGAGGGTATTTTTGAGGTTTCCGAATTGCTCGGCGACTTGTACCATAGCTATAGACAAGAGCGATCAGCCAATGCTCCAAGTAAAAATAAAGCAAATGTGAATACAAGAAACATACCAAAAAACGAAGAGTGTGTCGCCATATATGTCGATTCAAGCATCTGAGCGAACCCACCAAAAGCACCAACGATGCTCTCAATCATCTGGAAAGTCGCAGCGGTGCTATTCTGCATGCCTTGGGTAAGGCTGCTTGGGTCATTGGGGTCTCCGCCTGGGTATCCACCCATTCCTCCAAAACCACCAAGCCCACCCATTCCCATTCCCATTCCCATCCCACCGCCGTACATGCTGCCACCATAACCTCCGAATCGGCTATATGGTGATGAGTATGAACTCATTGCCCCATAGCCGGCGCCCATACCGTAGCCAGGCGGTCGATTGTAGGCTCCATACGCGCCGCCAGCCGTTGTCGCGGCGGCACCGAAGCGGTTGGCATTTGCGTTTGTTAAACTCGACGGCCGTGCCGGGAGCGCTGGGGCACCAGGGGCTGCTGCTGTTGTTGTTGTGGCCGAAGCTGCTGGCGTTGCCGGGGCGGTCATTGTTTGTACAGGGGGTGATGAAAGGATAGAGGCTTAAGAGAAGGAAAGGGACAAGTTAGAACGAGTGTGGTGGCTAGATCGATCGATAGATAGGGGAGAGAGGTGTGGAGAGTGAGGGAGGAAGGTTGACAAGAAGAAAGGGAAGGAAGAGGAGGACGGGTTGGGATGGGATAGGTTAACACGTACGAGCACTGATAGTACCGTTTCGCTCCCAGGGTTTAGGAGGAGAGGGCTGGGACATGGAGAAGGAGAAGGAAGAACGGAGATCGGGAGGGGGCGAAGAGGCAGTGGGCGAGAATCTTTCTTCTGCTTGTTCTTCTGCTTGTTCTTCTGCTGGTTTTCTGCTGTACTTATTCGCTGGCGATGAAAAACCGAGACTTTGTTGGCCAGTTCAGTTGGGCACCGATGCCGAAGTGTTTCGTGACGGGGCTGTAAAAATAAAATGAAACCACAACGTACAGGAAACAGATCACAACTATTTAACACGATTAAAGTACGGAGCCCACAGCAGAGAAAAAAAAAAATAGAGGATGGAGTACTGTCTATCTCTATCTCGAAATTTTATTATTCTCGATCGAGGGTTGCTACAGGGAAAAAGAAAGGAAGCAAGCTCATGCTGCGGACGGTGCAAACCTCGGCAATCGGTTCAAAGCTAAAACATCTCCGCATTTTAACCTCGCCACTTTCAAATGTCTCCTAGTAAGCTAGGTCAAAATCCATCACGTCAAAAAATAAGCCTGGCCATTGTGACAGGTTTGATTTAAGTGGAAATAAATGCCATAGAGGGTTTGGGTATATAGCTAGTCTGCGGTCATTGGCATCAGAAATATTGTGGTGATGTCGGTCAAAGCTTCTCACTCTCACGTGTTAGGTTGAGGTTACTGGTCGGTCCGTTCTTTGGCCCGCAGACCCCTACCCTACGTGACTTAAATCCATAACAGGGTCCTCCTAGGTTCCGTGTAGTAGTAGCAACCGATCCAATAGTGGTCTAGATCATACAATATCACTCGCCATCCACGATTTCATGGAAAGGAGAGATCCAGGTTAATTGATAATTCATCAATTATGTAAGAGATTTAGGTCCCATTAGACATATTTCCATTCTCCTCTACTATCATCTTCTTTCATACTATATGTCCAGCCTCGCACGGTTTTTTTCGTGAATGATTTAGCCCTCAAATGAGACGATGGTCTGGCGCCATATTCCTATCGTGTCTATTTCGGCCACAAATCCAGATAATTAAGAGAACTACCGCATTCTAGGGTAAAAAAAAATGTTTATCTCTACCCACATTGGATTGTTTTTCACTTTTGAAATCGTCGATGTAAGCTGCCTCGATGGCTTGTGCCCATCAAGGGCGAATTTCAAAACAAACCCATCAAACATTACGTCTTTATTATAATTATGCGTTTGGATAGAAATAGAGGATGTATCTATGTTCAGTGACCACTGAACCCATTTACACACCGTTCTTTTGAGAGCTCGCTCACTGGGATCTCTTTGTTGAGCTTATGCGGCCTTGAAACCACAAATCTGCATAGGAAGTGAAGAGCAATCCTGCAGCCGTATGGTGGGAACTGTTTCTATTTCCAAAGAGCTGCCTATAAAATTTATATACGCGTCGATGTAGGAGGGGTGGAAATTCTTGACTATCGTATACGCTATCCATTTTGCTCCTATCCGAGTGCAATAATGATTGCCATCCATTATTGGCTCGATAAGGATAATCTTGTCAGAATTCTCGTCAGGAACAATACTGCCATTACCGATCATACCGTATGAACAGGTAATTTGTGATTTCAAGATCGACTTCTCTAAGGTAATTTTGTAGACGGGATTTTGGATATCTGAATGCTCTGCAGGGGCTGTCTCCAAGCATGTTCGTGCAACTGGGCATATGAATAGAAAGTCCATGTAAAATCATTGACCCTGTTCTAGTGTCGGTGGTCCATTAAGCCAAAACGTTGATCCGAGTTAGTAGGTGAAGATCATCCCTAGAGGGCGAAATACCCGCGAGCAACCCATTGACGCAATTAGTTTTACCCATCATTGTCGAAGTGAAAGTACATCCGTATAATCCGTAATAGACCGTTCTCAGGCCCATTAATATCATAATATATATCCAGTATGTAACGAAGATAGGTAGTTTCCCTGTTTTCATCTTCAACACAGGTGATTATTGAGCCCTCATGTTGATATATCAAATACCAATACACCTCAGCTAGGCTAGCCAGTAACATCACATCATATTTGCAACTTCTGGTGTTTCCTCTCTGGATTGAATCGAACATTATTTTATAAGTTATGCCATTTCCCAAGTTTCGGATTCAACTCACTATATATCTTCCACACAATAAATGTACCTGATTAGCCAAGAAGGTTTGTGCCTGTATCTACTCTCCAGAACTCCATACTGATAGACTCCTCTCTAGAGTTGGACAGATCGAGGACGCACGCCCCCACATTTATTGGCAGAGATAGAGCATATAAGGTGAAAGAAGTAAGGAGTATTATGCGCATATGCATTGCTACGTATCGACCCATGCGCGTGTGCATGAAATATTATAGCTAAAAACATTTAAACCAGCTGTGTCCCAAAGCTGCTGATGGAATACCTATATACCATTCAAGGCCATTCTAAAAGTTATATAGAACAGAGTTTTTGTCTGCTGGGGATGCTCGGAAGCGGAGTGGCGAGAAGAAAACATCGTATTACTAGTGTAAAGAACAGAGAGTAAGTAGTATCAAACGGGCACTAGTTTGTACGGAAAGAGTGTGTACACGTATATGAGAACGTTACTGGGCCAAAGACAAGCAGGTTCATTGGCTGTTAAAGGGTGGTTGCCACTTCGTTTATCTTAATCTGCAGCTGCTTCTGGGTGTCTGTTCGCTATTAACCACCTAGCTTCATTGCTGAATTGAGGAGCAGCCGATCGAAGTGAGCATGTTGTATACGATATGCGTTCATAATACACGTAGTAATTAGTGATCATGAGGGGTTGTATTTCGAGGGAAATCGTGGGCAAGCTGGCATAGCCATGGAAAACGGTGCTAAGAACCAAGAGATTCTTTAACTAATGACGACGCAGGAATGGCAACGGCTAGATGGTGATTTTCTTTTGTTTAATTCAATAATTGGATGCAGCCTTACAGCTACGGCAATATCACACTAGAACTTCCCATCAACCTCCTCCACCTCTCACAAAATAACAAATAGGAAATACAATAAAAACAGTGACTTCTGAAATGTTTCCCTCCTAGCAATTTGTTCTTCCCGCCCGTACTCGCCCATATGTACTCCTGCGATCTATACAGGTTAGATGGTGATATTTCTGGTGTGCTTACCTAAAAAGGTTTGTACAAGTCCTTTTTTTGGTCTGGCTGCTATATATGCCAAAAACCCAGTTGCTATGCCAAAGCCCACCAGACGCCAGTTACTGGTGTTGACTACGATATACGTGACCCAACCGTGTCAAAGTATAAATTGCCCACGACCATGCAGAAAACACCGTAAAGTCTAGTAACAAGACTAGATATATGTAAGCAAGAGAAGGACGTGAGATTAAAATGAAAACACTAATTATACGAGGAGGGAGGGAAGGAAACGAACAAAGTTAAAAACAAGTAAAAAGAGAAATGATAAGGCCTCAGTTGGGATTCAAACCCGAGATCCCCTCACAGCTCTATCTCCTACGTGCTAAATTTTGGTGTGTTAATCACTACACTACAGAAGCTTGTCTACGGCTACGATACCCCCAACCTTAAACTCAGATGGATGAGTGGGCCCGGCCTAGCTCAATATAAGTGCGAGTGATATTCCGTGAGCGAGCCTGGCCAAGTACCAAAAATCCATCAGAGGAGCCAGATTATGGACTAATACTCCTTAAAGATGTTGTTTAGGGTAAAATCAGCTGTTTCGGACAAATGCGGGTAATTAACACTTCTAAGTTGTGGCCGTTCTGTGTTTCACATACGTGCAGTCATGAGAAATCACTCGAATACATCATGCTTGAAGGCACTCAAGGGTGTATGGATAAAGTATGTTTAATTTTGACTTATTTTATGGTACTCTACTAGATTTAACTATAAAGGGTCCGCAGATACTTGAAGATATGGTTCATATGGTCCTGCCTTGAAACAACGCTTCCCTAACGCATAGTACAGTGCAGGTATATAATCACCAGTTCAATCAATAGACTTCTTAAAAGAAATTCCCCTCTAGATATCAACTCGGGATTAAGGATGTCTTTTCTCATGCTTGTGCTTCTTCTTTCTTATGGATGAAGAATGGGGCAATGGACTTTTATGAGAGATAGGGTTCTAACGAAAGAATGTATTCCGAACTCGCTGAGCTACATACATGTACTTATGGTAGTTATTCTAGTTAAGAAGATGAATCTGGACTCCTTGTATGAATTGACACTCAATACCAAACCTGTAATGTCCAAGGCGTCTGTAGGCCTATTATATAAAATCAAAAACCTAGAAGGAGAGTTGAAACTTGATACCTCGCACCATCAAACCATGTCCATTTAGCAACTATGGCCGGCACGGCGCTGGTCTAAACTCGAAAGACAATGACGCCAATATCGGCAGTATATACTATATACCCCTGTCAGTGCATATATCCTCATCAACGGCTAGTGGTGACTCAATAACGACCAAAAACAGCATTGACATCAACTGAAAGCGTGATGGATCCCCGGCGCGCGGGTGGCCTAGACATATATATTCCGCGCATCTCCGTCCGAATAATACCCTACTTCTACGTTGAGTAGCCCGCGGTACGCGATTGCAGGCATCCCGGGTTTCAGTCGCAGAAATTACGATAATACCATTTCGCCGAGAGGCATTAGAATATCCCGCCCTGCGCGGTGCGCCCATCTACTATCTACGTAGCTCCCATCATGTGGAAACAAGCTTTCATTCGAGGGCTGAAAAGATGTGGGAGAACTGCGTGAGATTAGATGTTTCCACTTCTCGTGCATGTTTTCTTTTTCATCCGTGGATCGAGGCCTTATTTCTTTATTTTCTTTTTACTTTTGCTTTTCCGAGCTGCATGACTATGACTACATGTGGCTGATAACTCCATGGATGTTGATTGCCGCGCGGGTCTGAAGATAATGAGGGTTACCATTATTCCATGCGATAACGGAATTTTTATAATGTCGAACCGCGATATCAAGGCCATAGGAATAGCGGATACGAGTGATAATTTGTGACTATTGACCTAACTGCACCCACCCCGAGTAGGTAGGTGATACAGCAGATATAGCATCGTTGCTGATGCACTCGTCTTCAGCGTACCTCTCACAACTAGGTACCTATTTCTGCGGGTGCGGACAGGCGAATGGGATTGTCCAAATAACTCCTTCCGATCCACGTGACACGAGTCAAATCTCGAGAATTTAAAGCCGGCCAACATGGATGATGCCGCGCCTCAAGCCCGTAACCTCGGAGATTATGTTTGCAGAACCACCTTTTGTAAAAGAGATAGCACAAGGTAAAGTATCGTGAAATTGGTAGACCTGTGGGCCCATGAGTGGTTGAGATATGTAAAAAGATATGTATCTGGCATACATATAATTCGTCATTAGGTATTTATGTCCCCGAGTGATTGTGTGTGAATGTCAAAATTCGCCGGATGTGTCGTATGTTACGACTATTTGACTGTGGTGTCTTTTCCATGAGGCGGTAGGCGGAAGGCTGAACTTATCTGGACAAAGGATTGATGTGCTTGAAAGTACATATGTATGTCCACTCCCACTCCCAGTACCCAAACACCAGCAGCCGGGCCGTAATCATCGGGGAAGGTTTTTCTATATCTCGAGGAAGAAAAAGTCCCCCTGCACCTTCAATGCCGCATCTCATCTGAGTGTGCACCCGGTACCACCCTTTCGAATCGGGGTGCAAACAGCTCTCTCCAGCGCAACAGGCAGCGGGTGCTTCTCGCGAGGGGGTATGCTCATTAATACTCTATTAGTCCATGATGCGCTGTTCGCCAGGCCGTCTGTCTCCGTGGTGCGCTGTTCCCCACGTCCACGAGTGAGCCTTGATGATGCAAGTCGGGGAGTTGCATCCTGTCATCAGTGCGACCAGTAAATTGATTGGCGAGCCTCCAAGAATCGGTGCTAAACATACTTTTTTCACAGACGTTTTTGACACGTTGCTATTGAGTTAAGGTTTTCACGTAGGTTGCTATCGGAGGGGAGGGTGTGTGTTTCCTCAGGGGAGAGTCGGATTCGACCTTCCCTCTCACCGGCGGTTGGCGGTAATTTCTTTGTCTGCTGAAGCCCAATCACTTGGACGGATAGATGTAAGGGGGGGGGGGGGGGGGGTGTGTGTGCGAGGGCTGCATAAAGTGTTTCTGTCAACTCTTGTTGAGACATCATCCCTAATCCAAACTCTAAAGGCTGGCCGGCTGGGCTGGGCTGAACACAAAGTGGGCCCTTGTGATCCTCTGTATCGATTCGATTCCAGGTTCTCTCGTCGTTAGAGTATGCAGAAACAGCTGAACCCTGATTTCAAGTCTAGTTGGTCGGTCGAGGACATTTTTCGCGAACTGTGGCTGCTGTTGCTGATGCTAGCCAGTGTTTGTCTTGAGTGGTGAAATCTAGATCAGTGATATTCAGCTCAGTTCCCTTTTATGGGCTAGAAGATTGCGAAATCCAAATACCCGATCTCGTTATCATCCGTGGGCAAGGAAAGAATAACAGTTCACTATCTTAGCCTTGATTTTGCGTGTGGATCAACACAACATCACTGTACGTTCTTGGCGGCAAGTAGCAACTTTTTGTCAGTTGCCTATTAACATCAAGACTCGATTCGAGAATCGGTACCCCATGTTTCCCCCCACCCACTAAGTGCACAAGTGATCGCAGCAACTTTTCTCCTTCCAGGTGTAGCAGTCATCCCCCCAAGCTCCCCCACCCAACCCCAAATTTAAATACATACCACAACAACCTTCTTTAGAACAGCCGGTACGCCCCCCGAGCGGTGGGGATGATCTGGAGATTCGCTAATTTCCATGGGGGCGTTGAAGGAAGGGCTCACAGCTTCCAAGGTCGCTAAATAATGACTCTAACAGGAACCCACAGACCTATGGGAAAAGCCACTTGGTGATGGCTACAACTAGAGCACTGTGTGTTTATCTCCCGTCCAGTATGTAGTAGCCGTGCTAAAAAGTGGATTGAGGTTGTTATGGAGTTACACGGCCGCCAGGAAACACCCTGTGGATTCACTAGTTTGCGTGGACGGGCTATGTATGTTCACTTGTAGTTTGAGCATGTATTTGAGTTCAGTACGCGTGCCTCTTTCTAGGTGTATATATCTGGGGATCAAGACCAGGCTTTTTTTTACTTTAGATTTCCAGCGTACTCGATACGGGGCCGGCGGTGGTGGTGATACCAGGAATCGGAATTAGAACTGTCTAAATAATAGGGCAGAGTACTCTAGAGGCCACAAGGTACCAAGAGGGGGGGGGGGGGGGCAGTCTTACTCACTCACCATTTATTGGATATGCAGACCTTTAAACAAGTCCACTCGAAGTCGCAGATCAAGTCTCCAAGATCTCGGAATTTATATCCACTAGAGACACCCTTGCCTGTGCACTATCTACTCTATTCTAATCGCTCGCTACCAAACTCGTCCTGGAGCGAGCAGCACCACTGAGCACTCACCTCGAATCAACACAGATGTCTCTAAAATCAGTTGCGCATCTCGTCCTACCTGGGTGGTGGGTGGATTTTCAGGGACCAGGCACCATGAACGGCTGATTGGCTGCTGGCCCCCAATTGTGCCCCTGAAATCTCTTAGGGTTGCATTAGCGCGTTTTGGATAAAATGCTTGGCCCTTCAACAACAGCCATCAAAACTGTTTGTCCGTTCAGAAATGCCTCTACAATTGTATGCACAATACATATAATAATATTCTACAAGTCTACCGACCATTTTTGCCTAGGATGAGAAATAGAAATAGAAAGGGCCAGTAAACTTATGTATAAGCACAATGCGGCTTCAGCCCTGTAATATCTTCTTCCTACGGAGCTTTAGCCGCTGAGATAAGGCGATATAGAATTGTTTGATTACATATCTTCAATGCGACCATAGCTTTGGCGTTGTGCCTGATGTGATCCACATTCCTTTGTCCTTCAGAATCCACGACGAGTATGGGAGGTTGAGTTTCAATGCGCATAGAGTTTCCGAGCCTCATTGCATAAATAAGCTAAGGAAGAGCCCTGTGTGATGTGGAGTACTGGAGACTAAAGCGAGTTGGGTGTGCGCCAACAACCTTCCTGCGGATCCTCCAACGTGCCCCTAGTGCGAAGACCCGTTCTGCAGGGTTCGGGGTTAGTATAGGTTTGCACATCTCTAAACTAAAAAAGCACCTACTCGATAGTAAAGTAAAACCTTGATAAGTATCGTGAATTTTGTTTGTGCCATGTGGTGTCCAAACATGCTGAAGGTACCGACCCATTCTTATTCTTCCCTTTGTCAGGCAGCGGGTATTCTAGAGAGTGGTGTGTAAAAGAAAGGAGGAGGAGGGGAAAAAAAAAAGCCCACCCATGGCAGCGGAACAGCCTGCTGATGCTCGGCGGCGGCGCTGCGGCGGCGTTGGTGGTGACAATTTCCTTCTTGTGTGTGTATGCTTCGTACCTGCATTGGATGCTCCCACAATTGTAGTACATGTGTGTACCTACATGTCGTGTTTTTTTTTTTTTTTTGCTCGGGAGAGAGCCCCAGCCTAGCCAGCCCAATTCACACCCTGTTCGCATACCCCCAAGAGTATGACTGAACGAACAGGTGCTACGTTTTCGTACCCACCTTAGAATTTGACAAGACGCGGCTTGGCCTGTAGGCTGTGCCTCTTGTAGCTTTCCTTTTATCTAACGCCTCTTTCCCTCTTCTCCCCCTCCTTCTTTTCTATTCCCCAACTTCTTTGTTCTCAATACTTCCTCAGTCTTTCCTTAATTGCGTGGTGGTGGTATTACTTTCCTTAACATCTTCACTTCTCCACACTCTCTTCAGTGATATTTAAGGATATAAATTTCTCCTCAAAAAATAAAAATAAAAAAATCTGCAAATCAATCTCAACAATGCCTAGCTCCAATACCTTTCTGAGCGGTCTCGCTGCCTTCGCTGCTCTCACCCAATTGGCATATGCAACCACTTGCCAGCATCAACCTATCAACTATATTCCTTATTGCCAGGAAACGACCGCCATCACCTACTCAAACATCGCTGACTCCGGTACCTATCAAGATGTTTCCAGCTATGATATGGATTCTTGCACTTGCTCTTTCACGCCTAAGGACTTCTCTGGTGGACTAGCTCCTTTGAACGAGGAGGTATGTTTTTATATAACGCCCTAATCCTTGCCCATAACTACAAAGAATAAATCTCTAAACTTATTCTTAAATTTAGCTCTCTCTCCATTTCCGTGGGCCTATCATCCTCAAGAAGTTCGCTGCCTACACCCCCAACACAAAGGCCAAGCGTCATGAGGATCACGTCCGCCGTCATGCCCATGGCCACCTACGCAAGCGTAACGATAATGTTCTCACAGTCACCTCAACTACTACCATCACAATCACTGTTCCTGCTCCAGATGCCACTCCAGCTCCAGGTTCTGGAGATCAAGGAAGCAATGGAGGCTACGGAGGTACTGGAGCTGTAGCTTCGGGTGTGAATGTTGATACTGTTTCAAGCAAGGACAAAGACAATGCAGATATTGTATCTTCTAAGACATCTGCTGCCGCCCCCGCTGCAAGTAGCGCGAGTGCTGTCACCGGGGACTGGAACCGAATCTCATTCTTCGACGCCGAGGCAGGTAAAGCTGATGGCCTTGTATTTTTGAACCACATGGGTGGGCAAGGATCTGGAACATTCGACAATTGCTTCGGAAACTCAATCTCTTACGCCAACGGGACCGCCAATGGCGGTTCTGCAAAGCCCACTGTTTTGGAAGATATTCTGATTCCTTCCAATAACGAGTTCATTATTATGACCGACCGTCCATGCGAAGGAAATGACTGTGGGGTCCACCGCCCTGGAATCCCAGCCTACCGTGAGTGCTCTAGTCTTGAATTACAAGAATGATATCAGTGTGTACTAACGCTTCTTCACTTGTAGACGGATTTGGAGGCGATAACAAGGTCTTCCTCTTCGAGTTCCAAATGCCCGAAGACAAGAACTGTCCCGAGTTCAACCGCAACATTCCCGCTATCTGGGCACTCAACGCTAAAATCCCTCGCAACGTTCAATACGGAAAATGCTCTTGCTGGGACACTGGATGTGGTGAGATCGATCTCTTCGAGACCCTTGTTGATGCCGACGACTTCCTCAAGACCCATTACCACTCCAAGCAGGGTGCCATTGGCAAGTACGGAGGCGGTGGTGCTCCCGACTTCTTTGCCAGGCCTTACTCAAAGTCTATCCAGGCTGCTGTTGTTTTTTCGGGTACGAGTGTTACCATCAAGGTTCTCGATGAGGATACTTCATTTGCCGATGCACTGAGTAGTGACTTCGTCAAGGGCTGCGAGAAGAGCGTCTCAGTCTTCGCTGTTCCATCATAAACATGATGTGATTTTATCCGAAAAATAAGATCTTGTTGTATTTGTTTTGGATACTTTGTTTACAAAGAATGTATTCCCTATATATAAAGTTTTTTTCTTTTTTTTCTTCAATTTTATTTTATCTCATTGGTGTGTGGTGTGTGCAATATACCTATGCCCTCCCCCTTTACTACCCCGATGGGCAAATATTACCTACTTTACTTTTATTATCACTTTACCGCATAAGCACTTGCTTCAGTTCTGGAAACTATGGGTACCCCGAAGGGGGTATTTGTACAATACTGTAAATTGCAGCGAGCAGGGCCCTACTTAGCATATCGTTTTCTTTACTTGTTTGGAGGAGTTTACTTGTTTTTCTTGGGCATGTGAGGATAGTATACAAATCAGTTGAGGGATAGCTTTTAGATGAGAACAAATGACATTATCTAAAGTATTCTTCTATTCGTTCCGCAAGGATTGTGTACTGTGAAGAAATGTAGAACGTTAAGTAGTTCTTAGAGCAAACAATAATTGACGGGGAGACGAAAACAAAGACAGTGGAATGATCAAGACTTGCAGCAAGAGCTTGAATAAGATATATCAGACTGGTTTAATAGAAGAATCTGCTCAGATCACATCGATCTGTGGCCTCGACAGTAATCGAAGAAAAAAGAAGACAGTGTCTTCTTCATCTTCTTCAGCCGCAACACCTACACTTGATAAAAAACTCACTGGGAAAGCAAATACTATTGCTACAACTTTTAGACTGACTAAAAGCCACCGGCGAATCCTGTATAGTCAGGTCCCCGCACCATAATAATAGTCATAGAATATCACTCGGAGAAAATATGCCGTACGTGACCATGATATTCGACCATTCAAGACGAAGGTGTACTTATTTGTATCTGTGAGTGGGTCGCTATCCAGTCACTTATGTATTCGGGTAGGAGTTCGAGCTGAGAATTTCCTGGGAGATTGTCGGTTTTCGAACCCGACAGGAGGAACAAAGCATATGTACCCAAGAAACCTTATGAACAATACCCAATATGTTCCTATACACCTGATGTAGTCCGGGGATCCCGAGTCTCCGCATGGTAGCTTGGCGCATGATCCTAAACCTCATGTGGCGGTATGTATCTAACAATCGAGCACAGAGTTGAGCCGAGCCTAACCCAGTACCAAGATGATGTACAGGTAGTACTTTACTTCCATCCCATTGCTGAAAACATAGGGTATTGTAGGAGCACAAGAGGTGTTTTTAGTGAGGTTGGTTATTTCAACCCTGCTAAATTGTGTGTGTCTTCGACTATTGAAATTAAATCACCATAAATCACTCGCACACAAATTTGGGTGTCTGTGCAAAGTGAAAGGCGTCGGCACATGACCCCCCAAAAATGTTTGAAGATCTTCTGTAAGTATTTACCACGAATAATTCGACTGGCAGCTTCGTTTTTATTCACAATTTACCCTCAAACCTTTGGTTTGACTCGAAGCCACTTCTTTCCTTGCTGGTTTGTAACTATCAGAAGCGGGCATTCATTCAATGAGTCAAGTTTTGGCAATGGTCGCTATAGTCTATTCAACGGGCTTGATCGGAGCGCACATGGCATTGAACGTACATGTATTGCTTGTACGGGTTTTTGAATCGTTTCTGGTGGCCACTAAGAACCCGAGTGTCCATCAATTCAAGTCATGCCTTAGGTCGATATGTTTCCGTGGAAGGATGCTCGTCCCAATCATTGTCACTCACTCCTCAATTAGCGACTATAGAACCCGGGCGGCCAAGGACAAGCCATAGAATTATCCGTTGATGGATGCCACGGCACACAAAAGTATAGCTAGAGTCTGAAGTCACTTCTCACAATGTAATAATATGTAATGAGCTTTCACGCAATGCTACAATAAATGTACTACGTGCGTACCAAAAAGGTCGGCCATCTCATGAGCGGGGGTTACCTCTACGATTCCCTGGACTAGTACCTTCATGAAGAGTGTATCTATAGAATTAGGACAGCCAGTTCAGGATGGATAAGAATGGATGTTCTCCTACCAGTAGAAATGTGGTAGATATTCCGGGGAAGGGTGTCTTCGAAACATAGGTTTAGGGTTGAAACAGTGTGCGGCACGCAGGTTACATGTAGCCAACCTTAGCATAAGCCCAGAGTAGGCCTTACACCAAGTCCTCACTCATTAACACGTCTCGGCACCAGGAGGGCTATAACCACCCAACTTCCCACCTTCTCCTACCTTCCTCTTCTTCATCCATCAACACACACACACACATCGCCATCTTCACAACACAGGCGGGGGAAGATACACTGGGAAGACGTTACACATCTGGACGGTTTTGGGGAGAGGGGTTAATGCCTCTGGTATTAGCCCTCCTGCTTAAACTCGTCCAGGTGTGTTCCCTCTCCTTGGTGTGTTTTCCTCCCCCCCTGTCTGTTTCTGGGCGTTGGCCGAGGAGCTGAGGGAAGAAATTAATGGGTTTGGCTTTCTTTATTTGTGGTACTTTGGCTTCTTTATGATTCTGCTTTGGTTGGGTTAGGCTTCTGGACTTTTGGGCTGCAGTTTTTAGCAATTTTTTGAAGCTTTTGGCATGTCTTTTCCTTCGGTGTTTGGGCTTTTGGGGGACATTTTGGGGCATTTTGGGCATCTCGAGAGGCTTTTGGCTTCGGTTTTTGTTCTTTTTTATTTTTTTTTTTGATACTTTTTTGGGAATCTTTCAATTTCTCGAGCCTTTAGTTTATAAATGTTAACTTCCCCTCTTACATACATGTAGCTCCTTGTTTTAGATGTCCCTCCCCCCCTACCCATTCCTGAAGTACTTCTTCCTGCTCTCGTTCCTAACCTCTCCCTCGTCCCAGGGTCCCGCTCTACGCATTACACCGTTTCGGCCGTTTCTTCTTCAATGCTGTATAGATACACAACCCCCCCAATTCCAGAAGAGCGGCTACAACACGGCCTCTTCTTTATCCAGCGGGACACACTACATGACAACTTACTTCTGCATCACCAGGCCCCCATCCAGCAGAGGCGAGCCAGCTGCTAGCGCACATGAACAGTGCACTGGTTTGCCAACTACATAAATGTACATACAACTATACGGGACGGAGAAGTTTACCGTGAATGTATATACGCAAGGGACATGCACAAGAAAAAAGCACGCAGGCATAAAACGACGAGGAAAAAATCTAGAAGGGTACTAATTGCCCTCAAGCTCCCCCAGTTTCTCATTTTCACGATCAGAGAGAAGGAGTAGTAAAGTCCTTGGGTGCATATGGTGGATGTATGACTGGCCCTGTGTATAGCTTCTGGGGTGTTTGTGCTGGTATACTACATGTATCTATCGTTACAGTCCAGGAGCTCTCCCGGGGGGGGGGGGGGGTTAATAAAACACCATGGCCAGCTGTATGTACGTATGTATGTGCAGCCGGCTCTCGATACAAGGATACGGCCAGGAGTACCAAAAATCTGTATCCTTAAAGTAAAAGTCAGGAGAGACAGGCAAAAACAGCATTTCGCGGCCACTGCTTGCTATCCTTATAATAAGAGTATCACTATATTGCAGTATCACTACAACGAGAGTCGACTGTAGTCCGTAGAGAGTTTTCAATTAGAGATACATGTACATGTATCTATACTCGCCCAAGGGACAGCCTTATAGCTACATACATGTATGTACTTTATGTATAGCCAACTCTCCCACCATCACAACAACGACCACCACGCCAAGGTGATAACCCGCACGAGTGACACACCATGACTGCCCCCATCACTGCAACTGTAGGTACAACGGTAGATATAACCATAACAGGAGTAGACCACCACCACCCACTTCCACACTCCCTCTCACACACAGCACACAGCACACAGCACAACAGTACAACAAAAGCAAAGCACCACCACCACCGTCACAGACTATATGCAACGCACTATATTCTTTACCACACTACCCTATATGATGCTACCATACCATACCATACCATACCATACCATACCATGCCGTTATGCTTATGCTTATGCTTATGCCTTATGCCTTATGCCTTATGCACACACTAACTAACTAACCACTACAATAAACGCCGCTGGCTGCGAGTGCCCCCCCTTTTGCTTTTATATACGCGGGATCCAATGAGGAGGAGGAGAGGACCAGAACAGAATAGGAAGGGGAAGAAAGAAAAAAAAAAAGCTACAAAAGACCAGCCCATACAAGGAAGAAAAGAAGAGCGAAAAGAAGCAAGAGAAAGGAAGCAAGAAAAAAGACGAAAGAAAAAACCAGAAGACAGACCAACTAATAAAAACCAAACACAAAACAAAAAAACCAAACTACCATACACCCTCTCCCCCCTCCAACTACTTCCCCTCCTTCTCCGCCTTACTCCTAATCCTCGTCCACCCACTAATCCCCACACTCGCCGCCTGCAACTGACTCCACCCACTAAACCCACCACCACCACCACCCCCTTCCCCCCCTCCCTCCTCCCCCCTCACCGGCGCAACAACAACCTCCCCACTCCCCTCCACCCCCCTCTCCACCTCCTCCACCAGATCCCACTCCGCGCCAATCGCCTCCCCCATCACCGTAAACCTCACCCTCTCCACCACCGCCGCCAACCCCACCCTAAACCCCTTCATCCCCATCGCGCCCCCGGCCGTCGCCAGATTCCCCGCGGCCGTCGCATGGCTGCACCGCCCAAACCCCGGCACCACCTCCTTCGCCACCAGCAGCCGCCACATGGCCGCCCCCGGCGCGCACGCCTCCTCGACGCTGTTGACGTCGTCGAGGCCCTGCGAGTAGCACAGCCACGCCACGTCCACGGCCAGCATGCCGAGGCCCTCAATGAACTTTGTGTAGCCGGCGTTGTTCTCGCGCGCGAGGGCCGCGAGCGGCACGGCGAGGTGCAGCGGCCGCGTGGCGAGGTGGCGGTTGTTGAGGACGCCGCGGATGGAGGTTGTGGGCGTGTCGCGGGTCGGGAGGAGGATCTCGTGCGGGAGCTTGAGGCCCAGGTAGTGGGAGGTGAGGACGAGGAGGTGCGAGAGGTGTGTTAGGGCCGTGGTGATCTGTGCGGGGGCGTGGGTGTTGAGGTCCGTGAGGAGGTTGGGGATGGGTACGCCGCCGATGTGATATGTTGGCTGCGGCGGCGGCGGCGGGGGTGGTGGTTGTGGTTGTGTGCTGGTGGTGCTGGTGGTGGTGGTGGTGGTGGTGGGGGGTGGCGGGGCCTTTTTGCGCTTCTGCCGTAGGTTGTAGAGGGCTGCGGCTTCGCGGCAGAGGAAGGTGCGGGCCTCGGCGGTGCGGGTGTGCAGCGTCTTGTGCTTGGTGGTCAGGCGCTTTGTGTCGCGGGTCAGGGCCTGCGACGCCTGCGGGAGGCGGAACAGCGCCGCGCGGGCATCCGTGAGGGTGTCGTGGCGGGCGGCGGTGCTGGCTCGAAGCTCGTTCAGCTTGATTGTATCTGTTCCACACACACTATTAGCTTTCTTTCCTTCCTTCCAACTCAATCACAGGTAGAGTACCAGCAGCGTTGAGCTCCTTGAGGCGGCGCGTCTCCTCGCGGATCTTGCTGATGCGCTCGCGGGCCTCGGCGGCCTGGGCGGCGAGGGCGTCGACGGAGCCGCGGCTGCTCTCGAGGTAGTCGTGGACCCGCTCGGCGAGGGCGTCGCGCTCGGTGATGCGGAGGAGCGTCTCGTAGCGCAGCTCCCAGGCGCGCTCCTGCGAGCAGGAGGTGCAGGTGAGGTGGCGCTTTTCGGTGGTGCAGATGCCGCATTGCATGGTGGGTGTGGTCAGGGGGGCATATGGCGGGTGGTGCTTGTGTTTGTGCAGATTTGTGGGGGAGTTGGGAGCTGTGGTGGTGGTGGTGGTTGGTGGTGAGAGGTGAGAGGTGAGATGAGAGGTGAGGTGGGGCAGATATTGTATGTTATCGATACTGGAGCTCTCTCTGTAGATGGGTACTGTGAGTGTGCAAGTAAGAGAGTAAGAGAGAAGAGAGAGAGAGAGAGAGTGTGTGTGTGTGTGTGATTCAGGAAAGGTGAGTGTTTGCTTTCGTCTAGTGATTGATGATGATACCTTCTAGAGCTGTGAGGACTTTCGTGTAGAGGTGAAGCAGCAGAATCAGGGCTGCACAGTGATGTGATCTCAGATGAGGATCGCTGCTGTGATGCGTTGAGTCAGCCGAGCCAGGTCAAGTCAGCCGAGTCAGGTCAGGTCAAGCCGAGCAGGTGCAGCGGTCAGAAAGATAGAAAGGAAGCGAGCCGGGCCGGTCTGTGGACGTCTGTGGACGGGCCAATGATTGCCTGTGCTATGGATCGACTCTCGCGAGGGTGCAAGAGAGAACGGGCGAGCACTTGTCCACTCACAGCTGGCTAACCGCGCGCTCTCTGCCACTACGCAGAACGACGTCGCCCACCCCGCCCGCCCGTAGCCATGTCCGCCACTGTCACTCTCCGTCACTCTGCACAGTGTCTCTCGGCGTCCATCTGTGTCCATCTGTGTCCAGATACATGCACCCCACCCGTGCCTCTGTGCCTCTCCGTCACACCCAAAGCTTATCTAACCCACCCCACCTCATCCCTCCCACCCCACGATGCCCCTGCATCACATCACGCACCTCACGCTCCAACCCATCCGCACCTACCGCCCGCGCAGCCCGCCCACGCCCGCACCGAGCATGACCACCACCACCACCACCACAAAGAAGCGCTCGCGCGACTTCCTGCCCGACGACCGCGACGGCCTGGACGAGCAGACGACGATTGTGCACAGCCCCGTCTCGTACACGCCGCCCGTGTCGCCGGGCGCCGAGAGGCGCGTGCGGAGCAGGGGCAGCTATCGCAGCGAGAGGGGGAGTGCTGGGGGTAGCTATAGAGAGGAGAGTAGGGGCAGCAGGGGCAGCTATGGGGAGGAGGGGAGGGGGAGTGGGGGGAGTTATAGGGAGGAGAGAGACGGGGGTACGCCGAGTGGCAGCCCGCCGAGGGATGTGGAGAGGGTGCAGGGCTCGCCTGGAGAGCGGGAGCGGGAGCGGGGGCAGGGACGAGACTACAGCCCGTCCAGAAGGATCAGAGCCCACCGTACGATAACCACCACGACCACGACCACGACCACGACCACGACCACGACCTAGACCACGAACCCGCCTCCCCCACCCCGCGACCAAAGCCCCCCCGCACCACCACCACCACCACCACCACATCCCCACCCCACGACCCCCCCGCAACACCCCCCTCCGCGCAACCGCAACCTCCCCCCCTCCGCGACAGCACCACTCCCACCCCCAGTCCCCCCCGTCCCGAGCCCCAGCGACAGCATTCACAAACCCCGCCACCACCACAAAACCAAACCCTACCCCCAAAATCACCACCAGCAGAACCCCTAGCAGAAAAAGAAAAAGAAAAAGAGCCACCACCAGCAGCAGCAGCAGCCCCCGAAACCGACGACCTGCTGCTGCAGCTCCCGCCCCACGACTGGCCCTCGTTCCTGGCGCGCTTCACGGCCGCGCTGCACGCCGTTGGCGACGAGAAGGAGCGCATTGCGCGCGAGCTGGACATGTGGAACTGGGTAAGGCGAGGCGAGGCGAGCGTAGCGAGCCATTGAAAGTGAGCCCTTGAAGCACCTGTACTGACGTAGCTGCAGATGTACGAGATCTGGAGCACCTCGCGCGACCGCGACGACACGCGCCGGCTCAGCAGGGAGATGGCGACGATGGTGCAGTGGACGCAGATGAAGGAGGAGGAGCTGGAGCGCGCGCGCGAGGAGCATACGAGGAGCATGTTGGCGATTTCGTCGGTGTTGGGCATTGCGCCGAGTGGGGGGCCGCCGGGGAGGCGGTAGTGCGTTTTATTTTTCACTTGGTATTGCATATTGATTGTGGCCTGGGGTTTATATATTGCAGGTAGGATGGATGCTCATGGGCTTTTCCTCTTCCTGTTTCTTGCGGTGGGCTTGTGGGTTGTGGGGCTTATATATCGCCCATATAGGTTTCTTTCCTTTTCCTTTTTTTTTATATGTTTAGCTGTCGGTTTCTCTTTTCCTTTTCTTTTCATATATATAGCTATGATACCTTTCATTTTCTTTCTCCCCTTTCTACAGCACAGTACCGCATCACAGACCATGCTTGTATTAAAATCGCGGCGAGTGATGGCGTGTGATACTTAAAACGCACGTACAGTAGCTAGCTGCAATATCACCACCATCTCCACCTAGCTATGGAGAGCTAGCTATATAAAGACGCTCATGAACCCCTCCCCCCCTATGTAAGCTGTTGAGAACCAACCTCTAGCTCTAAGACACTACCATGGGGTCCAGCTTCATTTGCCGGTAGCTCTGGGCAGGTAGGTAGGTAGAGGGTAGGGCTTGATAACTCCTGGCTGTAGTAGACAGCTGGTCCGATTATACAGCTACATGTAGCTAGTGCATTTTATCCCCATCATCTCGTGAGATACCGAGCCGGAGGTAAACACATATCCAATTACAATCCCTTACCTATCTACATCTATAAACCCCGGACCTCCCCTTTGTAATTACCATACCATAACCCACTATATATACAACACTACCCCGCTCGCTCGCAGCCCACAGAATTAACCTATAAAGCCCCAAAACACCTTTGGGGGGCTAATATTGCAACACTAGGTGATTAATCACCTTTATCAAAACGCTTCTTATATAACCCTACTAATCACCTCGTATCACGTGCCTTTTCCATCATTCCTTCTGGCAGGAGATCGGCCAGAGCTAAAGGCTTTGTAGCCCCAGTACGCAGAGTACTGTTTTTCTGCGCCGTGTTGTCTCCGTTATGCTGTCTCCTTCATGCTAGGCTAAGGTGTTCTATATCACCTACCTACCGTATCAACCCTTGAGTACCGCCCCAAGTACTACATATACCTACATTCCCAAGAACAGCGAGCTCTCAAGAGCCGGGATCGGCTAATCGTCGATCCACCACCCCCCCAAAAGCTGCTGACTGGGTCAAGTGTCCGTCTGGGCTTCTTCTCTAGTCATTTGTTCATACTAGCTATCACAAGGCATCATGCTGGTTGGGGCTTGGCCTGCCGTAGGGCCGCCGGCACGGTGTTATATCCGTCATGATGCTGTGGGCTTAGTATTATGTAGACCACTAACTACATGCAGCTTGTTTCTTCGCGCCCTGTGGGGGGGGGCGGGGGGGGCGGTACAAGTGCCCAAAGACCCAACCTAAACCCAGCCCCACAGGGTCACTAGTCACAGGCAATCACTCGCCAGCTTTTACCGGCCGGGTTCAAACCGGCCAGAACACGCCGCCGCCGCCCCCGCTGCTCCTCCTCGATCCATTGGACCACACGTTCCCGTGTTCTTGACAGCAACAACGCCCTCTTTCTCGTCGTGGGTGGTGGCAGGTAGCTACGATGGGTCGAATCAGTATTTATAAAATACTACGTAGCAAGTACCGTTTGGGGTGCAGAACAGATGCGTACATGTAGGCAGCTGCGTGAATGTGGATGCATTGGGCACTCATCCAGCCCATAACAGCAGCTAGCCCAGCTACATCACGACCTTATAGGCGGGTAGGGATTTGGCTTGGGTTCTGGTGTGTGGCACGTGTCTTCCACTTGTACTTCATGTATATATACATGTATCCATGTTGAAGCCGGCCGGTGGAGCTAGTGGTAACGTTGGGGAAGGGTTGCCGGGGATCGATGCATGGGGATATTGAGGTGCAATCAGTGGAGAGCCTCTCACATTCAACAGCCGGGCCTACATGTATCTAACCCGGCGGCCCGCCACCCACGACACCCTCTCCCCGACCAGCCGGCCTATAAAACACCAACTCTCCGCACGCACCCGACCACCGAGTGATAATCCATGACTCCCTCTATCCCATCCCATCCCACATCTCACCCAACAGTCCCCTCCAGCGGAAGGCCAAGACTACCACCGCCGTTTAACCTTTTTTGGATTTGGGGGGGGGGGGTGTTGGGCCACCGTGGGAATGTTACACATTGTAACAGGTTAGCCTAGTCTGGCGCCGATATGTACCAAGAGATCATAGTCTATATGACAGGTCACGTCACATCCACCTCGATGTATCTGCGTTGAGAGCGCCTTCTCGTGTAACGCGGGCTCACTAGGGGGGGGGGGGGGGGGAAGTGTTGCTTTATGGTAGACAGTAGATCAGGTATCGGGAAAGCTAGGACCAGTCAGGCAAAGTTTGTGTGGAGTCGTGCAAAGATAGTTCTCTGACTCCCGTTTTCGGTTTTTATACTCTTATACCCAAGTACAAATATTGTGGGGAGCGGATTAAAAAGAAGAGGAGGATGCCCGGCGTGGATAAGGGTGTGTTGCTCTAATACACACTATATCTTGGCGTCAGGTGATGGTGGTTCACAGATAATCACTCGGCTTTGTCATCTAACATATGTATCAAAAGGGACTAGTACAGATTTATGCAGGGAATATCTGCGCCCCCAAGCATGTCTTTCATATCATCCCTGTAATATAAACAAGAAAGCTTATTCTCTAGTCTCTTTCAATTGGTAACAAAAGTGTCAAAAATCCATCCATGGTCAAAGCGTGTGTTTTCTCCAGAAGTTCTCCCTTTTGGGTCCAGGATCTTCTGGCACCTGTTCAACATAACCACCATTGCTGTGCCTACTGTCCTCCATATAGCATTGCCCTTCATTCATGGTGGGACTCCGACCCCGTCTTAGTACTGTTTTAGCCGTATATGGATGTTCCAATTCGTGGATTTGCCTTTCCTCGCTCGACCCATTCAAGCGACATATATCAGGATCATCAATTACCCAGCCTTCTGGTGCATAGTCAGATGAAGAATCCATAAATGGATCCTCCACAAACTCTTTTCGCCCGTCTCTATCCTTGGTATATTCATAGAGAGCGAGGTCCGATAAGCACTGATCCTCTATCGCTTCCGACAACGGGCTCTCGGGATAATCGTCAGCGTAATCATCGAGATATTTTTCGTTTGAATAATTTTTAGCCATAGCCTGACCACAGGTATTAAAATTTCCGGATTCTTCATTCTGCTGGATTTCATTCAAAGGGTGCCTATCAGCCTTTGCACATAGAGTATGAGGTGGAATAGCATAGTTATCCATAAGCCCTTCAAAATGGTTCCATTCTTGATGGAGCCCTTCCATTTTCGTCAATTGCCTCGCGGGGGGTACATCCAAGGGTCTTGGTGGCCTACTAGGACGATCTTGATAAACCACTGATGGTTGACTTGGAACACTCTTCTGAGGATAAAACACTGGTCTTTGGGGTATTTTCGAGGATTGATGACCCTTCCGCCCTACTTTATCATCACGGTTACTATCATGCCTTTTTCGAGCCCCTAACCTTTCTGGCGAATCAGCACAAACGCGCAGCAAAGCGGCCAGAGGTGAAGATGAGCCTGGAATCTTCAAAAAATGTGAGTTGTTTTATTCTAGCTGTAACGGATAACAGACTTACCTTCTGAAGCTCGGCCGGATCTAGTGTACACCTACTTTTGGGTGCGGGTGATTTACTTTTCGTGATTACCATCTCTGGTGCACGGTTTCTTGCTCGGTCTACGCCTTCCGCTTCTGATTTCCTGTCTTTCACTACGGCCGAAGAAGCGTAGCTGCTGTCCCTTCCCCTACCTTTGGAATTGTGGGCTTCTTTAGCATATTTCAGAGTTTCTAGGGTAGGACTTGAGGTCCCCCGTTCCTGTAGGTGCACTGCTTCTTTCATTTCTGGTCGAAAATGTTTCTGAAATCCAGCACGAGAATACTCTGATAGACCGTCTATATCTTTGTTCTTAGGGACATCTTCATCGGAACTTTCTCCATCTCTGTTTCGTTCGCTTGTAATAACTGAACCGCAATTTGAGTCTCGGGAGGATATATTTGCCGGTAGGGAATATATACCCCTTCTTCGAAGGACATCGGCCATTGCGCTCCGCGGCGAAGGCCTAATCGGGCTCTCCGTCATAAGAACTACAGTAGATGACTTTTCAGGTGTAGACTTGCCCTTCTTTCTGCGCCTTTTCCTTGGCTCGGTGTAGCCGTCACTAGAAATTGTAATTGTGCGCAATTTTCTCTCCTCAAGACGCCTTTTTGAGGATTCGAAGTAGGAGAATGGCTCATTGTCCTCTTTGCGACCCCGGGATTTCTCGTCTTTTTTGTGTTTTGGTGACGCCTTTTGGGCGATAGGCAGATCAAAAGATCTTCCATCAAGAAATTTCATTTCAGAAAACGCAAGGTCGGGCACTAAACATGTGTCAACATCTGGGACTATCATATCAGATCGACCATCTGGATTGACCTACACCCTTTTTTGACTGGAGTCGAAGCCCGACCTTTCTTGAATATACCAAGGTTATGGGTTGGGCGCAGCTATCGCGCTAAGTAGGTTAACGGTGATCTCTATTTTATAAACATGGAGTCTTAAATACCGTGAGTCTGTCCTTGGTGAAATTATCTGCGGAGAACTCATCAATTAAAATGTCCCCTTGTTTCTTATCCTTTAGACGAGAGGATTTGGATTCCTTCTTCTTGGCAGGTGCCCTTTTTCTCTCTCTTTTTGGTTCGGTGATTGGCTTAATTTGACTAGGGCTCCGCATCTTGTGACGAGGCCTCCGCTGGAAGTCCTTCGTCCTCCGACCATCTACTTTAGGAGATATTTCTGGGGAGATCTCACGGACATCCTGAAATCTCTGTTTAGATTGCTTATTGTCGTTCACTACATCGCCCATTACACGTTCACGAGCAGGGCTAATCTCAGCAAACGGTATCACAGAGCTGTCCGATGATAATGTTTTCTTATGATGTTTTCTCGACGGGTTTTCTTGCTTTCTGGCTGCTATTAACGTTGTATGCATATGATCCTCTACGCTATCGCTGCGGATGGTGTAGATATCCACCGGCTTTCTATATCGTTGAACATTTTCTCGAGCTGCAATTATCTCTCCCTTAGACAATCAGTATCCTGGGTTGAAAACTGGATCCATGAAGTAATGAAAATCGCAAACCTTCTGTAGCCATTCCTGTACTTTATTGCTCATTTTCGTCTATAACCAGACTGTACAATATACAGAGATTCAATCGGGGTTGGTTCAACGAATGCCTGGGAATAGCTTGATTGTGAGGTATTCGAGATGTTGGCTGATGAAATCTTACCTTCGAGTAGGATTGTTAGTATTGGCCTGATCTTTACAGAAAAACCTCAACGCACACCTGTTCAACAGCCTAATTATAACCACATATAGGCCAGATACGCGAATAAACATTTTACTTTCAGCATCAGTCCGGTCAAATTTCGTCAGATGCCGCAGTATGCACTGGCTTCTTGCACTTCTCCAGACCTTACTAGTAAAACACTGAAAATTTCTCAGACTACTTGCACACGGAGGATAGGTATGATTCCGTATGAATCAACAAACGATTAATTGTGAAGGCGCAATTGCTTTGTTTAGGTATTCAACTAACCAATTTTGAGTTTTCTGCATACAGTTGAAGCCACTTAGAGTAGGATGAAAAACAAATTATTGTGAAAGTTAAAATAACACGCTTATAGAGTCTTCAGTATTGTTACGTGTATGTAGTATGATTTTACTTGTTTACATAGCCGAAAGCTCGGTGGATACACTACAGAACCATGTGCACACTGAGTTGGTCCGTGTTCCCTACCCTGATCCATTTAACGATTGTTATAAATATGTACGATAAAAGAGCCTATTGCGGGTCCTAAATATGTAAATAGACCAAGTGAAAGTCTTCCTATCAATGGCCCTACTAAATTTTGAACCCGGATATCATTTAATAGGTGAATCATGAAATTGCACTCGACATATAATAGAAATTGCTCATCGCTAGTGCTACTTGGCTAGCTCTTTGACTGGATAAACTCTCTCGATTTTCAACCCGAATTTTAGTAATCCTGGCCGAATTCATTCTTTGGTTACGATGCCAATCCTGAATTGGGTGATCGATGCTTCCGTATGTACTTACGCCTTATGCGTTGTCCAACAGCTTTAATTCCGCTGTTGGATTACTTCCGTCTGTCTAACGTTGACGGCCAATTGTTCAACGGTGGATTACCTAGTTTTCTCTTTGTTTACGGCGAAAAATGCCGGTATTGGCAACAGAGTACCCTAGCGACAGAATGTAAGTGTAGACCTTCTGAAAATGTCCGAGATTGCAGTGGCCCATCGTGGAACTACTTTCATTTTTCATTCGTTCGAACATTTCTTTTATGAAATGACACTGAGCTGTGAAAGAAATTCAGTAACAAAGAATTGGGCTAGACCAAACCGGGCATTCCCTGGTGTTAATTGGGCCCTATGTGCATGAACGATGTACCTCGAGTAGAGTAGAGTAAGGTATGCGAGGCATTTGTAGAGGGTCGAGCGCATAGACAAAACCGTATTCGCACATAGCCAGGTGTATATGGTTATCCACTTCCTTATCAGCAGAACACTTACGTGGATAGGGGGAAGAGGAGAACCGTTTTCCTTTTTCAAGGATATCGTTTCTCATATGAATTGAATGCTCATTGACCAAGCCAAGAGTGCGGCGACTTCGGCTATTAGAACAAAACGAGGAAAGTTGGGTGGGCAGGTGACCTTAACAGTCCCATGTCCGTGGATCACACAATAACCCGCATTGTCTTCCGAGTACACTTGGTCCGACCTTTCTGAGCACAGATTCGTTGGAGGTGGCGTAAACTCTCCACTCAATGCTCTCATGATTCGCGGAATAAAATCATCTCGATCAAAGACCCAGTCGATTTCAGGGACTCTGTAACGACTCCCAGCTTTCGGCGACTCTGATGACTTCTGCTAGCCGGCATATGCGTGAAGATGAACAGAATCGATATGTACTCATAACAGCCAGGCGCAGCGGAAGTGATCAAAAGCATCTGCCCACATCGTCCCGCATCTTGATGAGCAAACCAGATAATGTAGTATAGGTACGGTACTGTAGCATTGAAACCGAGAGCTTTCTCGTTTTCTAAATAGCCCAGTCGTTGCATAGTCAAGTTCGTCGCTTCTGTCTGCCGCAGAGAAGTATCCCTGTTCACATCGGTCAGCTCCGTACACACACACAGCTGTATGAATGTAATAAGAGCTCTTTGCATAGGTGTAAACAACAAAGAGCTCCGCAAGCTACATATCTAGTGTGTGCTACATACTCTTTTTATGATTCTTAAAGATCACATTATTAGGTTCTTGTTGTTGAATTGTACAGCTGGATGGAGGAGATCTGTCTAGGACCATTAGAATGGTGGGATTCGGAAGGTTCTTGGGCTTGTGGGGTGAGGGGCACGGCATGACGTCGTCATACCTTGTTAAGCAATAAGCTAACCTGTAAATTGAGAAGATGCCGCAATTCACGTTTCAAGTTCAAGTCATAACGAGAGATCTCAAGAGATGTACCTAGAGCATAAGAGTGCATCCTTCAGGAGCATGGATAGCTGTTTGAATTGACCGTTCACCTTGCTGTCAACAGGCTCAAGGTAAAACAATTGTCGATCGGTCCGAGAGACTTTGAGCTGCAATCGTAAACTGAATCATCCATCCATCTCCGTGCATGCCAATTCCATATCCATCTGTAGAGGGTATCATGCTCGAGGCGACATGCGTGGAGGTATGAACCGCCAATAACTGGGAGGGTCCAAAACCTCTAACTACTAGGACTGCTGATACAGGAATTAGCTATAGAAGAAACCAGATCGTTATGATCAGGGAGCTACTTTCGTGAAACGTGTGTGTGGCCCGCTTTGTTCTGCATCACACCCATAGCTCTACCCACATCATAATTGGGCAGCACACCCAGTTTATCTCAACCCCACACGCTGCACACACGCCTCCCATACTTTTCCCTGCTCTTCTTCTCCCCCTCTCTCGGCCCTCAAAATCATCATCTTCCCCCCTCCCATACTTCATAACCCACTTCCCCCAGTCTCTATCTGTTCTGACCCATAAGGTCGACCTTCTTTGCAACAACCCAATACTTACGATTTTTTTCCCTTTTTGGATACGTTCAGGCATGCATTTTCTCCCCATCGTCTTCTCTCGGGCAACCGCCCTGCAAGTAGTTCCGCCGTGGTGTTAAATTGTGCGTCCAGTTTGTTTCGGTGTCCGTACGGAATTCGATAACCTCGCAACTATGTCAAAACTATTTGTTGGGTCAGTATATCATTGTGTCATTGTCATTATTGGCACCACTCCATTATTTATATCATGGCCTTCATCTACTTAATGATCTGGCATTCCCAAACCTATCTGATACTTCCTCTAATCAACTATGTGCCATTACCAGAGGCCTTGCCTGGCACACCGATGATGGGACTCTGAGAGCCAAATTCGAGGAGTTTGGTACTGTCGAAGAGGCGGTATGTACCCCAGACACTCTTTATCTACACTGTACACCCTTAAATAGATATATCTGACACGATTCTTCATACTACAGGTCGTCGTCAAGGATCGTGATACCGGAAGGTCTCGTGGATTTGGATTTGTCAGATTCACAAATGACACTGATGCCACCGCTGCAATGGAGGCTATGAACGATGTTGAGTAGGTATTCGTTTTCGACCTGTGTCACCTTTTCGCTAATCAAGGCTATATAGGTTTGACGGCCGTAGAATCCGTGTCGATAAGGCCACTGATCGTCGTGCACCCGGAGGTGGTGGAGGTGGTGGTGGTTAGTTTGTCACTGATTTCAATCAATTCTTCATTCACTTACGAACATCTCATAGGCTATCAACAAGGTGGATATGGCGGCGGCGGTGAGTACTAAGACGCGTGCCTACATGGATAATGATGCTAACGTATTTGAAGGTTACGGCGGCGGCGGCGGTGATTACGGCTCTGGTTATTAGGACTGGTTCCGAACTCTAGTTACTCGGCGCACGGAAAAAATGGAACACTAGTACTAGCTGGGCGTGTGTAAGTTAATGCTACTTCACCAAACTCAATATCAAATATTTGGACCTTTCTCTTTACTATATATTCAAGGCTCTTTTGCTCCGAAAATCATTTGATATGTACTCAGATGCCAGGCTAGTTATCCTCGAAACATACCGCAGAGCTAGTAAAAGTGTGATGATATATGTTATATGTTCCATATTGCTATGATGTTAGCGAGCCAATAGGGAAAATGACCTGTATTCTACAACATGCATTGTTACACAAGCCTAGTCAGGCGTATTTCTAAACAGATCAGGAAAACATTGCAGTAATTCTGGAGAGGGCCTTAAGGGGTGGGAGATTGTATCAAAAAGCAGCCTATAAAACCCATAATCTCTAAGAAGTATGTATAAGTCTTCCTAACCTATCTAAAAAGCCACAGGTCTTGAAAACAGAGGGGCAACTTATTTCACCGCATAAAATTAGACGACTAAGTTAATAAAAACTTATTTGGTTTTTGTGCATTGTTGTGCATCACGAAGCACTTTATGGATATGAAGCACAGACTATCACTCGCATCAAACCTTGTGTTTGTACCTACATTACAATATTGGTTGGCGGCCTGGCCCCATTTAGTCTCCATCTCTGGGGAGTTATGTGAGGAGAACGTGACATTTTTATCACAGCCGATATCGATAGCAACAGGCTAGTGATAAAATACCGACAAAAAACAAAACCTCTCTGACCTTTAAGCTAGGGTAGCTATAGTATTTAGCAGAACAACCTTTCTGCTTTCTGCGGGCCATCTCTCCCTTTTGTATTCTCTTAAGCTGAAGCCTGAAAATTTAGATTCCTCCCCAGGATTTACCCCCCTCCCTCCCTCCACACACACACACACACACACAGACATTGTCCGTATGAGGTGATCGTCGAGTTTCTCAAGATCGAAGGACTTACTGACCGCGGACACTGCGACTTGCGGACTCCCGGGAAAATACGTACACATCTATTTCGTACACTGGAATTCCAGGGATCTTCCAATCTAGATCTAGTCGAGAGCTTGGTACCTGGGATTCTCTGCAACTTGATGGGAAGACAATCCCCTCGTGCGCCCCGCAATTCCGGAGACATGTTCGGCCTACGATGGCGCGGTGGTATTTAGTAAATTTAACTACCTATAGGCTGCGGGCGGTGCATTCACAGCCAAATGAGGTTCTTCACGGAGTGAGATTAAATTTGTTTGCCTGTGAAGGCAATCTTTGTGGCCTAGTCCCCACAGCACTCGTTCGTGAAAACACACCGCTAAAAACGAAGTTAACTGATAATTTTGATACGAGAATTGAGGATGTTTTTGCTACGGAGCCTCCTCTCCCCCCCCCCCCCCCCCCCAAAAAAAAAAAAAAAAAAAAAAAAAGTACTAGGAGTATGAAATTAATCCTATTTGCTTTTAGGAGCTAGTATGACTTTGGTATTCCTCGCTAAATCCCGTACTGCTCTCATAGTGAGTCACCCTGTTTTTTCTCCCTTTTTTCGTAGCAAGGTACTAACAGAAAGCCAGTTGTCACTTCATATCACTAGCTAGATTCAAATGACTTATAGTAGTAGCGAGTCAATTTCGAAAGGGTGATTATCTTTAGTCCATCATCACGGAAGGCTGAATATTAATCTGGAGATTGATTGATCACTTCATTAAATTAATCTGGAGAGGTCCAAGTAGTACGGTCTAGGAAGCATAGGCCGCTCGAGGCAGGCAGTGGCCTCGAGGTGCCCTACCTTTTGATATCTAGGTATAGATTATATATCATCCTTCTCAAGCAAATGAAGGCGATGTCTTTTATATACTGTATTCGATCGGGTCGTGTCTCTCGTTTTTCGAGTGATAAATCATGAACATGATTCTAGAAATTGCAATTCAATTATGTAGTCTTTCAAGGTCTGCATACTATTTAGAGATCCGCTTTTTCATTGTGGAACCTCCCGTCCATCTTGTTGTTTAAAGTTAATAATGTCTCCCTATGCGGGACCGGTTTCCAACCCGTCTTTTATGCTAGTAAACGTACATTAGATATAGGGTCATCATGATTCATTCCATTCATTCAAAACAATAGTCCCGGGGCCATCCTTCTAGATAACATGTAGAGCTAGTATAGCATAACATTAAGAAAGAAAAGGATGAAATATAATGTAGAATACAATACAAATACAGCCAAACAAACTAGAAGCTTCAGAAACGCCACCTCAACATGATCGACATTACTTTATTTCTCCAGAAAAAAAAAAAAAAGAAAAAAAACCCTTTTTTACGCTCCGTCTCAACAATGTCTTCTTATGTTGGATGCTTCTACTATTCCCGTTTCTTCCTAGAAAGAAGGAAAGAAAAAATGAAAGAAAAAAAAGGAAAGAAAAAAAAAAGGGAAAAAAGTGATAATAAATCTAATAAATCCAAAGTAAAGAAAGCCAAAAGAAATAAACAAGGAGCCAATAGGGAAAAGGCCCATCTATACTGATACCGCACAATAAAGTGGATTGCGGAGAAAAAGACTTTGTAGAAATCATTTATCGCTAAATTCGAGGTCCTTAGTATTCTCACTTGTGCTCTGCAGTAACATTTTTGCTACCAACTCCTCTGCTTTTCCCTCCAATGCATCCTCAGATATCCCTCGATCGAGTGCAAGCTTAGTGTTTGCTAACGCAAGGATTTGTTCTTCGATTGTATTTTTTGTTACAAGTCTGTTGTTTGTCAGATTCAAGTTCAACATGAGGTTGGATACAACTTACCTGATGACCTCAACTTCTCTTTTTTGCCCAACACGATGAGCTCGGTCAGCAGCTTGTGCATCGTCATGAGGATTGAAGCTACTATCGAAGATGACAACTTTATTCGCACATGCCAAATTAATCCCAAAACCACCAGCTTTTGTCGAGAGCAAGAAGACCATAATATCGTCCTCCTCATGATACTGATCAATCAAATCCTGTCTGGCATCCACAGGGGTCGATCCATCTATCCTCAAGAAGCCCAGGTCTAGACTCGTGAGCACTAGCTCTAGGATATCTAGCATTTGTGTAAACTGGCTGAAGAGTAGAACACGATCTCCTTTCTTTTTGAATTCAATCAACATCGCCTTCAGCTGTTCCACCTTACCACTTTGCATCCATTCCTGCTCCTGTAAGGCGTGTTTTCCAATTGTCTTAGGAAAATTAGTACATAAGCGATTGAGTTCAAAGTCATTCATGACCTCCATATCCTCAAGAATGTACTGCTGTTCGCTAGAACGATAAACCTCCTCTTTCAAAATTTCATGAGACATTTTTTTTATTTTCTCCTCGGTGTAAATCTTGCGGAAGAGGAGAGGATGGATAGCAGCCTTCCGAAGCTGCATCATTAGATTAGAAGTGGACTTGGATCCTTTTTTTCCGGCAGCCCGGGCTTCAATGGCCTCTTTAGCGGCAGTTATGTGTTCAACATAGATACTATTTTGAGTAGGGTTCAAAGGACAATATTCAACGCGGTTGGTCTTGGCTGGTAAATGTTTCAAAACCTGAAGGGAACGTCAGTTCCTGTAACGGCTGTTATGGTAAGAATTACATACCTGTGCCTTCTTCCTCCGCAATACGAACGGCGTCATCATTGCCCTCGCCCGTTTAATCCTCTGCGCAGATAACAATGCACTATTACTTTCATCCTCATCCGTGGTTTTTGCCTTGTATTTGAAAATGCTAGCCAAGTCCTCCCTCTTCTCATTGAAAACCTCCGGAAGAATAAAGGCAAGCAGAGAAGCCAATTCCTGGAGATTGTTCTGAAGAGGCGTTCCTGTCAATAGGAGCCGGAAGTTGGCAGGCAGGCGCATAAGGGCATCGTAACGATTGGAAGAACTGTTTTTAAGGAGATGTCCTTCATCGTAGACACACACGTTGAATGCTTGGTCTTTCAAAAACTTCTTGTCAAGCTTGTCACCAGTTGCAAGCTGATAGGTTGTGACAAGTACGTTCCAGCCACGATCTCTGGTCAGGTCCATTCGCATCTCTGCTCGTTCTTTCTGGGATCCGTAGTAAGGCTCTACCCTCAATAGTGGACAAAAGTTCTGAAATTCGCGTAGCCAATTCTCTATAAATACGATTAGACATTTTTCGGTTTCGTTGACTAGAACAACAATGATGAGGGCATACCTAATGTAGATGAAGGCACAACGACGAGATGAGGGCCTTGGATACCCTTTTCCAACAAATGTGCTAGAAATGAAATAACTTGACAAGTCTTCCCAAGACCTTGGCTTGGTGTTAGCAACTCCGCCATAGCCCCATGGTCAAAAGATCTTACCCATCTCGTCTGCTAAAATGCAGCTCAATTTCCTTTCGTATAGGAGACTCAGCCAATTGACACCTACAAGCTGATAATCCTTCAAAACAACGCCCTCACCGAGGTGTTTTGGCTGGTTCTTAAAAAATTGACCTGCCTGGTGTTCCCTCTTATTCCTGATAACCTCATCCCCATCATCTATCATTACTATATCAGAGCTTCCAGCATCTGTAGGTGTTCCAATAGCAGAATCCTTTAGCGATTCAGCCCTTGAGTCAATTTTAATGTCAGTCATATCCAGTTCCCCTGCAGGATTATCACTATTGCCCCCAAATACATCGACACCCCATTTTTTGATGGATTCTGCGATTGGCTTTCCCAATTCTTCTACCCTTGCAATGAGCGAATCCACCGCCTCATATCCTCTCCAGGTTTCTAAACATACATCGACAACTTTGTCTCCAATTGCTCGCGTTCTGGCACCCCTTGGCGCACCCTTTCCTTTTGCCTTAGGTTTTGCAGTGGTATCACTGGATACTTCTCGAACCTCGTCAAGTGATCTAAACGGTTTTTGGGACAACACAACTTCTGCAATCTCTTCAGTGGTAGCTGCGATATCCGATAACTCCTTGACGGTACACTCATTGATGTACTTCAACACTTTTCTCTCAAGCTCTCTTTCACCATCCGAATCCTCGGCAGCCTCAGCTGCCGAGTCAGAATCGTCGTCACTGATGGTGAATGTAGGCGCAGGTGGTGAAGAAGATTTATCTCTTGAATTCCTACCGGAACCCCTGACAAGGCGTCTCTTGGTTTTCGCTGGCGGTGCAGGAGGAGACGAGAGGATGGGCTGCGCTTGTGTAGATGACCATTTGTCCTTGATTCCCATTCTGGGAACCCTCGCGGCACGGTTTGAGGTCTTAATCTGAGCCATTCCCCGCTGTGGTTTTTCATCGCTGGATAGAGTAAGATCTACCATCCCATCATCACCCGTCAGGTACTCTATCGCATTGTCAAAGTTGCCTTGTTTTTCAATCAGGGCACTCAAAAGCGTAGAAATCGACCTATCGGGGAGAATCGATGCCATTCGTTGAACCACTTTCCTGTGTTCTATATTCTGAATTTCCTCAATTGAAATATCCATCAACGGCTTTGCGCGATCCGGATGCCGTTGAAGTTTAGGTCGCGCACCAGCAATACTTCCGCCCCCGGAAGAGTACGTGATTGGTGGCTTTTTGGTTATAGAGTCCAATCGTTTGAAAGGCGCCTGCGGCGCAGACCCATTGAATGCAAACTTAGACATTGCGGACTTAAACGCAGACTGTACAGGCGGCGTCTCTTCAATTCTCACAATGTCCGCCGCGTTATCCCTACGATCCCTCATAGAGCTCACAGACGGTACAGGTTTACTCGAAAGAGAACCTTTGAGGAATGTTGGCTTGATGTCATGATCAGAACCATCGTCTGATGAGACTCCGATATACTGCGGCCCTTCATCCATGAGATCTGTCTTCCTTCCATTGGGATAAAAATCAAATGGCTTCACGCTGCCATCTGCCTGGATAATTGAGGAGCTTTTCAGGGGAGACTGGCGAACCTGTGCTACGCGTGGCGGCGAAGATACTATGTTCCTAAATGGGGAGGATGCAGCGACTTGGACGACAGGGGGTTGAGGTATTGAAGGGCTTCCATCAAGAGTTGGTTGAAGAAGCTGTGTGGCTTGTGTGCTGAGTGGTGGTGGGGATGAACCAAGTATAGGGTCTGATTCAGGAATCTTATTGTAGAATGAGGAATTGAGAGGGAGGGTAGCCACATCGTTAGAAAAGAGGTCATCTCCGCTGTCATCATCCGAATCGAATGACTTCGAGGGTTGTGAAAACTTTCGCCGTTTAGGGGTCGGAGCAGCGGAGGAGTCAAATGGAGAGGGTCTGGCAAGGGACGAAGCCATGGTAGTGGCACTACTAATAGAGGTGGCGGATGGTGTTAGTGGAGTGGAAATAGATATAAAGAGACAGAGATGAGGGTAGAGGGGGTAAAGATAGAGATAAAGAAGCGTAAGAGAAAGATGAAAGTGCCAATGGTGATTGATTATGATAATGCGCAAATGGGATATACAGGTATCTAGGAGGATGGGGGCAGAAGACAGAAACAGAGTCAATAGCACTGCCGCTAGAGGCAGACCCGAGCGTAGCCAGGGAAAAGAAACCTTCCAAACCGTGTTTTGGGGTTTTGACGTGAAGTGCAAAGTCGCGCCCAGAAAAAGCAAAAGAACGCGACGCCAAGATATTTTTTCGCGGGACAATTAACTCCCAACTAGGTAAAGCTCAGAGTTGAACGCGTACAGTTGCCTGAGTCCCTGGATGCCGAACGTCCAAGATCAATTGAAGAAGACAACTAGGACTAAAAGGATTGGAAAGAGTATAATAAACCTTTCGAAGAAAGAAGGGAATATTAAACGTTAGGATCAAGTGAACTGAGTTCATAGGACAACAACAAAAACCACTTCTCACTACCTACTTTCACAGCTCAGCTATCACTACAACTGCACACGTTTATCATCATCATTCATGGCTACCAGACGCCCTGTCAAGACAGAAAAGGACTCTATCAGGAACGAAGATGTCCCTAGCAATCCGGTATCAATTGCTGCTGCGAACAAGAACGTTACAGCTGCTTCCGCTGTGCCTAGGTATGTAAAGTAAAAACAAAACATCACGATGTTCGTACTGACACTTCTAGATCCGTGCTTGTGAAACTTCTCATGTTCACATTTGCCATGATTGTTTTTCCTCTGAGTTCTTACTATCTTACCATAAACACAATCTTTAAAGGTGCTGTTTAGACCCCTCATATAGCTTTAAGATACTAATATATACAAGATCGCTCAAGCAGCAGCACTCTAGCGGCAGCCACTGCAGCTGTGGTCGCAAATATCGTTCTGATAGGGTACATTATTGTGGCCGCGAACGAAGACGATACAGACGGAAAGGATCACGAGAGGAAATCGCAATGAGTGCAGGCAGGATGAAGATAGTAAAGGGACCCTATTTAGTGCTGAAAGCTACGCATGCATATTGGACCCACAAGTTCTTTTACATACATGTACTTGTTTTCCCCCCGAGTCCTCTGGAGTTCATGGCTGTAGTTGAGAGTCTGTGAATTTGGCCCCTGTAATGCCCCACAACCCATGTCTTGGACAACAGCAAAGTGGTATTGTATGATCCTCACTCCACAGCATCAGAAGTGCTACTTACAATATTGTATCTACCATGTTTATGAGTCGTATTAGGTTTTTTCTCTTTTTTTTTTAAAAAAAAAAGAGCTTTCCTTGCATGTTATATATTATTACCCTCCGCAATTTTCTCTATGGTGAATTCAGAATCCACAGTGGCTGCTCCAACGGCAACCTACCACCTATCGCACTGCTTGGGGTTTCAGAGCGTGATAACAGAGATTCAAACTACATGCCCCACTCTAAGGCCTCTTTTGCACTACACATAGCCCTACTCTAGATAGATATATTCTCTGGGGTGGATTGTCAATATAACAACTACTACGTCCCTCCTGGATGTGATATAATAACAAAAATACAACCTTCAGATGTACCTGGCTCTACCGCCATGAGTGACTTTCAACGCTCATTCCTCAAAGCAAAGCTCGCGAATCTCCCCCTCGAGCCTCCGATGCCTCGGAATGCCCCGCCACCGCATCTCTCAATGTTTGATGAAGCCGAAGAAGATGCTGCGTTAGGTTACGATGCATTCCGCGGTGAAGTCCCATCATCACCAATAAACGACGACTCTTCCTCCGCTTCCTCTGCTTCATCCACATCAACCATACGTCCTGGCCTGTTCACAAGACCTGAACTGTGAGTTCCATCCTAGCTTCTAGGATGTCAGAGCTAACATGCTATCTTGCAGGCCTAAACGAAAGTCAACAACTTTCGAGCCACTCGCCTGGAGTTCCTACTTCTCCCAGAAGCTATATCTTCACTCCCCTTCTACCGACTGCACCTACCACGCCTATATCACTCCCCCGCTTCCCTCTGGTCCTCTCTTTGTAACTCACCATGGTGCTGGCTCATCCGGCCTTTCATTCGCACTTCTAGCATCCTCCATTCGGTCGCTCCTTCCCTCTGCTGGTATCCTTTCTTTCGACGCCCGTGGCCATGGCGAGACGAAAACAACTAACGACGAAGACTTGTCTCTCTCAACACTTGCAGGGGATCTTGTATCTATTGTTAACCTCTGTAGAGTGCGCTGTGGATGGGATAAGATTCCAGACCTCATATTAGTTGGCCATTCTCTCGGCGGAGCTGTAGTGGCCGAGGTTGCAAAGAGCTTTGCCCTAGGCGAGAGAGTGTTGGGATATGCAGTGCTAGATGTAGTTGAAGGGAGCGCAATTGATGCGCTGCAGAGTATGCAAACATACCTTTCTACGAGGCCATTGGGATTTTCATCAGTGGCACAGGGCATCGAATGGCAGTAAGTAACCCCTCCCCCGCAATACAAGATAAATACGGGTTAACCGGGTGGTTTTTCCGTTCTAGCACTCGCTCCCGCACAATCCGCAACCAAACTTCTGCGCGTATCTCAGTCCCAGCGCTCCTTATCGAGGCAGAATCCGCCAGCCCTAAGCCATGGCGTTGGCGTACAGACCTAGGAGCAACCCAGCCATTCTGGGAAGGCTGGTTCGTAGGATTGAGTAAGAAGTTTTTAGAAGCGCGGGGAGGAAAGCTATTAGTGTTGGCAGGCACTGATAGACTTGATCGAGAGCTCATGATAGGACAAATGCAGGGAAAGTATCAACTACTCGTGCTACCTGAGGTGGGGCACTTTGTACATGAGGATGCGCCGGAGAAGTGTGCAAGCGCTGTAAGTCTTCTCTACTCTTAACCCTCTACTTACTGGGTAATCTACTTACAGCAGTGGGGCCTTTAGTTGGTGGATTTTTACAAGCGGAATGATAGATCCGCCTTGGTCCTTCCCCCCAAGGTTTCGGACATGTATAAATAGTTGTCAATTAACAGCAGTACTCTACCTCGTACAGATCATTAGTTATCTAACGAAAATAGCTAAAATTTGACCACAACCGCAACCAGGGGGGCAAGCAGCGTATAAGTATTTAAACGGATCTCATGAAGGGAAGATCCGAAATACTAGGTTGGCGACATATCTTGTAGGGATGGGAGAAGACTATCTGCAGTTACAGCTCAAACCGCCCAAAAAAGCAGTCTTAGCGGAGGCCTTCCGGATCCAATATATTTCATTTATTCTCTTGAGGATTAGGTAAACAGAGATGGTTAGGATTTATATGTAGTTTCGGGTGTAGAATCACTTCGTACAGAGTTCATTTCGCAAAAAGCTGGAGATCACACAAATGCTAATCCTATCTGCTCGATGATGATTATACGAGGAGGTGTCAATCTGTAGTTAAAGGTCATGCGGAAATAAGACGAGATAGGTTGAAAATTCTAACACTGAAGGTAGTTCAGTAGGTATCGAAGCCAAAAAGGCCATTGCCTTAATAGTGTGTCTACAACTGTACAGTCGATGATGATAAGCCAAGAATTAACTCTGGTGACTCCTCAATCGGCATTAGACAAAATAATATACATCTTTTGTTAAGGGCCCATAATCTACGTACATGTAATCAAATGAAGGTAAGGGAAAGGGTTTAAAAAGAATGAATTATCCAAAACCCGTTCAATCATTCAACGTCAGTAATAGGGCTCTCCGAGACTACCGGCTCTTGAACAGTATGCACCGGAAACATCATCGACAATATCGACTAAGTTATCGTCGCCATTTTCAACCTCTTTCAAAACCATAAAGGGCTCTTCAACTTCTGGCATTGCGGTCTCTGACGTCTTCGCCCCGAGAACCTCATTAAATCTCGACAAGATAGCATTTCGTTCCATTGGCAGTGGCAACCCAGCACGCGCTTCAAACATAAGCTGCAAAACAACAGCAAATATAACGACTCCTATCAAAGACAGGAAAACTGAGAGGAAGGTCTGTTTTACTATGGAGCTCCCCCGGAGGAGACTGCGATGCCCGTTGTGTCCTGAGACAAGTGGGAGTGTGAAAACGACAACCGTGTTGGCTATAGACGTGCTCGCAAGCTGTATATGTTCGCGGGCAACAGGAACGGGGGAAAATGCAACTTTTGTAATCTGGAAAGGGTGTACTTCGCGGAACGTTTTGACTGTTGCGATCTTGTAATTCTCGACAACGAGAACCTCAACGCTTTGATCTGCACCAGCGATGGAAACAATAGTTTGATGGGGCCCAAGTGAGATCGCATCCATTGCGGTCGCAGCTTTAACATTTTTATGAAGATTTTTTCGTGAGAGACATTTGCCACTGCCGGTGATGTCGATAAGGAGAAGCTCTGAGCCAGTGCGCGCAGGATGGTTCAAGACTGCTACAATGCACTCTGGACCACAGAAACGCACAGATCGGAGGCTTCCTTTCATTGATGTAGACGACTGCCAAGTGATCTTTCGGGGGGGTTCATCACCGTCTTTCCCTATAGTAGATGTAACGAAAATCTCCTTCGCAGTGCAATACACTACAAGCCCACCTGCAGATAAGTCTAGATCTGCGCACTCTTCTTTCCCAGGCAGCCGTATCCGTCTCTTTATGTCTAGGCTAGGGATATCGAGAATCACAACTTCCGACGCTGCTTTGCTTACTAGCCCAGCACCACTACCGATTGCCGCTACTGAACCATTCGTACGCATCAATCGTTGATAGCTTCCGGCATCAACAGCAGAACTAAAAAACTCATGTTGTGACGCAAGCGAGATAGATGCCGAGTCGGGAGTCTCAGCGGACACTCTGAAAACGCGAAAATGGTCATTTTTCCCCGCTTGCTGCACACTTTCTGATGAATTGATACCGGTCAATGCTAACCAGCTTCTTTCCTCACACTCATCTAATGTTTGCTCGTGTGCTTCGCTCGTAGTCGTTGGTGGGTCATTGGGTGGGAGCGTTTTCCGCTTCTTTGACTGGTGAGATTTCTCTTCTGATGGTGATAAAGACGAATTTTTGGAAACCACAGCAAGTGACATAACAGCGTCTTCTTGTTTGCTGAGTTCTATTTCCGCTAACACCTTGATCGCTACATCGGTTGGAGATTTTTTCACAGTAGGGGGTTCAGAAACATCAAGAAGAGTCTGTCGGCATAATCAGCAACCAGATACATGGAGGTTGTCAAAACGAATAGCAACGCTTCAGATAATCTAGAAAGGAACACGGACAATCTTATTGCCTACACCGCTTCTCCCCTCCCCTCCACCACCACCAACAAGAAGCCGGTCTTCATCAACAAAGGCGGCGCAGAATATAGGGTAGGTAAGTGTAATCTTTTCGGATGTGATTGAGGGCGGCATTATGTTACGCTGAGGTTTTGTATGCAATTTGAGGGGGTAATCGTTTGAACTTGAAGAGAGAAGACGGGGAGTTGACCATGTCAGCGTCGAAGCTCAGGTAATATACTTTACACATGCAGTTAGTTGGAGCAATCTGTCCTTGGCAGTGACCACCTAGCATCACATACAAGCACTCGTTGCGACCAAAGATTCACATGTGAAACTACATGTACAATCAAGGTCGGGAATATGTAGTACCTAGAATACAATATGTAGATAGCAAGTGTAGAGTATGTATGATCTGAAAGTTTTTACCTATGTCTGAGGAAACTGTAAGTGGGTCCGGTACATATGTCCATCCTTCGGTTCTGTCCCAAATAGATACGTAGAGCTAGATACAATGTATATATTTGGTATCGTTCCCGCAGTTCAAGATTACGTAGAGTATGTAGTATCAAAATACTCTAGGGACAAGACTACATGCGTGCATGTGGGTACATATATGTGCTATGATGTAGTTATTCTCCGTCTGGAGAAGCTGCGAAAAAAGGTCTGTCAACAAATATAGTAAACAAAACACTGTTTAAAACAACCGCCTAGAAGTGGTTATGGTCTATTAGTACATTGTATAACCAGCAGTCAGATTGCTGTCCTTGAGATTTTTTTTTTTTTTTAAATAAAAACAGTATCATTTAATTACATGCAAGTGATACAAACATATGCTTGTTATAAAACAGGGAGATACTTATGCTCTCCAATAAAGAATTACAGCGACAGACGCAACAAACATGACAAACAGATACCCATTAGACCATTGCGCATCAAAGACGAACACAAACAAGCGACCACCAAAAGAACATTTGAACCTGCATCCCTACCTTGCTTATTACGTACTCAAATCTCATGAGTACTAGCTAAGTCGATCGCTTCCTTCCGAAGCTTAAGAGCATCCTCTTAAGCTTCTCCGCAAGACCTTCGTGGGGATTTGCCTTAGTCTTAGGCGTTATAACATTCCCCTCGCCACCCCTCTATGGCAAGAATCAGTTTCACACATTTCATAGGTATCTACTTGCCCATTAATTAAGTCCTGAGAATTCTTGGTAGCAATGACCTCACAAAATTTCTCAGGACTTAATTAACGCGCGAGTAGAACAAAAACAAAAGAGGGACACACCCCAGTGTGATGCGCTTCTTCAGGATTAACACTTAGTCTTGCCGCATCAGGAATAATATCGTCGTCACGACCAGTAGCCACAGCTTCCTGGCGGGGGGATCCTATATTCCCAGCTCCACCTCTCTATCAAGGTATCAGCTCTAGTATCTCGCAGGGTAGTATCGGACAGCCTTACTCCCCCCGAATACGCAGCGCCCGAAGCAGCTGGGTCTCCAGCGCGGCGGATAGCTCCATCAGTATATTCTGTTTGATCGGGGCCAATATTCCCTTGTCCTAGATTCCATGGTCTGTATCAGTATCGGTCCTGCTACTTGAGGTCCAAACTATGACGTCGCGCAAAAGCCAGCAGTTGGAAGCGAGACTCGTATACCTCCACGACCATGAGAAACGGTTTCTGTCATTGTATCTGTATCTTTCCCTTCTTTTATTTGTTATCGAAGAGGTAAACTAGCGGTAGGTTTGTTCGATGGGTGCGCAGAGTCAACAAGGAAAGGTGGGCGAGATATTGGAAAGGATAGAGAGTATTAGACGCGGAAACCAGAACAGGCCACAAAAGAGAGGCGGATAGCGCTACTAAGTATGTAAAGAAAGCAATTATAAAGGCGAGGGGTAAATAAACAAACATAGTTCCAGGGGCCTAAAATGGCACAATCTGACGAAGAACCATCATGTGAGATCTCATCAGATCCTATTACTCTTGCATCTGAAAGACTTGGAGAGAGGGGATAATCAAGTTCTCGGCTTGGCTGATGCAAGGTATTATATCAATAGATACAAGTAATAGCTACTGCTGAGTGTACGTACATGCCCGGCCTGTACATGCGATAAAGTAAAATGAACATAGATACCGACGTTTTTTCTCGGGCAAACCAGGTAATAGCAAGCTTGGAATGGCAGACATAAGTGACATGGGGAGCTTCAGGTTTTGATCGGAGCCGCCTTATCTTGAGCCAAGGGTTGATAAGGTACATCGCCAACCCAACCGCCCCGAACCTCTCTGTATTCGGGCACCGAGATACCTACTTGTTTGTCCGCCGCCGAATTTCCATGACAGATTTCGAGATGTCATCTTGTCATTGTGTTCCGTAAATGGATAAAAATCGTCATGTTTGAGGGTCTGACATGATATGAATCTCCTGCGAGAAGCATTCGACCAAGCAAATGCGTGTGACATGTATTGTAACTGCTTCATATATTGTTTAAGCCGCACTTAGGAGAACTCTTTCCAATTTTTCCAACGAAAGAACCCGAGAAATCCCGTTTTTATGTTACAGACCTTATCAATCACTGCCAAGGGTGCAATCCCGACGAACTGGAAAGACTTAGTCCATCGTCACTTGCAGTATGCACCCTTAAGCGACGTCGCTCTTGTTAGTGTTAATTTAAAACACCCAACCTAAGGAAATCTCATGTAGGTACATGTATGTGCTTTAAGAGTATGGTGCGTACAAGATAGACTACATGGCACTACGTACGTATCTACTAGCAACAATCAGAAGTTTGAACGGTGGCGTTTAAATAACAACCAAGTAGCAAAGGCGTTATTTAAGGTTGAATGCGATCTATGCGGGCTGAGATTGCGGACCCAAGATCACTAAAGAGAATCTTGCATATCGTTTCAATATCAGCAAGGGATAAACCACAGCGAAGTGCGGCACCTTGTGTCTGGATGATGTAATGCCACTGATAGATCATAAGTAGATATATGTACTAACTTCTATGATATATTACAACGCTAGATGTCATGTTCCCCAGAAAGCCGCTACAGTTTGGCTGAGGTCCTCCAACCATACATGTAGGGCACATCCGAGATTGTGAAGAACATCCAACTGCCTATGATAGCATTTACCAAGGGCAAGTGACGACTGAATAATATATCAAACCTAGTTAAGACGAAAGCTTTAGATTACTAGTTACATGTGTATTTTCCTGATGGCCACCGTTCCCCCGTCCGACAAAAGAAAAGCCTCTAGGAGTGAGTGGGCATGGCAGTCGAGGCCTTGGTCGCAATAGCATCCTCGCTTCTCCATAATCTGTAAAAAAAATATTAGTTCTGTATAGAGAGCTTAAAACAAGGTATTCTCACGATGTAACAGTCTTCAGCTGGGTGTAAAAGTTGAGTCCAGCTTTGCCATAAAAGTAATTCCCTCCTTGTCCCGCGATGGAACCCTTGTTTCCAGTGAACGAGAACATTGGAAGAGGGACTGGGATTGGGACGTTAATTCCAACTTGCCCAGCTTCTATGTCTCTTTGAAACCGTGCTGCTGTTGCTCCACTGTTGGTGAAGATTGCTACCCCATTTCCGTATTTATTGGAGTTGATCAGGTCAATAGAATCCTCTAATGTGTCAACATTTAAGCAGACAAGCACTGGTCCGAATATTTCCTCTTGATAGCACTTCATATTGGTCTTCACATTTGAAATTATTGTGGGGGCGATCTGGATAATCATGTTAGTAAAAAAAAAAGAAAAGCAAGTAAAAAAAACCAAGAGAGTTGTTTTCTTCTTTTTTTCTTAAGGAATAACCGAAGAATAAGACCACCTACAAAGTTTCCGTTGGGGTATTTCGATGGTTTGTACCCCCTTCCATCGAGCAAAAGTGTTGCTCCTTCGTCAACAGCGCTCTGGATCAAACCCTCTATCCTCTGTTTTGAATGTGGAGAAATGACGGGACCTAAATCGGCACCATCTTCAAAACCGCCATCAACCTTAAGCTTTTTCGCCTGCTCCACTATTTCTGGTAGCCAACTCTGCGCTTCGCCGACAAGGACCAAGGTTGAGAGGGCCATACAACGTTGACCTGCAGCACCAAAAGCAGCACCAACAATTGCATTAATAGTAGCATTCTTATTGGCATCGGGCATAACTCTGTAAAACGCATTAGAACCTTGCTAATAAGACGTGATTTCCAGGGGTATTACGCAGCGTGGTTCTTAGCTCCAAGATTGGCTTGCACACGTTTGCCTTTCTCTGAGCCTCGAGAGTAGATATATTGACCGGCTTTGTCACTTCCAACAAAGCTAATAGCCTTTATTCTAGGCTCGTCAATGATAAAGTCAACAGTCTTTGCTGAACCGTGGACAATGTTCAACACGCCGTCAGGAAGTCCGGCTTCCCTAGCGAGCTCTGCAATTATCATTGCCGCACCAGGACTTGAAATTTTAGCTACTTCTACGGAAAGATGGCCCTGGGATCCGAACTTACTCTCTCTCCGAAGGTTTCATGATCATGCAATTACCAGTTATAACAGCCAGAGGTAAACACCATAATGGGATCCTAATAAAAATCAGCCACCACAGCATCGAACAGAACCACAGATAACAAACATAGCAGGGAAATCTACGAACCAACACATTAGTCAACCCCACGAAGGTGTAATAAGACAGAGCAAAAGGCATTTAAAACATACTGAAAGGACAAATAGCAGCGACAATGCCCAGAGGCTCACGGTAACTCCTGGTTTCCATGTCTTTGCTGACCTCTAAAACCTCGCCGGTCAATTGGGTAGTGATACCGCATGCAGTCTATATACATGGCATTCTTGTCAGAATGATATGCAAAGGTTTCGCTTTTTAGTCAAAGAACTTACTTCGGCAACCTGTAGACCCCTCAAGACATCCCCCCTTGCATCAACCATAGTTTTACCTTGTTCTAAGGTGATGCTTGCTGCTAACCTATCCCAGTCTCGCCGAATCAAAGAAACAAGCTTGAACATGATCTGTTGCCTAGTTAACAAACTTGTAGCCTTCCATTTTGCAAATGCCTTTTCGGCGGAGTCAACAGCTGCTTTCAATTCGGCATCTGTTGATTGCGGAACCCGAGTAACAAGGTTGTTCGTAGCAGGATCATGTAAATCGATCCAAACTTCAGCTTGAGACTCGGTGAATTTGTTGTCGATAAAATGCTTCGTGTTCTCTGGCGATGCAATCTTTTCATGTGACCTGGGATAATTTACTGAACGAGCAGCAGCAGCTGGGTTGAGGTGATTCGCGGTAGCATGAAGCCTTCGAGTTGCGGTTAAGCTTTCGGAGGTCCCAGCAGCGAGGTGAAAGGTTGGAGAACGTGGTTTAGACATTGCCGTAAAAACAGAACGTGCGAGCAGTCTACGAGCAGACATAGCTATAAAAACACAAAGAAACGTGTCAATTGAGAATTTAGTAAGAGCAGAAGTAGAAATAAGAGCTTATGAACGTACGTGAGCTTATAAATGCGGGATTCGGATGAAGAGTGCGGGGAAAGAAAGGTCACTAGATATAATATGGAGTTTACAAGGTGTTAAACGCACGAGCTACATAACACGCAGCAGTAGTTCTACAAGCAGCCGGCTGCAAGGTCAGTTGGTCAGTCAGACCTCAGGGTTAGGAATAACTAGACACCGGTGATTACCGCTTAGGCTCGGATCCTAATCGGACTCACGGAGGTACTAGTGGGGAAACACTACTCTACAGTTAAGTAAGGAACTCCATCTGCCTATATATAAATACAATGCCGACAGTGTGCCATAATTAATCAATGTCCCAAATGTTGGAGACAGAGAAGCTCACCCGAGGAGCTGTCTTAAAATCCATATTGTGGTGCTTATCAACGTCATCCCTAACCCTAATCTCAGGTTAGACAACATAAGATTTTGGTGAGGCTTGGCACCGGGTTAGGGTTGGGTAAAACAACCTAACACTCCGTTCCGCAAAACTACGATATGAATATGGCGAGGTTGCAACCTGAAAAGATTACAACAAAATATGTGATTTCTGTGATCTAGTATATTTATGAATATTGTGGTTACAATTGGCGTGTTCGGCTGCAACTACAAGTTGGGATGTAAGGGTAATTCTAGTGGCGCTATTTCAAATATTTAGGTTGGAGCAGAATATTTTTTATCGTGATATTGGGCAGATAGCAGATTGAGAAAGTTGATATTTTGTGGTTGCCAGAACACTGCCACTAGAAAAAATATTGCATATTTTCTCAATATCACGATATTGGGCTGAATATCATGATATTGGGCTGAATATCATGATATTGGGGTGTTGCCGAACGGAGTGTTAGTACAGCGGTAGATAGATCCTGGTTACATGTAGTTTGATGGGCTAGAAGGCAGCTAGTCAGGTTCTCAAATGTTTCATATTGGTGAATTCCATGCGGAGCATGATATAATATATACAGTACGAAAAAACGAGGTGAAATCTGTACATACTGTACGACAACGGGATTTAGTGAATAATATGGAATCAAACCGGCATTACAAAAAGAATGCCGTAGTAATGCCGTATTCTTGCTGCATTACTAGCGCATTAACGAGAATAACGTAGCGAATCCATACCCTTTTTTAGTATTGTATACATGTATATACATGTATGTACACTAGGGGTTGGCCCGGTGTTACCACCGCGAAGAGTGATTGACGACCTACATGTAGATATACCGCAAAATCTGAGAATATTCGTTGCGAGACAACAGGGGTATAGGCCAACCAGAGGCAGTCTTTAGACGTCAATATACAAGTTTTGGTGTAGAATATCCCGGTTGCAGCGCAACGGAATTTCTCAGATTTTACGATATGTATGTAAGTACGTTTTTTAACCTGGTGCCGTACCAGATCTAAACTGGGAAATGGGTCATAATTGGCATACAAATTTTGTAAGTTTAGTTGTTATTAGGCCTAGGTCTGACGTTACTGGTAACAATGATATTACATGGATCCATCCATAACTTTAGAAAAGGATTTGCCCTTCATATATATAGTTTTCCCTGCTGAAAACCGACTACCCCTTCCCCGTAGTGCCGAGAATAGTTTGTTTGTTGGATGCACATTTTATTAATCTAATAGCCTCAGGCGCCTTTCTTCCATGATCAAAGAAAGGAGGAAGTGTATATATTGCTTTAAATATTCAGGAAAAAGTAGAGTACTATCAGCTTATGCCTACGTGGCCGTGCTATCTTTAGACAGCCATATGCATATGATCTATTGATCACATGTAGAAAAACTCTGCATCCAGCGTTAAGCTGCCGAATTATACATGCATATACATGTATTATATACATGTAGATAAAGTAGAGGTAAGCATTAAACGCACTAACCGACGAAGCATAAAATCTAATTGCTCGAGACAGGTATTAGAAAATAGTATATTGCTCTCTGAATGATATGGAACTACTTGACATGTAACTCGTGACTACATAGATCATGTACTCATGGAGTCTCACTCGGGACAAGGCATAGGGTTAGGGGTTCTCCATCATTGTTCGATTAGACCCTGACTTGCTTTATCGACTCCGTAAGTGCGGCGAACCGGGCCTAAAGTACATGTATATGCATGTAGCGATGATACGAAACCGTTTGATATCGAATCCAATCCAATTATGGTACGCACTACCTGAGGAGCCTACAATGCCATGTGCTTAGATGTACATGCATTTGTGTATACACATATAGCTAAGAATCTAAGCAGTGTGCGACCATCAATCTAGACTTTGGATCACGTAGGTGAAACTTCACAAGTTTATAATTGAATTACTTAATACCCTCCGGGAAATTTTGAGGGGGTCATTCGTCGTTACATTCCTCTTGACGAGGCGGCTTATACATGGAATAATATCCCTACTGGACCCTAAATGATGTTCCCAATGCTGATATAATCATTGAAAACAATGAAGCAAAGAAACAAAGATGAGATAATGATGAGATACATGTCGAAAACGAGTGGAAAAAGTGAAACGGTAAGGGAAAAGTCATAAATTCTGTAAGTCTCAAAGTTTTACCTGAGCAAAAGTTCTTTTAACCTTTTTTGTAAGATATTCGCTCCATCTATGCTGTTCCAAACATCGTGTGGAGCATGGTTGACCACATCCCAAGCCACCAGGTTATCCGTGATTTCAGTCAACTCTCTTTGGCCGTCGTTCCATTGTTGGTCGTGCTTGACCGACTTTCCTGAGCTTATAACAGCAACAGGTACGTTCTTTGGTAGGATTGCTTTAGCAGCCGCGATCTCGTTCTTCGTGAATGTTGTTGCTACCAAGTTCTCTTGAAGCTTTGCCTTGATTTGCTTTCCACTTTGATACGCAGAACGCCCATATATGCGATCTGCACGGCCTCGACCCATGAAAATGGCTCCCGTCAATCGATCAATCCCAATTGGACTGATGATCCCCCTGAGCCAAAGGAAAAATCCTCTACCAGCAGAGCCAATTCGATGGAGCTGGGATTCGGGGAGAGCATCTATCAGAAGCAGTCCTTTAACCTCAGTGGTATGACGGGAGGCAAAAATGCGAGAGTATATTCTGAGAAAAATTAGCCATTTTGAAAGAGCAATCAATTGAAATGATTTAGAAGTAATAATTACCCCCCTACACCATGGGAAACAAGCACCCATGGTCCTTTTTCGTCTGCCTTCGTAAGTGCCTCTGACAAAACGTCAATTGCCATACCTGCCGACAACGGGCTTGGTGCATTATCGCTGAAACCAATGCCGGGTCTATCCCAGTAACAATATCTTTCGATTTGCTTATCCTGGAATGTACCCAAAATCCATCCCTCCAAACCGTGTTTTACAGGATCTTCCCCTCCTTCCACAAGTACAGTTGTTACTCTCTTTCCGTCCGCCGTCGTAGCATTCCCCGTACAAAACAGATGTATCTCATATCCATGGCCTTCCACCCAATATCGAGTTCCTGGTGGTGTGAGGGATGCGTCGATAGAACGGAGGATGAGTGTTGCGGTAAAGAGGAAGGCGATTGCAATAAAGACGATAAGAACGATAGTAGCAGAAAAAACCGATAACCATTCAGCCAAAGAACGTCTGGTTTCACGATGGCCAGTCAGACGCTCTTCCTCCTCTCTCTTACCATACGCGACCACACGGTCGCAGAGGATCTAAATTGGTTGAGTCAGCGTAAGTTTAACTCAGAGTGAAAGGAGAGACAAACACCCCAGGTACTAATCACAGTAGCCCAAATTACAGACACGATTCCAACCCAGCCTTCTTCACCACGAATACGCGGAACGGCCAAAATGATGATTGTGTCGATAAATAATAAAACGGATAGAATGATCCATGAATATTGCTCAGATTTCGCGGGAGTAGCGAAGAATAGAAGTAATAATACCAAGCTGCCAGTAGCAAGTGTAGAGAAGCTAACGATGGGTACATGTATTTATTATTAGATGTTGCTCTCGTTCTCGCTAGTGATAAGGAAAAGCGAGTGAAGCTAAGATAGACTAGGGACTTACGCAAAATCAAAAAACCCGCTTCCTCTAGGATAGATTCCTGGAGGGCTGACAAACATTGAAATCAAAAGCAAAATCCACCAAAGTAAAGAAACTGTCAAGAGAAGAATCGATGCCCATCTCAGCGATCGCACAGAAAGAAGATTGTACGGCGATACTGCTGGATCATCTGGACTGAGTGGGCGGTGTCCATTTTCGGGGGCTAGAAGACTAGTTCTTTCGTTAGGGTCCTGGCTATGTGACATATGAGAAGATTCCAGGCTTTCGGTATCGTCAGGCTTTCTTGGGCCCCAGAGTTTGCTCATTGTGAAAGTAAGTAATATAATTAAGAACAAAGTACAGGGCAAATGTAATTTGGTAATTTAGGGCTCAACCTTTATACTACCTATAAATCTACTTGCTATTAAAGGGGTGACGTGATCTCAAATTTCAAGATAAGCTTGCACAATTGCTGGAAAGGGTTGGTGACGTCGGGAGACCAACGACGTTATGACGTAATTCGACACAAACACATGCCTACCACAAGCGAAGACCCGTAACCTGGGGTAAATCTCGATCTGATAATCCCTGTAACATGCAATATTAATAACTATTGGGCTTTGCATCCCAGGTAATGTGTAGAGTTGGGTCGTGAAGCGACTTTCAGACCTCTAACTATATAGAGTACCTCCCATTCGCCAATCATATAATCCGAGTTTAGAGCTGGAGTCTTTTGCGTAAAGACTAATATCTGGAAATTCGAGACAGAAAATGTCATTTTCAAGGGAACACGGGTACGAACGAGTAGCTATGATAACTCATCCTCATGAGTCGTACATACAGTAACATGAACGAGCAGATTTTAGGCATTTTGCGATCCCGGAGAGGTATAAAGCCGTTTCCATACGATTACATACTCTAGGTCTATAAGGATTGGGGCTGGTACACCTGATCTATGTATTAATCTTCCCATTCATTGACACTAATTTTCCTGGCTAGAACAACCCCATAGTCAGAAAGTCTTCATATATCCATAATTGATAAACTCATCAAAGATATATACACGGTATGAGTGTGCATGCATCCCTTCGTCTGTTCCCGCGAATCACGGCCTATTAGCGTGGAAACAGCGTCGTGATGAACCAAAATCTAACGACGATAGTTTAAAGCACTACTCGATTGAGGATTTTTGCGTGACGAGTGGAGACAATTTTGCACCGCCGACCGCCGCTTCCAGCTAGGCAGTGAATTTTGTGTGGTGAGCCACAGATTGCCACAAGTCCTGAATACAGACGAAGGGATACCACGCACCTACCATATTTCAGGATTTGGTTTGGTTACCTGTTATTTGCCCCTTACCGCAGCTTGCTGCCCGTAAGGGATGGGTACAAAACTAGACCCCTTGCGATATCCAATCTCTTAGGGACTCGATAGATCATATCGTTTATTACAATAGAAGACGTTTCATTACTTGCGGAAATTCCTCTAATACCTAAAACCCTTGGGCCTGAGTTCCGAATATTTAAATACAGAATCTCTATTTACCATACATGACCAGATATATTTTGGCTGGAAGTTTCTAACGGCCTCAGAGTACGGCTCAGCAAAGGATCTGCTCCGGCTGGGACCCTAGATTGTGGCAAGTTCAGTCATAACATACACTCCGATAGGCCAAAGTGACGGTTCCTGACCACTTTTGGGAACTCTCGGGGTCGGGGGGTCCCACAGATTATCTGTATGCCATTCTCCAAGGGTTTAAGGAGGGCTCAGAAGTCTCGCTCAGATCCCAGCAGTACATGGGCGTCAACGGTGCGCTGCTGGTATTGATTGACCGATTGATTCATTCATCCGACTGGGTGTGTCCCTGGTAAATAGATGAGGTTTGTCAACAATTGCAGAGGTCTTATATTCCCGAGAACAAGAAACTGATGAAAGGCCATCCCTTCATGCACTAGATAGCACATGGGCAACTACTCTCCTTCTCACGCAATACCGAATCCTACTAACGCCTAAGCCTAGCTACTACATATGTCTTGAGACACCACATAAACGATGATAACAGAATAATAGGGAAAGATGCTGGAAAAAATTAGTTGCCATTAAAGGTAAGAGTGAATATGATCTGAGAGAGAAATACGGATGACTTGATTAGCTACAGCAATAAGACCTGCCTAATATATAAATATAATCAGGATCCGGACATGACCATATAGAACGGTTTTAAAAATCTCACTAGACGAAACTATACTTATATAATACCAACAGAACTATCCTCTCAAGTTTAGAAGTCATTAACTCAACACTCACGAGCGAACCTATACCGAGTGATATCTCATGTCCGGCTGTTTATCGCTTTAATTTGACGAATAGTATTTCAATATTGAAACTCTGCAGAGAATAACTACCGCATATACTGAGACTAAACTAATTATATAAAGCAGCATGTGGAATCTTCATACATTCATAAAGAGGCGGCATCCGGTAATGGAAATGAGTAAGTTGCTGACTGAACCAAACAGAGCAAAAGGAAGAAACTCGCCACTGGGTTGAGCTGTAGGTCCTGTCCAAGCGTCTCATTAATATATATATTGAACTAAATCGTCTTTGTAATATGTATGCAGAAATAGAGGTATGTCTGACTTATCAACATAAGAAAGGTCTTATATTAAAACTAAGTATGTAAACTTAGCTATACGAATCACTGATCGCGCGTCGAGAATCCAAATATTTTCTTTCTACTGCATGATAGTTTTATATATCTAAACAGTAGTCTTGTCGATCGTCTCATAAATGGTATAAGCTTCTTCGTTGTAATCGCGAAGCATTTTCATTGGTTGGATCAATTTGCCTGGATTGGATAAATAACCACTACCGTCGGAAGAGATGTAGCATGGTGTCTTTGAACAAAGAAGAGTGTCTTTTATGTCAATATAGATCATCAAAAAAGCAAACTTTACACATTTACAGTCATTAATATAGTTTACTCCATACAGAAAGATATCTGAGATATTCTTCGCCCCTTCAGCTCATCTTTCTCTCCCGGTGTTCTTTCTATATAGGCAATGAGAACTCAACATATTCATATCTAAATACTAGATATAGACAGCGGCATACAACACCAAGTTGGCTATCACCTCAAGATATAGGCATATATATTCAGGTTATACATACGTGCACGTATGAAACATAGGTTTTCAGTACAGGTCAGACCTCACCGGCTTCGAAAGAAAGATTAAGCTAACTATTTTACTATAAAAAGAGATGATTGTAAATAGACTAGAAAAATCTAGAGCCATTCAGAGATGATCGTAAATAGATTGGACAACATTTAGGGGCCACTCGGTACACATAAATATAGGCTTCAATTAATCCGGAGGTCCTGGCATAGACTGAAATATAATTGTACTCACAAAATATCATTACACTACGCGGCCGGAGGCCGCATTCTACTTGTGTGCAATTGGACCTGTATGTAGCTGTGGTAAATCACGCATATACACGTACTTAATTTTATACCAGGGATTCGGAGCTACGTTATAACTCTACTACGGCTGGAAATGCATCATTTGATACATTACCCATACAAATATTTCATGGTATCGCATCAAATGGTGCATTGCCTGTCGAGGCCTTTGTAAATGCATCATGAGATGCCTTTCCCTACACATTTATCGCATTTACCAAATTTCACTACACATTCCACTACACATTTACCAGATACACATTACACTACATTTATCCTACACAATATGATACACATTTCACTACACATTTGCAATGTACATATTATGGTACACATTATGGTACACATTATATTTCGGATTTTCAATAAACTCATGGTTTCTGATAGCAATCTATGTTAGGAAAATTCACCAGCAATGGTTTAGTGGTTAAAAGAATACTAGGTTACCCTAGGGTCAGATGTTCAATTCCTGCACAGTTCTTTTTGTTTTGTCGAGTTTTTTTACTATTAAAGACTAAGTGATTCATTTGTTGATGCATTAACTGATGCATTTATGGATTCATTAACTAATGCATTGTGGGGTTCATTTAACGATGCACTTGCAAATATCTATATACATATATACATATATATGCAGCTAGAGAGAACAGTACCATAATATAAGCAGAAGGCTGCATGTACTAAATGAATCAAAAACCAATCAATTAATCACACTAGACGTCGAGTATATACTAATTAGCTAAACCAATCAATCAATTAAGCAAATTAGTCGAGCTCCATGTTGCATGCAGTAAATGAATTAACAACAACATGGTCGAGCTCCATCATACACAATCACTCGAATCCTATTTCCATCTCTGATCTGTTGAGTTGGTATGGGAAGGTCAAGATATGATCGAGAGCGAGGTGTACAGGGATTGTCTGCTTGACTGAATATAGTACGACGAAGTACTCGATACTATACACCCTTACAATGATCATATGGCTCGTTAACTAATTATAGTGCTAGTACTAATGGTGATACTATATAGCTATGCATGATGACTACAGTGTTGTGGTCCATGCATGAGCCTAATATATCTATAAGTTTGAGCTGGTTCAGATCTCGGAGAACCGCGCGCGCGAGATCGACCAATAGCTCACTTATATAGTTGTAGTTATCGCTGTCATTGCGCCCCACGAGCTGGTGCAAGCTGAAATTCGGGTTTGTCTCGAGCTGGCTCGTAATAGGCTTGGGTTTGACTCGCTCGTTAAATCTCAATTAGCTTATTGCTACCCAAGATCAATATCAGGCAATAAACTATAACCAAAGGACATTGAATCGCATTACTTGTTGCTTATAGTCCGGAAATATGGAAGATTAATTTTCTCTAGCGCAAATATTGCGGATACCCTCTCAATATTAGGACGAGCTGATCATGATGATTATCACAACTGGTTGAGTGTAAGTTTAGGAATTTGGTGGGTTTAATTAGGCAATCAGGTGTCGACAACCGTGATAATGATCAGAGACCCGTGAATTTACCACTTCGGCTTTATGACTTCATGTACAATTGTACAATTGTGGTTGACTGCTAAAGACAATCAGATACCTCCCGGTGATGTGACGATATCTAGTTTATAATCTATATCAATAACCTTTTAACATCTTGTAGAGTCTGAAGATCATAAGAGCGGAAGATAACCCTTACTTTTAATTCTGACAAACAATTAAAGCTAGTATCGGTACTGTTGTTATTTTTTTGTTTATAAATTTTTTATGGGAGTACTTGTACAATTGTATACTAATGACGAGAATATAGGGCCCGCTTAGGTGACTATGATCACCCATATATTGAGGGCTATTGAGGGCAATCCCGAGCG